ATTTTAGAAGAATGTGTTTGTTATGCATATAAAAGAGAATATATCATCCAAGCTCTGAAGTTAAATAGATTCGACATACTCGTTGTATTCCATAAAATATTGGCAGAGCCAGCTTCCGATGCAGCCAAGTTATTGTTCTGGCTGGTATCACATTAGTCTAAGTTATTTCTTTTTTTGTTATTGAGTATACGTATGATGGGATTGTTAAAGTCACATTTATGTACAAAAAATTAAACTATATACACAAAAAATTAATAAATATTTAATAGTTAACTATAGGGCTTATAGGGATCTATAAACCCTATAGTGGGCAGTGCATTATCAGTTATGTAAATATATACTACTATGCTTCTGGTTTCACTCGCATGAAATTTGTACCCTATGTGTTATTCTGATGTATAAGGTATATTACTCTTAAGTTTGATCAAAATCCTTTAAGTAGTTTTTGCATGAAAGATAACATTGGATGGATGTTTGTTACTCTTTCACGCAAATATTCACAAACTTTCCCATTTATAATATAAGTAAGATAATACTTAATAAAATAATTAAGCATATACATAATATTAAAAAATAAACACTAGTTTTAATATCTAGTACATACAACTGGTAATTTGTAATATGAATTCTCCTTAACAAATTAAACAATTGCTTATTTAATTATGATTATGGCAATATGCTCAAGTTTATCTGTAAGTCTTTATATTCGAATATGTAGAACCGCATTTCAATAATTATTGTACGTAATTAATTCATAAACGCAAATTGTATAGGTATATTGATTTCGTGCAGTGCAGTGCAGTGCAGTGCATGTCAGCAGTAGTCAGTAGCATTTATTTTTAATTTCGGAGTAACAATGTGTTGTGTGTTATCTCTTCGTAATTGTAATGGTTTTATTTTTTTTGTTACAGGATAACGGAGTGCTTATTTGGAACGCAGAATGCCGATCTCTCCGCGCGGACCTCCGCCCGTATCAACACCGCTCTATCATCAACTGCTCCGTAGGAGACCTAGCTTAATCCCCAAGTGTCCTTCTATAGTATAACGTCTAACATTTTGTACACCTCTTTTATACCGACCCATAAGTATAAGTACGCACAGTGCTAGTGTTAAGTGTCGCGCGCGAGTGAAGGTGTGTGTATGTGTGTCGATGGTGCGGCCGACATGGGAAAGTCCTCGGCGAGAACACATGGCCAAGGTGAGTGATACCCAATGTCGTACTCTGGACACCTGTCCTCAAGGTCCACCTTTTGCTATGTACATACACCCTTGTGTTGACCTCGATATTGTGAACTACAATACGTAACATAGGTATTCACGCTTGCTATAAATTATTATAACTGTACAATTGTTAATTAATACTTAATGAGTAGTGTGTATTTTACAATTATAAGTACCGATATTTAATGGAGCTTTATTGGGTACTTTTATTTTATAGACAATAGAAACGATTCTATTTATCGAATCCGTAACGTCCGTTTATTCCTTAGCAATATTTAAGAGTACTATTAGTACCCTTGAATTTTGTTATGGAATAGATTGAACTATAACAGGATCGAATAGAATTTCTTAAGTACTTATTAGGCTTTTCAGGTTTGAACTGTAGTAATCACTATCTATTTAGAGGGTTTTAATATTCGATCCTATCAAAACATGTAGTGGTAGTAGATATTTTCAATCTATTATTACTTAACTTGTTGTACCATATATTTAAAATAGCCGCATGAGGAACTTATGCAACAAAGCCCATTTTTTTATGTAATTGGAGCAGCTAACAAGCTGGCGTTGTATCTAATGGTACGCGGTAAAGGTCGCTTATATATATACGTAGACAGTAGCACGGATATGAAGGCCATGGTAACACTTATACATTGCCATTCAAGAGCACTAAGGTATCATGCCTTAGGATCCTCTAATGTCACTGCCTTAAACCGAAACACATCTTACAAAGCGAGCAGAATTGTGACTGAAATAGCCGAATCAGATATCCACGAAGAGAAATTCTACCTATAGTGAAATATAGTCGTATGCTTCGCTACATCTTAGCTAGAACAGAACTAATTTCTGTGATTCATTTTGTAATCGATACAGTTTATTTTCCGGTTATTTTAAGCCCCTTATATTTTTTTTTTTAAAACTGTCAAATGCAGGCAGTTTGTTATAGAACAGAATGCCACTTTTGTAGTAGTTAAGTATAAACCACAGTTTATACTTACTTAAGTTAACGGTGGGGTGGCAAAGCGCTCTGATGTCGTCTGACGTCAGTTACTCGAATTTATTCTACAAGTTGTTATATAAAATAAATAAGTTTTTCTTCCAATACTTTGGTTTAATGAATTTTTTTATTTCATTATAATAGTGCACCAATAAAAATGATGAATTTGAATGAAATTACACCAAGGACTTAACAAAATAGATATTTTTAATGGACTCTGAATTTGTTAACCGTTATTACAATAATTCTTTGAAATTTGGGAAGTATCTTTGATAATTAATTAAAAAACATATCGAGTTTATGACCGAAGAATTTCATTTCATATGTACTTCTCAACACTTGAAAAAACAGTGAAAATATATCATCCGAAGTAGTAGACAGAGGTTACAAATAAATGTTTTTTGGGGATGAAAATATTATGGTGCCCTCGCCTGCGCTAATGGTATATGCGTTATTATAAGAAGACCATGAGGTCAGATCCCATTCTCATAGATTCTTCAGGAATTAATCAAGATGGTTTCCAGAAGATACCACGTGGAGGTCGACCTAACATAGTACGTCATTAGTCCCCATGTTATTAGGATTTAATCGTTTTCATAAATAAGACTGTAAAAATCGCATAACTAAGTTTATTGAGTCTGGAAAAGAGTAGATTAACGTTAAGTGAACTAGTGCAAAATTGATAGACAGATAAATGATAGACTATCTGTGTATTGAGATTTTAAGAACGTAAATAACAAATTCTCAGAGCATAGGTATTTATCATTGATAATACATATATTCCAACTTTTTATTTCTTTTTCATAATTCTCCCGTTGTATTTTTGTTACATTAGTTCTTGATAACTTGAAAAAACTGTTTACCACGATAAGGCCGCCTTATTGTATTTAACTATACACATATTGTTCCTATCTTCTATAGATGCAATTAATTAGTAAACTAACAAATCATTGTCAAATGCAAATAGAGTATATTCTATTCTAGTCTATACTAGTAATGTGTTCCAGACCTTCTGACGACACAATATAAAGACATATACTTTTAATAACGTTTATTGAATACAATCACACAAAAACAGGAAAATTGCATTAACTAGAACTTAATACAAAAATAATGGTACAATGACAATGACAGATACAGATATTTATTTGTCAAACTGATACTGACATTAGGGTGCAAATGCATAACGACTATCAATAATTTATCAGTTCAGCAGTAGAAGAGCGTTTCCTTTACACGCCTTTCTAAAATTTATGATAACTCTTTAATAACACTTGAATACAATTCTCAATAAATCATTAATATATTTCTACTAACTACTAATCATTACTACCAACCTTAAATAAGATTGTCTAATAATTCGATATGAGCTTCCAGCTACTTTAAAACCATACGGGAATATTGTTGAGAAATATCAAATGTTTGGGAAATAAACATGATATAATATTAATTATTTAATTAACTTAATTAAATAAACATGTTATTATATTATATCTGGTAAAAAGAACTGTTACAATATTTTAATGTGAAAATGTGTTAATAACTACAATAAATAGATATGCTTTGTCCGTTATCAAATATTATTTTTTTAGCTAGAAGAAGTTACCTCGATTACTCACAAACAGTAATAATTCGTTTTTCGCCGCAATTCATGTCAGATACTGTTAATATGGCATTATATGGTTATATATTAGCAACGGTTAATATAATTGTATTCTACATTTAACAAAAAATATTTGAATGAGTCGTAATTGTAGAGAAAAGACTACAAATTAGTAATAATTTTAGAGGCGTACTTACCAATAAATAAGTAGTCAGTGGTTTTCAATACTTTGAATCTTTAAAATGAGGATAATAAACATATACTTGTCACATATTATTGATCGCTTTCGTATATCGTGTATAAATTTCAAAGAAGGATTCGATTAAAAATGTATAGTAACTGGATATGTATTAGTGTATGAAATTTTAATTTATCTTGTGCCAGAAAATTATGAAGTAATAATCCATAGCTTATTAGTACTCAGTGTTTACGTCCCAGTTATTAATAAATGTCTGAAATGGTAACCTCCAAAATTGTTCGAAGTACACGGTACTAAGGAAATCTATTTTGACTAATTATATTTGGATGTTTGTTACTTCATCTCATAAATTAACAGATGATAAATTACGAGGACAGGTAAATCTTTAAATAATTACCAACGGTACGGTCCTAAGTTACTGAGGAATATCTGGCTAGTTTAATATTTTAGAATCAAATTATGACAAAATAAATGTAAATATTTTTCAACTTACTATTTATATTTAGTAAGAATAAAATATTTCTATTATTAGTAGGTTCTATTATCTGTCTGTTATTTTATACTTTGGTAATATAAGAAGTCTTGAAGCATCGCCTACTAACAGCGCATTTAATAAAATAGTGAATGTCGCTGTACTGTACAGTATGGTGACATTTGTTTGAAGTGCATTTTTTAGCTATTAAAATTGTATTGTTATTCCTTACGTAGTACTAACATTATAATAATCTAAATCGAAAGGTCGAAGCTGTTAATTTCAATGTTAAGTACGGAACTACTACCAATAAACCTGTTCGGCCTGGCTAAGACGGCTTAACTATTGACAGCTATCTATTGCAATTTGCTGTACTGTATCAGTAATTTTATTTTGTTATATTAGTTGACTGCGTTTGAAATTCTACCATTATAAATACGGTTCGTGAACGGCAACACTAGTTCAGTAACGAATAGAATTAAAGAAGTTGCGTGCGCAGATCGGACGTGGCTAGTGTGCGCAGTACACGAGTCTCGACCCCGCACCGGGTCGGAGCGCGCGTGCGGGTCGCGACTCGCGGGGCGCGCTCGCGTAGCGCCGTAGCGTGCATTAGGAGCGGGGTCGGAGTCCCAGCCTGCGGAGTGGCCGCGCGGAGCGGCGTGCGACATGGGGCGGCGGTAGCGGCGCGGATGTGCGCGCGCTCAGAGGCCGTGGAGCTGGAGGTTTTGGGCGCGGAGGGCGGCGAGGCTCGCGTGCCGCCTCGCCCGCTGCGCCTCTCCCTCCTTGAGCTTCTAGGCAAACTGGTGCGACGCGAACAACCCGCTCAGCCGCACCGCCGCACCAGGCATAACCACCGCTTCCGCACCTTCGTCTCGTGCGGTCTGTATTTATTGATTCTGCAGAGCGTTTCGATGGCTACATTGAATTATTTTATTGAATTGCTATCTCACTTAGTCCTAAGTGTTATAGTCAACAGTTCTACACCTACGTGAATGATCCATGTATGGCCGTTTAATTGCTGCGAAATATACATAATCAATGTTCCTACATAATATTATGACGTATGATCAATGACGATGGAAACGAAAGTGGCGGGAACAATCCTAGTTGTGAATGAAGAAACGTACGGGTCTCATTTACGGAACTGTTGTAAAATATGAAATGAAAATGTATGTATGCATCATATTGGCCAAGGTCGGATTCGGCGCGCCCCGCACGGTCAACGGCCGGGACGAGACGGCGCTCCAGTGGTTTGCAAATCACGTATGACCGCGGACTGTTGTTATTGATTAACTGCCAATGTAACACTTCACTAAATCCAATTAATATGCAATCAACCACTGGAAACTATATGAAGTTTTCAATATAAAATATTACTAAGTACATTAATGTACTTTTAACCTTCAACCTTACAATGTTTTAACTTTGAAACTTTACAATCTAATGACATAGCGATAGTTATATAATGTAAGGTTTACGTTGAAGTTAAACATAGAAGAAATTTCTATGAGAGTAATCTACTATTCAATATCTACGAGATGATAGTATCCTACTATCATCCTCTTTACAAAATATTCTGTCAATTTAGTGCAGCGATAGTATTACCTATTTCAGCCGCCAATCAGTTCGCTTGGTATGTGTTTTGGTCGAGAAACGATATAAGGCAGTTAAATTACAGGATACAGACGAGACTTCGTAGTCTTCTAGAATGTGGATGTATAAGAGATCCAAGGGGCATCATATAATGACGTTATTATATATTTATAATTTATACGTAGTCATATGACTTGATGCACTTTGCAATTTTGCTGTGTGTATAATGTAAAAAAATAACAAAATATTATATGATTCGTTATGTAATAGGTATACTATAATACTTATATTCACATGTGTTCTGGTTATAAGATCAGAAATAGGCTGGAAAAGAGATGAATGGGCTGTTAAAGATGATAGGGGGATGAATATAGAGATGACTGCGAACAGGCATAAATGGAAGCGAAAAACCTATTATGCCGATCTCAAATGAATGAGATAAGGAAGAAGCCGATGATGATATATCACTTTTTAAATATTTTATAAGCAGGTTATAGAAGGTAGAAGCAGAAGATGAGTCACAAACTAAATTAAAGAAAAAAAAATTACATTTATATATCATTTATATTTACATATGAATGTGAATGGTTATAAGGGCAGAGGAAGACCTCAAAAGAGATGGATGGACGGTGTGAAAGATGATATGGTAAGAAAGGGAGTCAATAACGACATGACTGCGAACAGAGATGAATGGAAGAGTAAAACATATTACGCCGACCCCAAATAAATGAGATAAGGAAGAAGCCGATGATGATATATCACTTTTTAAATATTTTATAAAAAGGTACCTCTGTCTAACTATTGTTATGAATGATAATGGTATGGTTCACCCGCCTGCGCTAACGGTTTACGCTTGCGGGGCACCAGTAGAGGATGACAGGATGAGCATGATAAGCAGGTCAGTCAGCCCCATTGTGGTAAATTCATTAGGACATTGTTACGATGGTTTCCAGGGGAACCGCGTGGAGATAAACCTGACATGGTACATTATTAGCAATGGGGTCCTCAGTCCACATCCCTTCCTCCCTCTGTCTAACTATTATAGCAGGCAACCTAATGCAGTATATATTTATAAGCAATATTTCTGTTGGTATGGTTGGCGGTAAGGCATATTACATATACATTACAGGAATATAGCAACATCTTAGTTCTCTGGAATGGCAACGAGTTGTATCACTGATATGTCATACTATTTAAAATAAAGATTCACGGGCGTTACGACTTCATGTTTGTTATTGACTTTGAAATAACATGGCTTAGTGTAGCTAATTTTAGCAACTGTCATATCATTGTACTTTATAAATCAGTCATGAAATTCACCAACGTTAAATGATTCATTTATTTAGTCGGATTACAATTCTAGTTTTTATAGTAGTGGTATTGTCAAAAACAAACAAATTCAGTTTATAGTAAGCTAAATAATAATGTTGTTCCGTAGTTTCATAACTTTTATTTAATACTAGTCGATCCCGCGTTTTCGTACATATGAGCCGAATTTTTTCGGTTTATTTCATGTTTGACGTGATCAAAACGGTCGCAACAAGATGTGTAAATTGAACGAATAATAATTCGTAATTTTGAGAGCTTCTTACTGTGAACTGTATAAGCCGTTAGATTTACATTAAAATGAGGGATTGTTTCTCTTAAATAGTTTTAAATATATCTATTTATTATGTGGAAGCAGTCATAGTTAAAATAGTGAACTATAATTTATGTTTAAGAAAAGTACTTGGAATATATATATTGAGAAAGGTTGTCAAGATATTGAAGTATAAACAAGAATGTACAATAAAAAACTATAACATATAGTTATATATACAAATATAGAGTTATAAAAATTATTTTTTGATTAGCCAGTACAGTATACAACAATAAATATATTTAATAAATATTGTAATAACAATGTTTAATTTACATTGCTAAATATATTCTTATTAAAATAAATAACTTTTATCGGTTTTGGTATTTAAACTAAGTAATATCCATAAATAGTTTGAAAGTTACTACGATGATAAACTCGCTGTTCAGAACGTGGGCAGTGTCCAGTTGGCGAGTTGTCACGTGATGCTAAAGATACAAGAAATAAAAAAATAATATTTACGTAGACAAAGCCTCGGGCGGTTAGTAGATTATAAACACATATCAAGCTTCACAAGATGTCTGAGTTCCGATACTACCCCTGAAAACGTTATTACTCGTAAAGCAGGAGTGGAGATCGATCAGCGTCCATGCGGCGCCTCTGACGGGAGTTGTCGCGACTTTCTAATCCCCTTAGCCACTACTAAGTGTAATTTGCACCAATTTTGGTAATGTATCGTGTTTATTTATTTCAATTTTTAAAACAGATCTAAATTAATTATTGTCATAAATACAGTATATATGTCAGTGTGTGTCATATAAGATCAGTAACTTTTGTAGATTCAAGGCTAAGTTACGGAATGTTATTCAGATTGTTTTTATGCTTATTCAATAATTGTATATTACTTAATATACAATTATTGAATGATTTATTATACTTTTTAATCCTAAATTTATTAGAAAACCTTTAAAATAAATTAATAAAACAGGATGATATTGTTATGGCATCAAAACAAGAGTAAAACCACGAAATCGAACGCAAAAACAATTAGAGTAGTTTAAGATACGTTCTGTTAATTGACTATGGAATAGAATAACATATCTACATCGATTTGGTATTCGTTAAATAGACGTATGTTTGTTACCGGTGTGTTATTTACACACCGGTCACATGCTGAGCGGAGCGCGTTTATTCTTAAAAATTCGAACTTGACCCGATCGAAATTTTTTTGAGTGTTAAACGATGGTATTCTCTCGATAAAATTTTGATCTCGATCAAGCTGTTTCGGAGGAGTACCGTCACAATGAGTGCAAATCTGTTAACTAAGATCGCTCCGCGCTTCGAGCTCCGTTCAATAATATGATATACGCAAATAGTAAGAGAACATTACGTACTGTTTTACTGGAACGCTACCTCACCACTTATTGTGGAAAATTTTACCCCCCATGAGTCTTCACGTTGAGTCATCTATTGCTTAGAGAGTATTTACTAGTTTATTTGCTGTAGTTCTTCTAAACCAATAGGAATACTATTTACCTTTCTTACAATAACAAACACACCATTAATGCTATGTAATTTTAATGTAAAATACTATATCAGTACCTATGACAAACAAAACAATGAATGAATTCTGAAATTATACATCTGATATAGAAGACCTATACCTAGTAATATATAAAATTTAAGTCTTTGAAAATTTTGTCTGTATGTCTGTTTGTTCTGGTTAGTCTCTGAAATGGCTGGACTAATTTTTACGGGATATTCACTTGCAGATAGCTAATATATAAAGTAATATAAGCTACTTTTTATTTAGAAAATTTTCGCAAGGTACTGTTTGTCTTAAATAAATAGGTATACGTATGTACGTACGTACTTATATTGTTCTTATATAGGGACAGTGGCGATAAATTATAATGCCATATAAAGATATTAACATCCTTCAATGAATCCTACATCCTGTTATTTGTTGATAATTTCAATAGGACTCGTATAATAGCTTCCCGGTGACGAAAAGATCGTGCATTTAATTATAAGATTATCGCTCTCAAGTATTGAAAGTGAATTATACCAATGAATACAATACAAAGATATAACAATATGATAAACATGTATGGTAATAGTTGTTCATGCACGGGACTTTCATTTAATGTTAGACATGACACTTATATAAGTGTGTAAAGAAACTGTCTTATAAAAATAAAAGTATATCAGTTGAGTATCTTGCGAGTTCTTCTCAATTGAATTTGTATACTTACTGAATTGGACGGTAGAGGAAAAATAATATAATACAAAAACTGGACATTCATAAACGACTAAACTGTCCGACATGAATAAGTGATTTTTATTTGATTTGATTTGAATAACTTTTTAACTAATTTTATTTTTCCAAAATGTGTATTTTTTAATATGCGAATAACATCTAAATTATAAATCTTGGATTCTTAGATGTACAATAAGATTTACTGGCTGTTTTATATATTGCTTCATCCACATTTGAAATAGATTTTATTTCTTTTTGACTATTTTATTATATATACATATATCCGTGATTTCTGCTATATTAAACGTCTAAAAGCATATCACTTAATATTGATTATTGCTTAAACATCCAAAGGGTCCATATGTGGCTATCGTTTTACGAAGTTGATTATTTTGTAAACAATTATGAGCGTTACTTACTCTGAGATAAATTTGGTACCTATATAGTTTTATTATCGTATAAGATGTAGTAATTAGTTAAATAATTAGAAATTAGTCATAAATGGAAACGTTAAAATTTCCGTTTATGACTAATTTCTATGTGTTAAGATAAGGCGCATGTCTCATAATTTATCAGAACATAAATTAACATGTTTTCTATTTATATAAATGAGTCTAAAATTAAATTTGGCGCTTCAGAATGTTTTACTTAACAAGTAAAATATTATTTTTGCTTGGTTACATTATTTAAGTAAAAATGTATATGATACCGTAGGATGATAACATAGTATGTTATCGACACTGCAACATTTAATAGTGTTAAACAATTTACCATATGATCATATGACCACAATGTGGTCAATTAATGTACATATAATATAATAATTTACTGTAGATCTTATAGTAATAAGTATAGTAAAGTATAGTTACTCGTTTCTGTAATAGATATGTTGTACATTTCGCTCAATTATAATATATCTAGAGGACCTACGCTATTCGTTATACATATATTGCTAATTTTGATAAATCATCAAGTAAGCTTCTAATATTGAACACCATTTCGTGCGCACTAATGTATGTATATTGTTTATTTTTGAGCTCAAATAGTGCAATAAAACCGATACTTAGATCTCTAAATGTCTACATTATTTATTATATCGAGAATGAAACGATAAAATATAACACATGATCAAACGAAATATTTGTTTTTCGCCAGATTTCGTCCTACTTTTAGTCATCACGAGTCAATGAAATTTTAATATACATATATCTGATAAAGCTTTTTATTTAAAACTGGGTGTACTCCCGAAAAGAAAAATAAAGCTAAATTTCACGCGGCTTCGTCCGCGTAAAGCTTTATTGACGAAGCCGCGTGGAATTTAGCTTTATTTTTCAGAAATAAAATATTTTTTTAAAAATAAAAGTAGCCTAAGTTATTATTACATCAGCTACCTGCCATTAAAAGTCCCGTCAAAATCGGTCCAGCCATTTCAGAGATTAGCCGGAACAAACAGACAGACAGACCGACAAAAATTTAAAAAAATGTTATTTTGGTGTATGTACCGTATTTATATTCATATGCATGTAGTAAAAAACGGTTATTTCAATATTACAAACAGACACTCCAATTTTGTTTATATATATGTATAGATTATTATTTTCTGTTTCTGTTTTAACTCAAAAAGTTTGGTTTGTTCTTTTAAAAATTGAACCTATGTTCATCTTTATATCCGTTATAAGTTACGTGTATTAATATAAACTGTTCGTTGTTACAGAGAATGAAAGGAGAATTAAAGCGAATGACAGGGAGTACAACGCGCAGTTCCGCTATGCAGTAAGTAGTGACGGAACATCATTTTCTTGTTTGATTTAAGTTGTAGGAATTAATGTTGCCTATTGTTTTCATATATATAATATATACATTCTAATGCCATTAATCTTGTGAGTCACTTTTCTATGTATACACTTAATAGTAGTAATAATTTATTATCTATTAGTAGGTCATAATAATAAATGATAGTTTAGCACCTAAGAGATATAATGTTATATAATATAGTACTATATAATGATAATAATAATATCCTAGGATATTTCACACAGCAATTCACACAAACTTTAAATATTTCTATTAAAATTTTATTTAATCTAAATATTTAAAATTGTTTTTTTTTAATACATATATAACGTACATAGAAAACACTCAGACCTATACAAACAATTATACTGAATACAAATCTTTGCACCATGCGAGGAATCGAACCCGCGACCATAGGAAGAAAAGCGGTGTAATAAACAGCTAGGCCACCGTGGCCGAATGATAAATTAACATTTTCATGGGACATTAAAAATATAGAAAGCTAAGTATTTGTGTAACAAATACGTTTAACTATTTTATTAAATTATAAATTATATAATATATTAATTATTTTATGTATTTGCATGTCCGTGAAGACAAAGTGAGAACTATATAATTTAAATAAGATAAACCATTCACTGTATTTACCACTTTTATCACATATACATTTCATTTCATTTATATCGAGTATTTTTTTTGTTGCAGAACAACTACATCAAAACATCTAAGTACTCAATTATAACATTCCTGCCGCTGAACTTGCTCGAGCAGTTCCAGCGGCTAGCGAACTTCTACTTCCTGTGCTTGCTGGTGCTACAGCTGATACCAGCCATCTCATCATTGACGCCCATCACCACTGCCATACCACTGATCGGTGTGCTCGCACTTACAGCCGTAAAGGACGCCTATGACGATTTCGTATGTATACATATATATTTACTAACTTTGTCATATATATTAACATCGCTATTAAAAAATAGGGGTTGATGCTAGAAGGGTGTTACCACTTAGGGGTATAAAAAATAATTATAAACCTATTCTCAGACCTACTGAATATACATATAAAATTTATTCAAAATCGGTCAAGCCGTTTTGGAGGAGTATAATCACGAAAATTTTATATATAAGATGAGATGAAACAACGTATTGTTGCGATTGTAAACGTTATCTTTTTCTAAGGAATTAAAAGTCTTGGACAATATTTTCATTAGATATTAAGATGGGGTTCCCAATTTTACTCTATCTATGATAGATTTTGATAATAATTTGGCAATTGATAAGATTTATTCTTTTATTGGTCTTATAATTGAATGTTTTATGAGCATTGGTTTTCAGGTTTTAGTTGTGGTTTCATTCACTAAAATATATAATATCTGTCTATTATGGTATATTTTTGTAATCGATAGAATAATAGAATAGGTGTGAAATGTATTATCTAAAAACATTGTTGCTTTTGCTATTGGGTTAAAAATAAATATAGAATAGACTTATAAGACACTCCACGATTTATGCCTGATAAGAAATTAGAATAATTGATGCGATTAGACATTAGAATTAGGATTAGATGTATCTATCTATTTATTTATGTACTGTATAAGAAGAAATCAGATAGGAAACCGCGTAAGAGTAAGACTATTTGTTCTACACTAATGTGATTATTGCTATTTACGTATTTCCTGCGATCACTAGCAGGTATAGTCGTGGCTTCATATCCATACTCGAATTTCCGTAACTGAACATGTTAACTCGTTTCAGCAACTTGCTATGAATGGTGACGTAGCCATCAAAGAGACCTTTATTGTATACCAAGGACGGCTGCGTAATTAATGTTTTGTGGCAAAAAGTTTCACAATCGATTCCGTTGTGTGTCACGCAGTGGTCATTCACAACATAAATTCTGCATAATTTACAATCGGTTTCAATTGCAAATGATCTACAGACGTCATTGTTGGAGTTAATTAAATAGTTTGCCGTTGCAGACCAGTTGATGTAAGGCTAGTTCGCAGCGATACTGTTTTGTTACACAGTGTGTCTACGTAATAAAATTAAGATTTATTCATTTTATCTCTATTCAGAGAACTTGCGTCTCCTCTCAACGGAGCGCGATAGCAATATTTTAAATTGAAATTTTACAGTAAATATTTACGTTCCGATCTACTCGACTTACTCTACCTATAATTGTAGTAAATATATGAGTATTTTTTTTTTGTTATTCTTAATATTCTCAAACTTTCCAAATTTTTAAACTATCTTGGCTTGTCCGTACGAACGAGCTAAAGATCCTTTTTTTGTGAAAGTTTTTAATTACATGTTATTCTAAAACAAACTAGTATGAAACGTTTAATATTGGCTGCCTTATCCTAGGAACAAAATTTCATTGAATTTAATTAGTTATTGTAATAAAATTTCATCGTTTTGTATGGCCAGGGGTCGGGGACATGCAGCCGTAACGTGTTAGTAGACATAGGCAGTAAAGTTATGAATGGTTAAGTGGTTTAACCAAGCATTAACCGTGCCGACGGTAAGCATTTGCCGTACTAGCTCAATAAATTATGCATATCATTGTGTATTAACTTATTTTAGTATACCTTTAAAAATCTATTTTTAGTTATCCGAAAATAGGTAAAGAATAAATTAGTTTAATATTACGAATAAAATAGGTTTAGCGGTTAAAGAACATAAAGTAAACAAATTTATTTCCTCTTCGTAATTCATGATTCCGATAGGGAAAAATAACTACACGAGAAACCTTTACATAAAATACAATCGTAATTTAATTTAATGTATAATTTAATTATTCGTATACTCTATTCTCAATTTAAAAATGTATTTTTATAAACGTATTCAAGTTCATTTGAAATGAATAAGAGCGAAGATTCTTGTCAGTTCTTCTCAGCACAAAAGCACTCCGAACTGACATAAGATTTGACATATCCTAAAAGTCTGTAATAGACCTACATAAATAATGATGTGTTATTGTGTTTTTTTATATTGTATTTATTGTATGTTTTAGCAACGTCATCAAAACGATTCTCAAGTTAACCATCGTCGGGCGAAGACGCTCCGCAATGGCAAGTTGGTGGAGGAAAAATGGGCGTCTGTTCAAGTGGGAGACGTCATCCGGATGGAGAACGACCAGTTCGTAGCCGCAGATATCCTACTCCTCAGCAGCTCGGAGCCCAACGGCCTCTGTTACATAGAGACCGCCGAGTTAGATGGGTAAGTCTTTATTTATATTTTTTACATAGTATAAAACAAAAGTGGCCACCGTTGTCTGTTTGCGTATATCTTTTAAACAATGCAACGGATTTTAATCCGGTTTTCATTAATATAGATAGGTGTATATATATATTTATATATATATATATATATATATACATACATGCTTACAACCTGGATAATTCACACAACGCCACCTAGTCCCTGACTAAGCAGAGTTTGTCTCATTAGTAATAATATTTTTTGTCTATACATATCAAATCAAATCAATAGTAATTTATTCATCTAGGACATTTTAGCCGCCTATCAAAGTCAATTATTTTCTATTATATTTTTGCCTTCTGTCCAATTCAGTATACATAATAAACATAGAGAACCCTTAACGATACAAACAGTCATATTCATGAATACAAATGTTTGTACCGTGCAAGGAATCGAACCCGCGACTAACGGAAGCAAAGCTGTGTGCTAAACCGCTAGACTACAAAGGTATACACAGAAAGCATAGAAAAGACGACATGTTCACAGATATCAAATGCAAGTCCGTTCAAAGCCGGGGCGCTAGTATGTTATAAACCGCTTCTCACTATAGCTGCGACGTAATGCGTGTGTAATACGTTCTAGATTCCTAGCATTGTCTTGGGGATTTCCGATGCTTTTTGTGTGTTCTTCTGCTATATTTTAAAGCAATGTTGGTATTTTGATATGTATATTGTCAAGGCATTAATAACGGAATTGTTAAGACACAAAGCAGTGGAACAATCCATCAGTTTGAAAGTTATAAATATTCTGGATGATTAATATACTTAAATTAATGAAATCTTTATGTGAATCTTATCTGAATCTTAATAATATATATAAACCTTCCTCTTGAATCACTCTATCTATCTATTAAAAATCCGCTTCAAAATCCGTTGCGTAGTTTTAAAGATATAAGCATACATAGGGACGAACAGACAGTGACAGCGACTTTATTTTATACTATGTAGTGATGCGGAAGTTTCTAAGTAAGGACGTTTGTTATTCTTTCACGCAAAAACGAATAAACCGATTTTGATGAAACTTTACAGTAATATACCTTATGCATCAGAATAACACATAGGCTATATTTTTATTGAAATTTAACGCGAGTGAAAGCGCGGCTTTTAGTTTGTAATAAAGAAAACCTTATCTTAACTAGGTCACTATATACTCCCGGATATGCAAACTGCAGTATCACCAGTAAATGTCTGGTAAAACCCGTTGATTAATAACAGTTACAGTTGAGTAATTATGAATAATGTAGGTATGTTATTCATAATCAGTGAACTCTGAAAACATTGCCTGACAACATTTGCATTCACAAATACAATCTGCTGCTTTCGGATAACCTTTGCATTGTTACACTTTGTATAAGTTTAATCTTTACTTCTTTACATAGTATAAAACAAAGCCGTCGGCTCTTTTTGTAGGCTTAGATTTATAATTACGCAACGGATATTTATGAATTTGTCAGCAATACATAGAGTTATTAAGATGAAACATTATATTATACATATAATACATGCACATACAGATAAACCATAAAAGTTCAAAGATTTGTAATGCACACGTGCGAAGCATTGGATCGGTGGTTTTTAAGTACGGTGATCTAGCGGATTAGCACACCGCCTTACTACGTGTGGTTGTAGGTTCGATTCCTCGAACGGTGGAAATATTTAATGAATAAAAATTTCCTCCCTATAAGTACAAAAATTCTCCTTATACAATCCTTAGTCCTTCCCACCCTTGATTACGCAGATGTGTGTTGCTCTGACATGAATGTCGACCTTTTAAACAAATTGGATCGTCTTCTCAACAACTCTATCCGCTTCATTTTTAATCTCCGCAAGTTCGATCATATTTCTTCTTATCGTTCACAGCTTAAATGGCTACCTATCCGTTACCGTAGAAATGTACGTATTCTATGTACTCTATACTCCATTTTATACGATCCAAATTCTCCTGATTATATTAAGAGTAAATTTCACTTCCATGGGGACAACACCAATCACGGTATTCGCTCAACTAGAAAATTTTTACTTCATATCCCGGCTCATTTATCCGGTTTCGTCCACTATTCTTTCGCCGTTCAGGCTATCAAACTTTGGAATGACTTACCTCTTGATATCAAAACCGCTACGAATAAAATTTCTTTTAAACATAAACTACGGGAACATTATCTCAATTTGTAACTTTTTACTACTCTCTTCTATTTCTCTTTCTTTCACTATTTTTCCATTCTACTCTCTATGGTTCTGTGACTGTCAGACTATTGAGTATCTAGTATATATTTATTATATATATATATATATATATATATGTGTATATAATTATTTGTATATATGTATAATATAATATTTGCATATATTTATGTAATTTATGATTGTATTCCTTAGATATATATTGTATTTATCATTCTGTTTATATTTTGTTGCTTTTTATTTATCATTTATTATATTTGCACCGCCAACATTTACTCTCTGCACCACCAATGGTCGACTGGTAGAAAATGCCGCATGGTGTTAAGTCCGCCAAATGTACTTTACTATATTTTGTATATTATGTGCATTGAAGTTAAATAAATAAATAAATAAATGTTCTATCGTGCGAGGATTCGATTCGAACCTTGAGTTTGTTTATTTGTATGTTTTCTTTGTACAATATGTATGTATTTATTAATAATATATATTACAGAATTCCTAACTATTGTTTGGGATGCGTATAACAAGCTTTGATTATCTTGGGATTTCTGATTGTTGTGTTTTATTTTTTTTTTGTATTTTTTTGCTTAAATAATAATACATAGATTATTTTTTGTATTGGTGTATCATATACTTATATTTATGTATATATCCATAATTAATAAAATCACTAATTCTATGTACTGTTGGTTCTACAGGGAAACAAATTTAAAATGTCGTCAGTGCCTTGTGGAGACAGCTGAGATGGGTCAGGACGACGCACAACTGGGCGCCTTCGACGGGGTCATTATATGCGAAACGCCCAACAATCTACTTAATAAGTTTGAAGGTAATTTCTTTGTTTATTGGGTTATTCACCTGCATAACGCGTGTGCATAATGTTGTTGTAATGCTCTTATGAAACTCAACACAGTACAGTACCGCTATTGATGTCGTAATAATAAACATAATTTCATTGTTTGCACGCATTGTAAATTTAATTTGCATACATCACTTAAATGTTATTAATAATAAACGCTAATAAACATTACAAAGCCACAATTAATGCAGTGTTTTAATTAATTTAACTGATAAATCCGTTGATAGTGTTATCTTGAAGATGTACTATATTTTTTATTATGTTTATGTTGAGGGTTACGGTAATCTTTCTGTCTGGTTTATAATATTACTATCTCTTGAATCTTAGCCGATGTTATTTGAAAACATTGTAATGTAATCAAATGTTATTCTATTGAAAATGTTAATTTATAGTTGAAATTTGATTCCAATTCGAAGACGCCTGTCTCGGATCAGAGACAATTATAGATCAGATTTATTCTATTTTATACTATACATAGTAAATCTCGCGAATTTAAGTAGGTATAGTAAACTAGTAGACCATGAAATAACCATATTGAATAATAGTTGTATCACTATTTGCAGTGCCAAATGTAGACTAAAAAGTCATTTTGCCAAACAGCTTGCATTGTAAGCTGTGTTTCGGTTGTAAATTAGGCAGTGAAAATACAGGTGAAGAGTCATGATACTTAGTCCCCTGGAATGTTAACGGATGATGGTATCAGTGATATAGTGCTGTTCACGTAGGTGACGGTAACCGTTTATCAGCTTTTTTGCCATTTATATTATACAAACATTTTTTGGATATAAATATTCGATTATTGTGCGGCAAGTTACATTGCAAGGTATCTTTCGGTTATATGGTAGCATAATAGGCATAACACAATTAATGCATGAGTGGTATGAGTGATGTCCGTACTGCTGCTGTTCATGTATATAGACGTCGGTTGCCGCTAACAGTGAAATCGGTATAGTATGGACCGTAAACCTATTTGCCATTACAGAGAAATAGTATCTTTATATTATATACATATAGTTTTTATTATTGTGTGGCAGGTACACTGAGTTGGCGCGACAAACATCATTCGTTGGACAACGATAAGATTCTGTTGCGCGGCTGCGTGCTGCGCAACACCACCTGGTGCTATGGCGTCGTCGTGTTCGCCGGTAAAGACACCAAGCTTATGCAGAACTCCGGCAAGACCAAGTTTAAGCGCACCAGTATAGATAGGCTACTTAATTTTCTTATTATAGGGGTAAGTACTCAAATGTTGAGAGTCTGCCTGTTGTTTGAACATTTTTTTATGGTAAACAAGCATACGGCCTGTCTGATGGTAAACAGTTACTGTAACCTATAAACGCACGTGACACCCATGATGTCTCCGTGCGTAGCTGACCCTTAAGAAACCTTAATAGGTCCTTCTTGTAGCTGTCCTTCTAGTTTTAATATAGAATGTATGTTCTATCTTATGTCAATAAAAATGTACTATATTATTTACTATTATTACTATATTATAACGAAAAAGGAAAATAAGTATACATAATCAATTTGTTTGCAAGTTAAAACAAATGCTGATAAATAAAACATTACAGGGATGATGAATAATAACGTTCGTCGTCTCTCTTCCTCGTTGCTATACCTAAAAAGGTACATGTACCTTGTGCGTGAATGAGTCACTATATCAGAATTGTACATAAATGAACAGTAAATTGATTTAGCGGTTTTAATTTCAAAGCTATTAGTTAATTTATGAATGTATTGATGTATTTTTAGAATACATAGTTATATAGTAAGGGAAAGTTAAACTCTACATAAAATAATAGACCGATACACACAATCATACTCATGAATACAAATGTTTGTACCATGCGAGGAATCGACTCCGCGACCATCGGAAGTAAAGCGGTGTGCTAAACCGCTAGGGCACCGAGGCCATATCTGTAGCTATACCTTCCACCGTCCTAACGTGTAGTTTGTTCGTCCGCTGGTTGCAGATAGTATTCTTTCTGCTGTCGATGTGCGTGTTCTGCACGGTGGCGTGCGGCGTGTGGGAGTGGCTGGTGGGGCGGTACTTCCAGGCGTACCTGCCGTGGGACACGCTGGTGCCGGCCGAGCCCGCCTCGGGCGCCGTCGTCATCGCCTTCCTCGTGCTATTCTCGTACGCGATCGTCATGAACACTGTCGTGCCTATATCACTCTACGTGTCCGTTGAGGTGAGACGCTCTATTTTAGTATTGTAATGTTATTTACAGCTTACCCTGACGAAAAAGGGCGTGAGTGCAGAGGTCACTCCTAACCGTAGGAAGGACTTATGGAGCGGCTGACTTGCCTAATGGATGCAACTTCAGCCTGAAGGGTATCGATAGGAATCCGAACCTCTACATAAACCGGGTTTCTATTTATAAAAAAAACTATTGTATGAAGAAAATATGTTGGTTTGGGACAGAATATGTTGAAGTTGAATGTAAACACTCTAATACGGTTAAACGTAACTGATATCTACAGTTTTACTCAACGAATTAGGGGGTGAGTGCAGAGGATGTGCTCATACCCGCGGAAGAACTTATATAGGGGCTGAAGATCAACTCCTGTCTAATGGATAAGAGTTCTGAGGGCACCACTAGTAATTGAAACCACGACACAGCCCCTAATTTCTACACTTATTTTAAAAAAATCTTATTTTATTCTATTCGCTCTCTTACGTACAAGGAAAATATAGTGTCGTTGTATGTAAATGCACGCAAATAAATCTATAATATAATTAACAATGACATAAAGCTATGTATAAATAAGAAAAAATATATATAATAGTAATAAGTATAATAAATGTGTCATGCAATATGCCATAATTAATTATAGAACATTTTATTAGGTATGCTATTATATGTTTGTTTGAAACTTATGGATACATTAGTAATATTCAAGTTGCTCTAACGATTTATATTTTCTTTTTCTAGGTAATAAGATTTGCACAGAGTTTCCTAATAAATTGGGATGAGAAGATGTATTATGAAAAGACAGGCACGGCGGCCAAGGCGCGAACGACGACGCTGAATGAGGAACTTGGTTTGTACAATCTGTATAGAGAAATTATTGTTATTATCTCTTTGACAAGGAATAATATAATTAACAAAAAAAGAAAGATTAAAGAAAAATTCAAATATAATAGAAAAATCTTTATTCAAATGAACTTAATTTAATGAGTTTTGAATAGTTTTTACTAATCTACCGCTCATTCAGTAAACTGTCTCATCACAAGAAGAACGAGCAAGAAACATGCATGTTGCTATTTTGAGTAATTGTTCTAAATTTATATTTTTAAATCGAAATGTATGAATACAAACTTAATGTTTTGACTCTAATAAATTAGTGGTAGACTAATTTATTAGACTAAATTATTTCAGGTCTGCACTAGTTTGGGGACTACTGATATGAAATTTTATTGTAGTAAATAAATGTAAACATAAATCTAAATATAAAATTAAACCAGTGAGCTTAATTATATGAAAATATTAATTAGTTAATTTACTTTTAGGATTGAATATCACGTAACTAATATACGTTTCTTATTGCAGGTCAAATTCAGTACATATTCTCAGATAAAACTGGCACTCTGACACAGAACATTATGACCTTCAATAAATGTTCTATAGCGGGCGTATGCTACGGTGATGTTATCGACGAAACAACTGGAGAGACCATAGAGCTCAACGAGGTAAAGTATCATATCATATACCTTATATATATCTGAAGATATACAAATATATAATGTAACGTTTGTTTTTTATATTTAATTTAGCAGAGCACAATGCAATAGTGAATTTTAGATCACCTCAGTGCATGTAGGATGCGATTTTATTTTTAATACCACAGAACACCATAATAAGATTACGGAAATTCGCACGTTCCGGCAGCCACAGATTATATTGCATGAAATTTGAATTCAACGTCTAGCTGAAAATATTTTTGATTCAATTAGAAATGGATAACGAATAGTTTTATCACATAGTTGTAACATTCCCCGCTTCGGGGTCGTGTTGTGATATGTTTGAAGTGTGTTTTGTGTTCCGTCTGTTCATGTTTACTTGTTTGTGCACGGTTTACCCCTTAAAATATATAATATATTATACCTACACGACAAAAATTACATATTTAAACATGGCATAAATGATATAACATTGGAATATTTCACCATATTGGTCTATTCATATAGTATTCGCATGTATACATATTTTTGTATCTTATGATAGTTGACCGTAAAGATTTTATTTTTCAAACAAATATAGAACAGCTTAGTGCAAGAATTTTAATATTATATACACTAGAACACAACAGAACCTTTACTTTGTAATTGTATAGGATTTTCGTAAAAATATTAGGTTTATGACTCACTTATTATCTTGAATAAATTATAAAGATATACTTTATATAATCAATGATTTTGTTAACTATTTTTTCTTAGTATTTGCAGCTATATTTAACTATGTCTAATATAATATATGTTATTTAATTTTTGATTCAATCATAAGTCTAATCTACGTGGTATTTTCTCATACTAGTTTAGTGAATATTAAAATAAATTTTTGAGGTTTGCTTTGACTTGTATGTAGAAATCAAACACGTATTCGCTCTGTTTAATTTTATCTTGGCCATCATTCACCTAAAAAACATGGACTTCCTTTATGTTATGACAAGGAATCTCCTGCATGTTCACCCTACGTTAATTAATAACATAGCAACGACAACATCGTCTAACTGTAATTTTTGTGACTATTTATTTTTGTCTATGGCTAAGATAATAGTTTATGACTGCGAGTGCCTATGTCGTATAAGCTCTGTAGATATTATACTTCTCTTATGTCTGAGAAGGGAATATCTACTTACATTTTTTTGTGTCAACGATGGCCATGTCATCATTGCTGCCTTTACTCGATACATTCTTTCACGATTTAACACGGGAAAGCCAGCGCGTACTATCGATTCCATTTTACTATTTTTTGTGTTCACTCTTTCGCACGTGATAATGTGTACGTTTCAAGTAATTTAATTTTCTTTGTTTTTTTTATTCTACAGTTTTTAATTTTCAAAAACAAGTTTATGATTTATGAATTATCAGTAACTGTATAATTATATCTTTGGTCTATAGTCTAATAAAAATATAAATCTAAAGCCTCCATTTTGCAGTATTCATTAATTAATATGTATAGGTTAGATTAGAGCAGTCACGATTGAAGGTTGCGGGAATGTTCGAGCTGGCGGCGCGCACTGTCTTTCTCGTTCTCGTTGTCTACATTTACATGAATAAAACGGATTCCTGCGTAAAATAACGTGTAAAGGTAGCTGGTTTAGTAAGAAGAGTGCGATATAATCGGAGCGTAGTTTGTGTCACGGAGCGTGGTGGACACGAAGGGCGGGTGAGCGCGTGCGTGACGTGTGTGTGGTGCAGGGCGGGGCCGGGGCCGGGGGCGTGTCGGTGGGCGGGGCCGGGGGCGGGGCCGCCGCGCACGGAGCAGCGCGCGCGCGGCTCCTGGAGGCCGAGCACGAGCAGGGCCGCAGCACGCCCGGCGCGCGACGCCCCACGCAACTACATGTACGCTCGCAAACCACTCTCGCGCTCCTACTACTACTACTACTACTACTATGTACTATCGCTCGAAGACGCTGCAAGCAATATGTTCTCTCCGATGTAGTTTTTATTTTAGTTCAACCGCAGTAAGTCAGTGAAATTTTTTTATTTGATTCGATTTTTCGAACAACAGTCAACTTGAATGTGAAATATATTTTATAATAATATATATTGTATAATACATTTGTCGTAATTAACGTAATAACCTTTTCTAAATTATAAAGAATCTCTAATCTAATAGATCTGAGAAACATAAAATTTTATACTGATGTTTAATTTTGAAATGTTAGTCTCAGACTTGAACAAGATAAGTTGTAATTTACAACTTATCTTGTTCAATCTGACTTGGTAAACGTTTCTTATTTTTCTATCATAAGAAATAACTTTAAAGACCATTAATTTCTAAGCAATTTACCTCAAGTTTTGCAGTAAAAACATCAAAGTGAAAATCGATACGATGAGAACTGTGGAGATTTCGTTTTCATCACGACTTATGTCTCGGACTCGGAGAGAACGTTTTGCGACAATACTTAATAAATACACTTTCATACGTTTATTATTATATTACTACTATTGCCGAAACTATATAATATTATTTATTATTGCAATAAAAATGTTGTATTAATTCCTAATTAAATTCACTTCAACAGATATTTACCAATAAATATGAAGGTGTGTTTCATTAAAACGATATTTATGATCGCATTTATTTACCTTTAAATAACGGCAAAGATTATATTTTAGATCTGGACTATGATATATAATATTTAATTAAATATTGTATTTTTTTAATATTGTATAAAACTACTTTTTAAAAAATAATGTTATGGTTTTCAAAGACTTTGTTGTCTTATAATAAATACGATCATTTTTATATATGTAAATTGGCTCGAGAAACGTATGTTCAAAGTATGATCTAATTTAAACGTCCTAGTAAACAATTGGGATTATTAATTTAATACTTATAATTTCATACTTAGAACAGATAGATGTTTAACTATAATAATAAAAATTATATTAACCAATATTGTTGTAACTGTATCCTCTGTAATCTTCAAATGTATGTACTCGTATTGTAATACTTATATATACTTTATAAATATACATATTTAATAATGGAATGGTTCTAAGCTAACAAGAGTAATGGCTACAATATTATTGTTATCCACACATCGTTTATAATAATAGGTGAAAGCTATAATATGACTAATGTCAATACACACACGATATAAAATTGATTATCATATTTACAACTTATATGGATGTAAATATGATATCTTTATATATAATTTCAAAGTATTATATATTAAACTTTCCCCACTTTTTATTTCGCTAGAAATGTAGACTTTATATAACTATTTAAATATTATATAATTATTATATATAACAATAGTGCATCCGGAAATTATAGTATGTCTAATAGATATAAACATAATGTTATAAGAAATTAATTTTATTTCACACTGCACACACTATAATTTTTGTACAAAATATTTCCTAGGTATGTGTATTAGTGTATTGTGTATGAGAATATGTTAATTACTTGTATGTGTATGTGCATTAACTGTGTGTTGTAACTGTTTTAGTCACGCATGTGTTGCTTTGCATCCTAGTTTATGTATTTGTTTTATTTGTATGCTTTTAACACATCTGTTAATACAACTAAAATTTCGATATAAAAATTAAATTGTGTTATTTTTTAATTGCAACGAATGTTTGGTTGATAAATAGTTCGTGTAAGTGAGACCCCTACTAAGGTAGGACCAGTAAGTAGTATTCTATGAATTTCATTACAATTTAGACTCTATATTATTTTGACCACAATATTATTTTAACGTGTTGACCAAATAGTAAACTTCCATTACCTCTCGGTCTCTCGTTTACGCGATGAAATTTATGAATGTAGAATGATTAAATATAATAATAAGGAGGCAATATCATATCAGACCTCTGCAAATGCAACGCTTTAGTGATATCACGGTTGTCTAATGATAACGTGATGCCCCTAATGCTGTTTATGTGTATAGGCGACGGATATCACTTACCTTCAGGTGGGCCGTCAGCTATTTTGCTATTCCATTTACACAATATATATGTACATATATATGTTAATGTATATATAATTGCGCGCTACAGAATTCGGAACCGTTGGACTTCTCGTTCAACCCAGAGTACGAGCCGGAATTCAAGTTCTTCGACTCGACGTTACTCGAAGCGGTGAAACGCGGGGACCAGGATGTGCACGAGTTTTTTAGACTGCTCGCTCTCTGTCACACTGTTATGCCTGAGCAGAAGAACGGGCGGCTAGAGTACCAGGTGAGGACGATTATCGAAATATTATACATCATAACATATATATATATTATGATTATAAGTGTGTTATGATGGTTATAACACACGAGGTGGAATTTCAGCCCGACCCGATAGATATCGATTGTATATATCACTAACATATAAATTTCCCATGTCACGGCTCCTTCCGAAACAGATTTACCGATTTTTATGAAATTTTGTGTCCATATCGGGTAGGTCTGAAAATCGTCCAACATCTATTTTTCGTACCCCATGATGATAAGGGTTACTTACCCACCCCTATGTATTTTTATTGTTCATATGTGCACATGTAAAGATACGTTTTTTTTTTTGTATTTCTAGGCGCAATCGCCCGATGAGGCGGCACTGGTATCGGCAGCCAGGAATTTTGGTTTTGTGTTCAGAGAACGCTCGCCTAATAGTATTACAATAGAAGTAATGGGTAATACAGAGGTAAGAATTACCCCTGCCTTATTTATAATGAAAATATACATGTATATATATAGTGCATAAAATTAATTAAATTATATTTTCTGTTACAGGAGTATGATTTGTTATGTATATTAGATTTTAATAATGTTAGGAAAAGAATGTCCGTGATATTAAGGAAGGATGGAGAAATTAGGTTATATACAAAAGGTGCTGATAATGTAATATATGACAGATTAAAAGCAAATCAAGGAGATGTGAAGTCAAAAACGCAGGAGCATTTAAATGTAAGTTGTTTTAATAATTATTATTTTATATTTATTAGCCAGTGCACAAATAATTGTATGTGATTATGGTAAATCTTGGGCAACATGTTATGGCAGGCATTAACTTTCTTAGGACTTTTCTTTCATTTCTTTAAAAATGTTAGGACACCAGAAAAGGATGAATGAAAGTTATTATTGAGGGAAGGATAGAAGGAAAGAGGGGGAGAGGAAGACTAAGGCACATCAAGCATATTAAAAACAGAAGTCGTGACGTAACAACGTTTAAAGAGAATGATGGAAGGTCGTGGAAAGTGGCTAGAGTTCCACTGAAAAGAGCGTCGCTCTTATATTATGAATGAATGAGCTTCTGTAAAACGGTTCGATATCTCTAACAATTTAATATTACTTTTATAACATTTTCCTTAATTTCCTAGAAAATCAATCAATGTTATTAGAAATTCAATACTTTCATAATTGTTTCCTAATAGCACTGTATGAGTCAAGTGAGGGTTGGCCGTCCAGTTAGTTTCTTATGAAACAAACTTCGGTTAAGTAAAATTATAGGGAAGACCCATTTATTAAACTTTGACCTTTATGTTTCTTATAAACGTTCTTTATAATTGGTTATTAGTTACGACATAATTAGTAGATACCCGTGTATAAAGTGATTTAAACTTTTATTTAATAGAACTATTGAAGTTGTTGAAAATTTTAAATTTATTTTCCAAGAATAGTAGTAAATTATTTAATAACTAGGCGAAAGTTATAATGCTTAAAAAGGTTCAAATAAAGGTTACTTTACTTTAAATTATTCATAATTTATTGAATTTGAATTATCATGAATTAAGTTATTTCCGATAATAAGGAGTTTCATTTTTTGTTGTGTGGAAAATCTAAAGTTAATCCACTCACGAGAGGGGTAATGGAAAGGTGTGTGGGATTCTTAACGACTATTTTTTGTTTGTTTGGGTGTTTCTCTATATAATAGCATTGTCATAAAATGTATGTCTATTAGTTGTTTAGAACTTATAGTAAAACCTCGATACCTTACACAAATGTATTTTAGGGTAGTTCTCTTCGTCTACATTTTCATACATTTTTTATTGCATGAAAGAGCGTACGTGTAAAGGCAGCTACCATGTTAGGGTACAAGATTCCATTATGGTGCTTTGTATAACGGTTGGTGTGTGTGTGTGTGTGGTGTAGAAGTTCGCCGGCGAGGGCCTGCGCACGCTGGCGCTGGCGTGGCGTCCGCTGGAGGAGCGCGGGTTCGCGGAGTGGAAGCGCCGCCACCAGGCCGCCGCCCTCGCCCTCCACGACCGCGACGAGCAGCTCGACGCCATCTACGAGGAGATCGAGACGGACCTCCTCCTCATGGGTGAGAATCTATTCTTCCGCCCGTCTTTTTGTTACCTTCATTCCCAAAGTGGCCCACGTAGATCACGAGGGTCCACGGGAGACTTGGACGTTTTCGTTGGCGTGAGCTCAGTCCCCAAAGTCGCCCATGTGGACCCCAAGGGTCCACGGGAGAATCGGGTATGGTAGAAATTAAGCTCCTAGGGGTCCACCGAATAGCAAAATTTTGAAAGTGATATATGAGAATTGAAGTCTGGGAACCTCTGGTTTAATATAGCGTTATATAAATACATAAATTTTAGCATTTTTTATTATTACAAAGTTAAAAGTTTATCCACTAGCTTAAGGTAAATCGTTTAAAATGAGCTCGTTTTTATACAGAATCAATTTTTTTTCTACATTGCGTATTCAACTTACTATGTACATAAATATAAATGTAACAATACAATATTTTTTTATTATTAAAAGTCATTTAATTTTTTAACAGGTGTAACCGCAATAGAAGATAAATTACAAGATGGAGTACCAGAAACGATAGCGAATCTCAGTATGGCGGGCATTAAAATATGGGTTTTAACTGGTGATAAACAAGGTTGGTAATACGTTAAATCTATCATTCTCTTGCACTACCTAGCATTGGCAGTTGCACACGCGATAAACAAAAGAGTGTATGTGTATTTTTTTTTTAATTTATTTAATGTATTTTATGGATAATTAAAAAAAAACATAGTATTCTGCACTCCTCTATATAAACTATAAGTACGCCCAATTTCATACTCCTACGTCCGCACAATTTTCGTAATAAGGGGTATAAAATTTTTACTTCACGTATTACTATATGTACATAATGCTATAAATACACGACCGTTGATGTTAACGTATAAAAAATTCAGTCCGCGTTAATGTAATGTATTAAAGTGTTGACGCTCATCCATAATTTCATATTTCGATATTATATTGAATTTTTTGGATATAGGGCTTTGTCCAAAGATTTCAACGTTTGATACTATCAGAATAACTTTTTTTTTTATTATAAAATATATTTATATATCGTTAAAATTTAAATTCAAAAATTTATTCATGCTGTTATCATTATATAAAAAAATTGACGTCAAATTTTTTATATTATAATTTCTTTACCGTCCAGTTCAATATACAGATTCAATTGAGAAGAACTGGCAAGAAATTCAATTGAATTTCTTATTCCTTTTTTTTAAGCGACTTTATTTGTAAAGTTTACTTATATACGTAGGTGTTTATGTCTCCCATTATATATAGTGTAACGTATAATAACAAATTTCAGAGACTGCTATAAATATCGGGTATTCGTGTCAACTGCTGACCGACGACATGGCGGAGGTGTTCGTAATCGACGGCGTCTCCCACGACGACGTCGAGCGGCAACTCGGCAAATGTCTCGAATCTATACGAGTCGTTAACACATTCCTCCCTCATGGTACGTGTGTCCTGTTTGTATCATATAACTCTAGCGATAGATATAGCCTCATTTTGTCTGTATTACTAAATTACTGTACAACAATAATTCAATAGTTTAAAAAGATCATTCACTCTGGCGATAGATATAGCTTCATTTGAATTTTACGTGCATTATATGACTACTTTAGATATTGAAATCTTTAATTGGGTAAAATAATGGAAAGGTACACCCGAGTTCGCTAACGTTACACGTCGACGGTGCACCAGTGAATGATGATAATATTAGCTTATGAGAGGTTAGGTTAGTTCGCTCATTGTGAATAAATTGCCAGCAATTAACCACTCACTTACTTTCCTGCGTGAAAACCGATTCGAACTCGAAGGCCTTTCTCGTCGTATTGGTGTACATTAACATCACTTGGAGCGTGACGCGTGAAAGGGCGTGGGTGTCGGTAACCGTTGCGGCGTGTGGTAATGGTTGTGTGGTCATGTGGTGCAGCGGGCCCGTCGGGCGTGAAGGGCGCGGGCGAGGCCGCCAACGGAGCCCGGCCCTCCCCGGGCCGCGCCGCCAACGTCAAGCTCAACGCACCCGCCGTCTCCGTCGTCACATTTAGGTGGGAACATAACACAATACCACACCACAGGTAGAGAGACAAAGAGCTACACTTGTATACATCACCGCTGTCTCCTTCGTGCGCTGTCGCCCTGTCGCCGCAGGGGACTACATATATACGCAGATAAAGCCTAGGGCTAGCTCAATCTGGAACGTTATATTTGCTAAAATGAAACGTGCAGTACGTAAAACTATAACTAGTAGTCGGGCGACTACTAGTTATGTCAATAACTATGTAATGTAATGTAATTAGTGGTCCAAATTCGACCATAAATAATTTAACGTTTAGTAAGATTATAGACAAATATGTAGGATAACAAAATTAATTTAGGCACAGACAGTGTGTGAAATACATGCTAATGTTTAAAGTTTTTGTGATTGAATTAATAAATTTATTATCCATAAATGAAGAAATATTAGCATTCTACACAAATTTCAATTTAGTTTAATTTACGAATTTCAAACTCCTGCGTTCGCGCAATTTTCTTAAAAAGGAATGGTAACAACCTTACTTATGAATACAAATGTTTGTACCGCGCGAGAAATATTATAGAAACCACACCCATCGAAAGTAAAGCGTGCTAGACCACCGAGGCTGTCAAAATATGAACATTTGCGTACTGTACGTTACTATGTATACGTATTGTAATTCAGTAGACTTCAATTGTAATTTCTGTAGTTTTATTAATTGTTGCATATCTATGAAATGTTTATAACATTCCAGAATTAATACTGGCCGAAAAGCTTATATAACTGTTTATATGTACTCCTTTGGGCTACTACTTGTTTATTGTCCGCGTTGATACGAATCGCAATATATATCGTACTACACTCAGCCTTTCTGTCTCGAAATGAACCTTTTTAATAAAATATATAATGTAACAATAAAATATGTTTAATAAATATATTTTCACCAAGGTAAAAAAGTTGGTACCTCAGTTTCACCTATTTCACGCCAAGCAACTTAATGCGTTTCGGTAAAATGACACAAGGCAGGAAATTACTGGAAAAAGGCATGACATCTAATTCCTCTATATTGGCAATGCATGAGAGATATCACGTGCTTCATATGATAACGTGATGAAAGTGCCAATAACCAATGTTATACTTTACCATCAAGTCTATCGGCTTGATTGCCAGTCTAATTATATAAAAAAATTAACAGTATTGTGTAAAAACTACTGTGTTTAGCAATTAATTCATTTACTGTGCGCGGTATCTTGCGATTCGTATCAAACCATGTTTTATTTGTGATTGTACCTACCGTTTATCTAGTTTTTATGTAGTTTAACTTCAGTTGTCAGCATTGCTTGTTTGTAGGAATGGAGAAGTTTTAAACAATATTTATATTGTCTTAAGGTTAATAATATATTTATAGGATGATATATACAATTTATTGTAATAATCATTTAAATACCAAGTGAATTTTAATGAAATATAAACAGATATGTATGACACACATTGACTGATTGGGTTACAAACTAAAAAGCTAGGATGGAACACTTCACTCACATTCTTATATTTTACATACTGATCTACCTTTTGTGGGTGTCTTATATAAAGGGTATATTTGTAGGTTTAAATATATATAAATACAAATAATTTAAATATTCTTTTTTATACTACATAGCAATGGAATGTACAATGTCTCCACACTCCGCCCACCCTGTCACTCAAAGGAAATCTGAAAAAAATCACAGTTGATATTACAAGAAAACTAGAAAAATGTTTAAACAACTCAGTTTTTTGAAAAATCATTTAATATCGAGTACATAAAAGATTAATAGTCCCATTCTATATCTATTAATATTTCTATATAAATTAGTTTACACTATGTAAATCGTAATAAAGAAAATAAAGACTAGTTTATATAAACTAGTCAACCGAACTAACTATTAGTTTTGAACCACCGAAGTGTGAGTTCAATAGATTTTTTATATATTTTATCTTATATAGTATCCGATTAATATAGCAATTACACTGACTGTTTATCAACAAACATGAAGTAATCTGCTTGCCGGCTGCAATAGGTATAAGTTACCCACGCAGACGTCTTTGTAAAGTCTATCTTAGTAAATTTAATTTAATAAGCTAGACTTTGTAAAAAATCATCTGTAATAGGTATTAAACATATTTAAATTTAGATTGCGCATTTCATCGTTGCGTGATGATAATTTGCTAAGTTATATTGCGAGCTTGTGTGAGAAACTTGTGATATTATGTACTCATTATATGTGGCTTTTTTAAATGTAAGTGGATTGGGGCTTACATAGGTTAATATAGTAATGTAATAAAATATTACAGTACTCCTATATCAAGGTACTCTTATAACGCATTTTTATATTACGCGGATTTCAATCCCCCGTATAACATGGGGATTTCACACGTTATATTTCTTTACTGTGAAATTAATAATGACTTGTGCTCATGTTGATAATGTTGATTTGTTTTTTTACAGATCATAATTTTATTTAGTTACATTTTTATTTAGAATGTTCATAGTTTTGTTTTGGTTTTAATAAAACGTACATATTTCGTTCTAAATATTCAAATTGAACGGCCATTAGCCAGAAAAAATAAACGCCAATAATTTATACGTAACACGTTATGCGGGGTCGTAAAAACGCGTTATATGTGAATACTCCTGCAACGCGTTTTCCTATAACGCGGAACTAATCTACCGTATTATAGGGATGATTACTGTATTTAGATAATCGACCTACTGAAATATATTTAAAAAGTCTGTATTACTATAAAATGCTGTACAACAATAATTCTGTTACCTATATTATCCACCTCTATTAATACTAACTCCACCGTAGTGTTTCAACTTTTCCGACTGCCCTGTACACCAAGCCAGTGTGCTCTTTCTCTCTCTAATCTGTGTTAATTTTTCTCTCTAACCCGACACCACTAGACATACCTCCCGGATGCACTCACATAACGTGCTAATAATAGTTATAAATGCCTGCTATGCATCACCCCAAATACATTAGTCCGGTGTGATGTCCATTATAGTTTTAAAATATTGTCTTTAGATATGTTTTGTCAAGTAGACATTTAGTCATTGTTAACAGGTTCGATTCCTGTATTTGAACATGATATCTTTTACTTGTTATTACAATACATTACTACTGTGAAGTTTTGTATTAATTTGAAATGTAATGTTTTTTTGTCCTATAATTTTATAATATAAAGTAATATAAAAATCCGAAATGATTTAGCTCGTCTGTTACGACATACTTGTATTTTATGTATTCAATTCAGCCTGCTAATGACCCATATTATAAATACCTTATAGACTAACATATATGACAACATATGAAATAATAATAAACAAAAGTGTTAGGTTTTGGAAATCTTGAATAGAACTTATATTTCCTTTTCTTGCAATAATATTTCTTCTGAGATATAAAAAACGTTACTTCACAGATACTATGAAAATTTGATGACTTTGGCAATAAAAGACTTGTATCCAGAGACGTAAAACATATTAATAAAAAATACTAGTATTGCTTTTTAACTAATAAGCAGTTAACAATATGTATAACAATGGTGAGTGTTGTGGCACGTGGTCGTTACAGCAACGAGTACATGTCGGGCGGGCCGCAGTCGGCCGACTCACACGAGCCGACCAACGACGACTCCAATGGGTTCGCGATCGTCGTCAACGGTCACTCGCTTGTACACTGCCTGCATCCCAAGCTAGAGGATAGGTGAATACATTATTTATACATTTATAGTTACCGTACTTTTTTTTCATAACAATAATAATGCCGATAATACTCTCATCCAAAGGTATCATACTTAATAACCTTCATCATAATCTGAAACAATTATATTTACAAAAACACTACATCGCCCTTCAAAAGGGTGGCATTTTGAATAGATGTAGAACTATCCGAAAATTCTTGGAAATAGATGAAAATGGCATAAAACCAGTCACATAAATGAAAAGGCTCACGTTAAGTACATACACACTCACGCACGCATAACGTACACACGCACACATATGTACATACACTGCACTTACTTGGTTTCGGCCCATACATGTGATAAAAAACGAGTAAAAGCTGAGACAATGCGACAATAGAAAGAAAATAATAATAATTTCAGGACAATTCACACAGCGCCATCTAGACCCAAGTTAAGTTACCTAAAGCTTATGTTATAAAAATAGATATAATCTTTATTTAAACACACTGTTATGGGTACTACCAAATATATATCTGACATATATAACTGATACAAATACATAGTTTTTTTTTTTAAATACATATATATATTATACATAGAAAACACTCAGACCGATACAAACAATCATACTCATGAATATAAATGTTTGTGACGTGTGAAGAATCGGACCCACGACTATCAGAAGTAAGGCGGTCTGCTAAACCTCTAGTGGTTTAGCAGACCGCCGAGGCCGTCGAATAATACGTTAATAACCTTAATCACGTTGGGATAATGGGATTCTTTTTTTTATTTAAAGCAATATCTGTTACTTTTTTGTGGTGACATTCATTTTGCCTGTGTTATTATTATTTATATATTATTATTATCCTGTATGTGTATTCCTAAGTTTATTTTTGAAAGGAGTTTGCTTGTAATGTAGACTAATAACAATATTCATAACATAAGTGTAATTAGTAAATCACGGGATCTTACCACGTTTCACTTTTATTGAGTTTCCGATATTTCGGCAGTGTTTCAACCGCCATGATCATATAGATGATAAAATAAAACATTGTAAGATCCCGTGATTTACTAATTATACTTATAAATAATGACCGCGTCAAACTTAAAACAATAACATTCATACTAAATATAAAGACACACTTGCTGTTCTAAAGTCTGTTTATGGGAATGGGTATAAATTTTAGAATAAGATATCAAAGGGTATACTGGAATTAAATAAATTTCAGACATCTGTTAAAGCATATTTATTAAACAAAGCTAACTAAACTATTTTACATTTTGAAATGTGTAATAGATGTTACAAATTTATTTTTGTTTTAGGTTTCTAGACGTGGTGTTACAGTGTCGTTCAGTAATATGCTGTCGAGTGACACCGTTGCAGAAAGCAATGGTAGTAGAACTCATCAAAAAGAGTAGGAAAGCTGTCACATTAGCAATCGGAGATGGCGCCAATGATGTTTCTATGATTAAAGGTAAAATTATATTATATATTTAGTATTGCTATGTCTTTTTTTTTTATTTCTCTAATCCATTCTTGCGCCATCTACCACTTTCTGCCTTCGTTCCTTTATCCAAAGGTTGTCTGGAAGGGATTATGCGATAAAACCGCTTTTTATACCTTTTCACTTCTATTTATATTCTTTATAATATATTTCTGGTGCAATAATTAGTTTTTATTTACTTTCAGCGGCGCACATAGGAGTCGGTATATCTGGCCAGGAGGGCATGCAGGCGGTCCTCGCCTCAGATTACTCAATAGCGCAGTTCAGGTTCCTACAGCGGCTATTATTGGTCCACGGCCGCTGGTCCTACTACAGAATGTGCAAGTTCCTTAGATACTTCTTCTATAAGAACTTCGCATTCACCGTGTGCCACTTTTGGTTCGCCTTCTTCTGTGGATTTAGTGCACAGGTCAGTCGGAGCTTGTAGTCAGGTACAAGCTCAATTGAAAAGAATAAAAGCTCAGTTTCTTGTTAGATCTTCTTACATCGAAAGCACTATCATGAATAGTTTTTTAATTAATTAAGTCATAATTGTAAAAATACTTAACAAAAGTCATAATTGGCCAATTGCTTAACTTTAATTAAATTTCTATTATTAAAACTAATTGTAGCCTTTCTTGGATTAATAAATTGAATCTGAATGTTTGTCAGACGGTGTTCGACGAGATGTTCATCTCGGTGTACAACCTGTTCTACACGTCGCTACCGGTACTGGCGCTGGGCGTGTTCGAGCAGGACGTGTCCGACGCCACCTCGCTGCAGTTCCCCAAGTTGTACGCGCCCGGACACACCAGCCAGCTGTTCAACAAAACGGAGTTCATCAAGTCCACGTTGCACGGCTGCTTTACCTCGCTCGTACTCTTCCTCATACCCTACGGTCAGTACTATACACGCGAAGATTAGTAGGTAGAGCCCAAAAAGGATGCATTTTTTAAACTTATCCACATAGTATCCAGTAGGGACGAGATGTAAATACTAACCGTTAGTAATATTGTATATAATTAATTAATATTTGTATTTCCAGGTACTTATAAGGATGGATTAGCACCTGACGGAAAGATATTATCGGATCATATGTTATTAGGAAGTGTAGTTGCAACAATATTAATTATAGACAATACTACTCAAGTAAGTAATATTTATAAATAATGCATTATTATAGCAATAGTAAATTATAATGTTTATATTTATATATGTACATGGTATATAATTATTTATATTTGGTATTGTTATGCTTTTTTTGTTTCTCTTCTCCATTCTTGCGCCATCTACCACTTTCTATCTTCTCTCGTCTACCCAAAGCTTGTCTGGAAAAGATTGCTAATGCGATAATACCGCCTTTTGTTTGTATCTTATTACTTCTATTTATATTTTTTTATAATTTACTGTTTTCTTTCTGGTGCTATAAAGAGTAAATGAATATAAATAAATTTTTTCTTTGGCAGATCGCATTAGATACAACATATTGGACAGTGTTTAATCACATCACAATATGGGGTTCGTTGGTGTCTTATTTCGTGTTGGATTACTTCTACAACTACGCGATTGGTGGCCCCTACGTCGGCTCACTCACGGTCGCACTCACACAACCCACCTTCTGGTTCACTGCCGTACTTACTGTGAGTAATATTGTATTCACATAACGTCAACCGTTGTGAAAATATATTTTGAAGTAAATTTTATTAAATCTGTAAAATTGGTTAATATTTTATTAAAAATTTTATTTATATGTATAAACAGATATTGTAAACATACATCAATTTATGTGCATCTATAAAATAGTATTTTCTTTGTACAGTGCTGTTTGTAATCAGACAAAGTTTGAAGTCGGCAAAAAGGACTTACTTTTATTCATTTTTATTGTATCACATAAGACGTCATTAATTAGACGTCACACAGTGAGGTGATTAATAGAGAGAGGGTCAACAAATGGCACAGAAAGTACACGTTAAAGCAAAGCTACTCGTATCACGATCGGCACTGGGAACGTACGTCGGGTGTGTGCAGATGATAATCCTGATGGTGCCGGTGGTGTCGTGGCGGCTGGCGTGGTCGTGGGCGCGGCCGACGCTGGCGGAGCGGCTGCGCGCGCGGCAGCGGTGGCGCGCCCCCGCCGCCGCGCCCCGCACCCCCTCCGCGCGCCGCGCGCGGCGCTCCGTGCGCTCCGGGTACGCCTTCGCGCACCAGGAGGGCTTCGGCCGCCTCATCACCTCCGGCAAGATCATGCGCCGCCTGCCGCACGCCGCGCTCGCCTCGCTGCCCGGCAAGTTCCACGCGCGCCCGCCCACGCCGCCGCCGCCGCACGAGCCGCGCGCGCCCACGCAGAACCTCGACACGGTCGACTTATGAGCCCCGCCGTCCGCCGCCGCGCCCCGCCGCCGCGCCCCGTGCGCCCCGTGCGCCCCGTGCGCCCCGGCCGGCCCGGGCTCCGCTCCCTGACCGGGCCCGTCACCTCGCCGGCGCCGCGCCCCGTGCGGCCCGGGCGGCCCGGGCTCCGCTCCCTGACCGGGCCCGTCACCTCGCCGGCGCCGCGCCCCGTGCGCCCCGGGCGGCCCGGGCTCCGCTCCCTGACCGGGCCCGTCACCTCGCCGGCGCCGCGCCCCGTGCGCCCCGGGCGGCCCGGGCTCCGCTCCCTGCCCGGGCCCGTCACCTCGCCGGCGCCGCGCCCCGTGCGCCCCGGGCGGCCCGGGCTCCGCTCCCTGACCGGGCCCGTCACCTCGCCGGCGCCGCGCCCCGTGCGCCCCGGGCGGCCCGGGCTCCGCTCCCTGACCGGGCCCGTCACCTCGCCGGCGCCGCGCCCCGTGCGCCCCGGGCGGCCCGGGCTCCGCTCCCTGACCGGGCCCGTCACCTCGCCGGCGCCGCGCCCCGTGCGCCCCGGGCGGCCCGGGCTCCGCTCCCTGACCGGGCCCGTCACCTCGCCGGCGCCGCGCCCCGTGCGCCCCGGGCGGCCCGGGCTCCGCTCCCTGACCGGGCCCGTCACCTCGCCGGCGCCGGACCCGCCCCGTGGCTCGCTCGAGTAGCCCCGGAGGTTGCGGTCGCCCAGCGTGTGCCGCGCGCAACGCGAGCTTCGCACTCGGAGCTGTTTTCGCGGACTCGAATTTATGTCTGGCGCCGGCCTCGTAGACGGCACGGTGTCGTCGCGACTCATATTGTGATAATGTTAATAGATTTAAAGATTCGTATTATATTATTGCCTATATTAAATTATATTTGTTGATCGAGAATATATATTGATAGATATTTATTACGTACTAAGATTACTCTTTTATATCGAAGAAAACGACTAGTTATTTCGTGACGTTCCTTTACGTGTTTAGACGACGTAGTTATGTCGACCACTAGCACCGCCGACCTATGTTTCTTTGTTGATTTTATATGTTCCGTATCGAATCTGACTTATATCGTAATAGGAAATCAAACTTTATGAAAAGTGATTAGAACTCATTCTCAGAAACTTCAATGTACGGTGGGTTAACGAGACTCATTGTATTTGCCTTTTTAGTTTTACCCGCACGGACACTTCACAGAATCGCCTACTAAATATGAATCTAGGTTTTGTGATCATTATATGAATAACTGTTATCGTTGTATTATACCAATTTAGATATACTGAATTAAATAATAATATAAAAAAACGCTGTCCGTGAAGGTGCCCTTACAGATTATGGATTCCTCAATTGTGCTTAATTTTTGTAAATGCTTTTTTATTGTCAGTGTCCGAGACTTAGAAAATGTGCATTTATAACGGTATCTATTTCACTAGCAGTAAAAACGCAACATAACTTTACTTTTATGTTTCCTCCAAGTATTAATTTAGGTATTTTCGTAGTTATTAGTGCCAAAAGTGATTTATAACTATTTCAACTCAAATAAATTGATATTGATGCAATTGCGCTACTTATTATTATTTGGCTTTGTATTATTATTGTTAACTTTTGTTATTGATCAGTATTGCTTATCTGTGTTTTGATAATTTATTGTAAATTATTACTTTTATTAATGTAGCGTTTTAACTGCACGTGGATATGAACAACATTTGCTTTGGAATCGATTTTTTTAATAAAACCTAATTTTTATAATGTCTTTTATTTCTATAATTTTGGAATTAGCATAACTCCTGTGATTTTGTAGTTCAAATAATTTCTGATTGGATTTAATCTAAAATATTAAATGTATTCAATTGAGGCTAACCAACAGTCAGCAATGTATGGGAAGATACTTGAAAATAAACCCTTTAAAGTTAATCAAAGATCTTACATTAAATAGCTGATTCATACTATATATACAAGTGGTAAAACAAGGAGGCTTTTTCTGGGTATTATTGGAATGTGGCCTAGTGAGGCTTTCTTACTGACTCAGTCTCACCTATTTTATCCGTCAAGTAGCTTTGTAAGCTTCAGTTGGGAAGTCTGATTAGGCTCTAAAATTACTACAAGGCATGACATTTTACTCTTATCACGGGTATCTCATAATGTGATGCCCCCGGTGCTGATCATGTATATAGGCGACGCCTGCTGTTTAAGTAGGTTGCAGTAGAAATAGTAGTTGAGTTACGCTGAATTCGAGGTAACTCGAGTTGAATTCTGCTAACTCTAGTTGGAATAATTCAACTGGTAAATGAACGAATCAAGTGAAAGAGCGACAACATAGTTCGGTCGTCGAACCGATAATGACATGAAGTTTTCCGATCATTTCATATCATACAATTTTCACTCGTCACAAATGTCTCAATATTTATTTGTGGTTGTTATAATTTTTTCCCATATTCGTTCGGTTATGTTACCATTAAAATGATTAAATTAACGGTTGTCAGTTGTCATTTTTATATGCCTATTATTTTTTTTAGACCACGTAGGTGTCAAACAAGCATATGACCCATCTGATGGTAAACGGTTACCATAGCCTATTATACCATAGTATATTTTTATTAATGTCGAGGCATAAGAGGAAATTCTCTGTTCCCCGAAAATTTTTATAATATGATTCAGAGAACAAGCTCGTATTTCCTACATTTTTATGATTTTAAAAATCATTAAAAAAATAGCACTCAAGTCTCAAATAGAAGAAGTTGACCTTCAGCCATGCATGTGCTCCATAGGCCCTTCTGGGGCTTTGAAGTGCCATTTCTACTCACTCCCCATGGTTTGGTGAAGCTTTCAAGGCCAGCTACGGCCAAAAACATTAAAATTGTTCGAAAAATTAAAAAATAACTGTTTATTCCACGTAACTCGAGTCATGTTTATGACAAGTTAGCACATATATAGGCTGCAGCTTGTTGCTATTTCAATTACATATATAAAAACCATGTCAGGTAGATCTACAGAATTAAAATGTAGTATCGTCGTACATTTAGCAACCCTTTTTATATCATGTGGAAAAATCTTCAAAATACCCTCTCCACGCCAGAGGGGTGACTAGGAGGTGTATGGGATTCCCACCCATAAAAAAACCACACGGTGTATCTATGACAGCCATTGCCTGGAATCGCGAGGTCGCCGATCGCATTGGCATTCTACCGCGATTCCGACGGTGTAGGCCCGCGCTGTAGACGGTATAGGTGCCGCTTCGTTTGGGCCTTTTGGTATATTTACTTTACTCTTTGGTTTGGGCGCCCTACTCTCCCTCTGCTCTATTCACAGGTAGTAACCATTAATGAAAAAAAAAAAGAAGAAAAGATGACATTTGAGGGATGATGTTAGTAATATAATGATCATAACATGACATAATCTGACAAATATAAATTGTCAGTCTAAGTCATTTTTACTGCCATCCATTCTACAATCTGACATTCTTATTTAACACGTGTTTTTGTTTGACCGGCTTTAGTAAACGGAAATCTTATTTTATACTTCTTAATTCTTTAAGGTTATATTTAAAAACGTTATAGTATTATAATTATATAGTGGTATTATAATTTAAAAGATGACTGGATGCTATCATATTGTGCCGTGGTATAACAAAGAAGAATGGAACAGTGTCTACCACAAAATTTTTATTACTCCAAATAAAGAAGATGCTCTTAATTTATTACAAACATGGAAAGCAAGATGTCCTTTACTTCCATCTGGTATAGAATCTACATTTATTCTGCTACAAGTACAAGTTCAGGATGAAAAAATCTCGATGGATGTTGAATATGACCAGTTTCTTCGTCTTGCATACTCTGCAGCAATAATGCGATTTGTAAACCATATGCTTGACGCTGAAACATCTAAAGGGTCTAGTTTATATCATGCAGCAAAAAATTTAGGTGTTCCCGATTGGATTATAGACCTGAGGCATGACACTGCACACAATAGTAATTTACCATCATTGGAGTTACTTAGAGAAGCTTCAATAATAGGCTTAAATTGGCTGCAGGCTAATTATTGGGACAAATACAAGCAGTATATTGAAGACTACATCACTGGACAAAAACATTCACCTAACTCTGACGAGAATCAAGTTGCAGCTTTAATACATTTCTGTATATCTTTAAGCATATGTGCTCATCGCAATTCTAATATTAAGACATTGTCTCAAATACCAGTTGATATGAGGGAATCTGTTATATGTGATGCTACAGATTTATTTGGTGATTTAATTGATTTGTCTAATTTGAAAACTGTGTCAATTAAGTCATTGGTTAATTTAATGAATGTACATTGTAAGAAATTCCTGAAAGGAAAAAATTCTGGGGCATATGTGAATAAAGTCCTGCTTGGTGAGGACTCCATATTTCTATCGCTGGATCTTCTTCAATATTTAGGTGGTAATGAATTTGCACACAAAAACAGATTTAGAGCATGTTATGTTCAATATTTTGAATTATTGCTCACATTTCTCCATACAAATGAATTACTATTGGAATTTATATTGGAGCTTGTACAGACAACCCAGTCTAATCACTGTATTGAAAAAAAATGTCACCTTGCTGCAATTTGGCTTTCAGAAATACTGAAAGCATTGAGAAAATGTAAAAATTTTGTTGATAGAATCAAGTAAGATTTTATATTTTCTAAAGATCAATGAACTGACTTAATATTAGTTATTATTCTAATTGGAATTACTTTGTTTCAGAAAAAACGCCATGGATATTAGCGCAAAGAATAAAAAAGACTTAAAATCAATTTATAATCATTGGTTCCCTCACGATGACAATAAGCTATTGCTTGATTTGCGAAAATCACCACCATTGCCACTGCTGGACATAAACTTTGTGAAACCTATCATAACAGCATACAATCCATATCTGACATATTTCATCAATGATTTATTAAATTTAGTGGAGCCACCCCTACCTGCGCCAATTAAAGAAAAAATATGCAAATTAGCAAATCTCATATCATTTCCCCAAAAACTATCAACATCAATACCATCGAAAATTTACACTGTTAATGATATAAAGAAGCAGGAAGATCCAACTAATACAGTAATGTCTTATATTGATACTGATAATTTAGAGCAATCTTTAGATATTGAGATGATGGATCAAGAAAACCAAGAACTGTCTAAATTGGGTATTTGGAAATTATCTTCAAAAGAATTTGATTGGTCGACTTGTCCCATTGGTCAATTTTTGTAACAAATAAAAATTAAAAGTAATACCTTCGTATTATCCTATACATAAAGAAAACAATAGATATCTGCACAGCAATTGTTTATTTTTTATATTGTATACAGTACAATGTTTTGGTTACATTTCATTATTTTGACAATATTATAGAGCCCTAAAAATAAATTGAACAATATACATGTTTATAATATAGTACAAGATTCATTAACGATAATTGTACGAAATCTCAAATAGTCAGATAACATACACCCCTACATGAGTACACGACGGCAATTTGTAAACAGTATATAGTATTGGTCCTTAGCAGATACAACTATAGAATTATAGTAAACAGAGATGTCTCTATATAGTAGGAATATCAGACAATAATATCATGTAAAAATTCCATCACTTGTTTTATATTTGTCACAATACCACTACCATAACAAAATGGTAACCCTAATAGATTTTTGAACAGATTTCAATCATTTGATCTCTTCAAAATATACCAATTGCAGAAAGTTTTACAAAGGTATTATTGACAGTATTATACAATTTAACATTATTATGTCAACAGATCTAACACAGTATCTTTATAAGGATACTTATTACATACTAATGAACTACTGGGTAAAATTTAACAAATAAAAATAGTCCTAAGTCTAAGACAAAATGATTAGGCACCGGTTGTTACTTAATTTAATTTCGTAACGCAACAACAAATCCGACTTTAAATGCTTTCATAAATAAAAACAGATAGAAATTTAGGCAGTAACATGAACAACTATCCCTATTAATTTTATTATATTTACAGAATTCTTGCAAGGAACTCGTCAACTATCTACATACACTTCTAGTGTTTACATTACCAGATTGCACACTAAATTACATTCTTAAAATAATTATGATATATCATGAGTTCCTCCAAGTATTTGAAATGAAGGACAATCTCAGTTTCAAATTAATTAAATCACAATTTTAAAATAATATTTCAAAGTGGACTATTAGATAGATAGTTAATAGTACAGGTCTTATAAGAGCACTATAGTTATGTTTACAACAGTCAACTAACAGCTGAACAATCATACACATGGACTGCTGAAAGCATACTAATTGAAGGCACAGAAATACAGTAGATTACTGCTGCGACACAACCCTAATAAATACAATTAAACAATTTCATACGCGATATAGAATATAATGGCCACCTCTGCATGCTTCCATACATGCACACTATTATACCTTCACATGTAATGTCTGATAAATAATAAAAATCACGGCTCTAGGTAATTTATTGCGAGTTAAATAATAAAATACATGTTCTGAATAGAGGGATTTTGTTTAATTAGTACATGATGTGCTTCATTGTTTATTTTATTTGTCATAGAGCAATCACGTTGTTTCAAGTAAAAAGATTATAAAATAATTTTATTACTAAACATTGTTATGTCACTTATATAATTTATTGAGCTATGTGGCGCCCTTAGGCATAGGAGTTCATTAATTACAAGCATATAATGATTTCACAGAGATATTCGTTGTTTTGACAGAAAAAGTTACAAACTAATTAAAGAGCAGGTAAATATTTGTGACTTACATAACGATAATTTTAATAGCTTATCAGTAGGCAGTCTTTTTGAATATGAAAACAGTAAAATATAAAGCAACTACAAGGAACAAAGACACGGATAAAATAAAATAGAGAGTAATTATGTATATGCAACAATAGCTACGAGGATGGTGTTCCTTTTCTGATTGTGACTATGGTATTTGAATTCATACGATCATTATGACATACAGATCAATAATACAAATTTTAGTACACATTCTCTTGTAATTTTAAATAGGCATTACTTATAACAAGGAGAGACAGGTAGAGTCAAAGATCGCAGATAATGGCATTGTGCAGTTCTCTGGATTATAGGAAGTAATAAAAATTTAAATACCATAGAGAACTAGTGATTGACTAAATTAAAATTATCAACATACTTCATATTTTTGTTTGGGCACGTTACAAATAAAGTTCCTAAAATAAAAAATTCGGATATAATTAACTAATCTTAAAAACGATATTGCTATTTAAAAGTTTTAAGATAACATTTACATATTTACAGAGAAAATATATCATAAAATATAATGTGTATGAGAATATTTAATTAGTACTCCAAAAAGTTTTGCCAAAGACGTTCAAAACTAATGATATTATAGTTCGATAGGTTATACACATTGCTTGGTGAAAGTATTTGTAGAACACATGTTTGTTCTTGGAACCGCCTTCACCAAGCATCAAAGAAATGTTAACATTTATACTTCAAATAGTTTAGGATGAATAAACGGGAATGAAATACTAGGCCGCCCTCTTAATAGTTTCGGTGTTACTATTAGTTGTGTATAACCTATCCTTAAGTCTTATTTAAGTTTTAAGTAAAATATTATTGTTCAAAATACACTACACGATTCCTCTATATGAATATACCAGAGGTACCGATATTAGGCTATACCCTCCATACACTATGTGAATAAGCTCATACATTTTAAGTACAGTAACAGTATGTATCAGATACAGTTTTTCTACGTCATTCACGCTTATCTTTCTAGATCGCACAACTATATAAACCTAAAATATAATTTAATCTCAATTAATCATTGCAAATCAACATTATCAACGGCAAGAAGAAATAAAACAGCAATCAGGCCGAGCATCTATTTAAACTCATCACAAAGAAAAGTTCAACCAAATTATTATAATTATATAATTGTCCTTGTTCGAATATTAAATACCTAGTGTCATTTGCCGATTGTGATTAATATTTAGTTTTTTACATTTTTAGCTGTAAATAATAAATAATATATTTGTTGTAAAAGATAAACAATATAAGAGAGATATAAAAGAGAGAATTGTATATAGATGGCAAATTAAAGGATAAGTTTAAAAAGTTTTAAATATTAGCACACACCTTCCCAATTGCCTTCGATAAAGTATTTAAAAGTAAATCAACACCCATCATATATATATATATATATATATTATACTAAGAACAGAAACATTACAAGGTTTCTGGTTGGCTATTATACTATATTGAAATATTGATAGATAATATTATAATTGAGAAACAAATGAAATCGTTGCTAAAAAAAGCATAAAAACGGCTTAAAATCCACTACTATTGTGAGACTAAACTTTCCTGTCATGTGTGACATTGTAAACTACCCCAACAAAAGATTACACTAATTGCAAATCATAAATGGACTATTTACTACTGCGGTGTTAATTGTCATAAGATGAGAGCTTGTACTATGGCGTGTTTACAATACACCATATATTAAGGCTCACCCATTTAACACTAAACTCAGACCTACCAAGTTAGACCCATTTACATTATTATAACGTTTACTTGTAGTACTAGAAAGCGAGCTTTATTTACGATTATAATCCTACTATACGAATTCTATAATAGTCAGTTGTCATATATCTCTACTAAATACGCATAGTTATGTAAACTGGGCATTAGAAATAGGGGTACATATATTAGCAACATACAACTTGATTACGCTAAGTTTAACTGGAATATCATGCTTTTATTATGTACACCGCAGGTTACGTCGAGCGTTACGCGGATTGGTTAGGTACTGGCTTGGTTAACTTCTGAATGGAACAGGTGCCGTATTTTTTTAGCTGTACATTGTCAGGGAGATTGATTGGCTGAGTTAGTAGCTGGCTTATTGTAGTAAATCCACCATATATGAATAAATGTATATTCCTAAGTGTAGCGCGTGAAAATTAAAGAGTTGATTTTTGTATTGTATAGCTAAAACAGCGAGCTTTGCCTACAAAAATATTATATATCTCAGTAGGACGAAACCGATTTTTCTGTCATGATAGAAACGCCACTGAGCTGAGGTTGAATTGAATAGGTAGCGGACGGTGGCAAGGTAGTGTAGTAATGATGCGGATGGAAAAGTTAAACCATAATGGGGTCGTCTGAGGAGAGCTGGCGGTGAAGCAGACGTTGAGAACGCAGAGAGGCCGCGCCCGCGCTGAGGTCATCGGAACTGCCGAATTCGCCGTCATGGTCCGTTGTTGACAGCAGGTCGTCGTCGGATGTCGCCCTAAATAACGAATAGCCATGTAGATAAGTGTTCAAACAAAATTATGTAATTTAAAGATTTCAATCAATACGACAATGAATACCAATTCATTTAATTAATAAGCAAAATTCATATGGTTCGCAACCACCGGCGAGCATTATAAAACTATTCCACATATTATAAAACATAAAGTCTCCCGCCGCATGTCATTCAGATGTCCGCGATAATCATAAAACCTACTAGCATATTTTCATATGGTTTTCATCCATCAACAGAATTATTTTTAAGAACGGTTTGGTATATGATTTGTTAAGTATGTAATTTAATTTATATACCCGCGCGAAGCAGGAGCAGATCGCTTGTCTCTAATAAAATGGAATGGAATTGAGGTTTGGAAATGTATTATCACATCGATAATGACTATGAAAGTATATTGTTCAAAATATCTATCGTCATAATTCCAATAAGACTATACAACACTAAATTTTCTTCAATAAAAACTTGAGTATATATTAGTCAATTCTAAACCGTTTTAAGTGATATGTTTCTTACATATCACTTAAAACGGTTTAGAATTGACGAATATACACTAAATTTTTTATTTGTACTTGCCTGATGAGAGTCGGGAGGTTGGATGTGAGGATGGCCTTCTCCTTTTGTATCTCGTGGATGTGTCCGACCAGGATCTGCTCCTCGGGCCGCGGGGCGGCAGATTGTGAGAGCGTGCGCAGTGACGACAAACGGTTGGTGGCTGTGTGACAGGCCGTATCCAATGTCGCAATGTCTTGAAGCATCCCACGCACCTGCAACACGAACACATTGGCTGGAAACATCTCAGTAAAATATTACGGAACTCAGTAAAATATTACTCTGGAGTAAAATATTACGGAAATCTTTTTACGTTAACTCGTTCATGTCTGACTAATGATATCCACTATCAATGACGATATAGAAATTAAATAATGGTATTAAAATAATATGTGAAAACAATGGTGAATACTAACAGTATCCAATCATAAAATTTCATGCTTTACGATCTAGCATTACAGTGAATTCAAATTCAAAATATCTTTATTCATGTGGGTCTGGTACAGACCTATGAATTAAGTAGCAGCTATATTTTATTTACTAAGAAACTGAAGAAATATTGATTAAACCTGTTTTGTCGCAACTCTGTTGTATTATAGCTAGAATGAAAGTATTAAATGAAAGGTACCCATTTCACATAATAAATATGTATATTTTATATATTTATTATTATAAACGATAAATGTTATTTAGATTTTTATATACTCATCGCTGTGGATGACCACAGTATATGTGTGCTGTATTCCACGAGACAGAGTACTAGTTGGTGACATGTGTATGTATACTGACGGTGCGCATCTTGTCGTGCAGGATGGCCTCGAGGCAGGCCGTCTGTCGCGCGATGTCGTGCAGCGAGTCCTGGGCGGGCTGCACTTTGTGCGTGCGCAGGATACACGGCGCGAACACAATGGCCAGGGCGTTCGGACCCATTCTGTATAAACCGAATTAAATATTGTACGAATATATATAATATATTTTTGTAAGTATTATAAATAAAAAAAATATATATTTGCTCCGCCAACAACTTATCTCTGCACCACCCATGACTAACTGGTTGAAAATGCGTATGGGTATAGATTATTATTTTGAATTTTCCTTTCCGTATCAATTACATTAAGTCCTTAGATTATAAGATTAAATATCTTAAAAACTCTAGAAAAACGAAAACGATCTGAATTACTGCGCAAATTAAAATTAATCACTGTAAAATTGAACACTACAATATTTTTATTTTAAGTCATTCAATTATCTAATATTTAAACATTCAATTAAATTACCTGTTGTGATCTTCGCCCAACGCCACTCTGGCTAAGTGAAATATTAATCGCTCCACTAGGTCGAAGTTAGGTTTAGGCAATTTCTTCAATATCGTAAATATACTTGACACTCTTTCCTGTAAAATAAACATTTTATATTTAGATGATTATGATCAGTTCGTCAACTATACACGAAACTGCAGACTGCACCCAGTGTTTTAAGGTCCTAAAGCATGAACTGACTAGGGATGGAACAACTGAACCCGTAGGGCGGTTAACTGCCGTTATGGGATCGTCGATCATCGGTCAGGATCAATAAGAACGTTAGTATTGTCACGACTAATTGAAGATGAACTTAACAATGGCTAGCCGGCAGATATATGCACAACTATATCTACGTTCCCGTATCGACCAATTAGAGCGTTACCTGCGGGTCGGAGATCTCGGCGGCGAGGATGAAATCGTCGTAAAGATCGAAGGTGAGAAGCGGCTCGGGCAGGTCGCGGAAGAAGCCCTTCAGTACTGAAGCCCGCACGTGCACCGCGTACGCGTCCAGCCGCTCCACGCCCTCCACCGGCCGCTCGTCCAGCAGCCGTCGCAGCTCGCGCACCTGACACGTAACAATCATTATAACAATGATAATCACACTCCCAAACTATGCAATATAAATATACAATTGTAATACTCGAAAGGAGATAAAAAATCAAGTTTCAACAAATTGGTTTTGGCAATCATTTCGCTTAAATAATCCATAACTTGTAGTCTTGTCACATATAACTTGTGAAATTCATTACTGTCAATCCTTAGTGGTTCAAATTTTTGTACAAACCTTCGAACTCAGTCCGCTTTTTCTATAGAGTCCCTCTGTGTAGAGACCAGTCATTTCTATCGTTGTAATTAGCCGATCCACCACTATTGGTATATTAGTATCACCAGTCGGCAACTCGCAGAGAGGCACACCGAATACCTGAATACGAATACAAAAATTATATATTGTACTTTCACCCAAAAGAAAAAAAACCAGATGGGACATAAATATAATTCTGATAAAGAATATTACAAGATATAGAGGCATTATAAATTAATGCTCGGGAATGTCAATGCACGATAAATCTATAGAAGACTAAGGGCGTAAAATGACGATGTAATGTTACCACGTGCTACCAGTTCTCTATATATACACATTATGAGGGCAAAATAGGAGAGGAATTGTAGTTTTTTTTTATTAATGTGATGCCTCTGGATGCTTATGGAGATTGAATCAACGTCCTGGAGACGGTAAGTGATATTCTCTTTATGCAAGATTTTTACAGTAGTAGTATTTGTATTTAACGGTATCCTGATCACGTCGGTATCTTGATAATGTCAGGGTATCGAATAATAACTTCACCACTGTAGTGTTATGTATGATGTGATGAAGTGTCACTTCATTTGTTTTCTGTAGTGAGAATATAGGTGTAATGTTAATTTGGTTGATAGTGTGATACATGGCTTACTAGTAACGCAATCATGGAGTCATAACGTAGACTGGTATTACACTAAAGTTAAATTAATTGAAGAGTGCTAAGTATTGACAGAAATATCTCGAGTGTAGGCACAATATAATCATAGAATACTCGCTTGCTTGTATTAAGTTCATGTATATAAATACTTTTACTCTATTTTTTTTATAAGTGCACACTGTGATTACCTTTCCCCTGGGCAATAATCCGAGGTGTTCCCGGCCGCCCGCCCCGACGGCGCCCACGATGGCGGCCGAGCGCGAGCCGGAGTCTCTGCGGCACTGACTCGTCACCTGAACATACCACATACCGTATTATAAAAATGTTAAATAGATACATAACTTTGATAAAAAATGACAGATTTGATTAAAAATTAAGTAATAGGCGCAGGCCTGCAAATAATTTGAAAACTATTTTAATACCACGTGGCCTGCTTAATATTGTATCACATTAAGAACAATCTTCATTGCCTATATCTTTGTTCAAGTATGTACTTCGAAAACTAAACATAATTATATTGCATTTATTGATATAAATAGGTATCAGTTATTTTTATTGCAACAGCTTTGAGTTGACATATTTGATATTATTTTACCATACATGATTGCTTTACGTTTCAACGTATATAATATATTACCTTCATATAACACTTTTTATGTGATGCCAGCTTGCACGACTGGCAAATTAGGGAGCGCTCAATGGGCCACATGAAGAATGTCTTGCAGATCTCACATTCAGTAGGAATGTTTATCATGGATAAAATAAATGTATGTCCCTTGTATTGTATAGGGTCGTCAACCTAAAATATACACGGAAAAAATATTAGAGAATATAACTTTATATTTAGTATTTTCTGTGCTTAAGTTTTACTTTGTAGTTTACAATTCTTATTGTATACTAGCTGTTCCCGCAACTTTGTACGCGTGGATATTAACTTAATTTTTCTAAAAAAAAAAGTAGTCTAAGTTACTCCTTAGCTCCTTTCAGCTACCTGCTAAAAAAAGTCCCGTCAAAATAGGTCCAGCCATTTTGGAGATTAGCCGGAACAAACAGACAGACAGACAAAAATTAAAAAAATATATATTTTAGTGTATGTACCGTATTTATATTCATATGCATATAGTAAAAAACGCTTATTTCAGTATTACATACAGACACTCCAATTTTATTTATATGTATAGATGAAAATTACAATAAAACTATCGTTTGTATACCTTATACTTTTTTATAAGTTTTATTTAGTATCTTAGTAAAAACTGACATCACTAATAGAGTATAGACTTTATATATCAATCATATTAAAATGTGATTGAAATTGTTTGATTTCTCTTATGTGATCTATGTGAGATACTTATAAAGTATATAAAATAAAACCAAGACCCAAGTTAACAAAACTATTACGGAGCCAATACATTCAAAAGACTCATCAAGTTTTTTGAGAATGTCGTCTTTTATTACATGGAACGGAATGGAAACTAAATAATCTTTTAAAAATTAAAAGCGAGGAACCGCGTGTTCGTTATTGAATAAAGTACAGTAAATATTTATTATGGAACTGGTTTTTATGTGCGGTTTCGTGTTCGCAACAGTTACTTATAATTCTTATCTCAAAGATTTCTTAAGCTGTTAAAGAGTGAAAACGTAACAAACTTCTCTTTTAAATTTACAACATACTCTAGGATGTCTACAAAAACTGTAAACAAAGAACAACAATAGTGTCTAATCAAGATTTACACTACTTACTTTTCGTTTCTTATCCTTTTTCCTCTTCGTTCTAGCCTTGTCAGTTTCATGCTGACTCATAAATTCGTCCATGAAACCTCTGAAGGCGTTTACTCCCATCGTAATGTTCAAGGTAGAGTCCTCTCGAGCACAGACTGTCTCCATCACGTGTAGAAAGTTCCCAATTAGATCCTTGTATTTGAGAGCTGAACCTCTTGTCTCCACCACGCTATACGTCGCTACTAGGTTGTCTTTGAACTCGTTTAATGCGTGTTTGAATACTCTATCCACCTGTTGAGTTCACATACTTATTAAAACCAAAAAAGGTACACATTTTGTTGGAAGGTCGTTAAAAAATATTTTAGAAAATAATATTTTTTATATATATAAGTATAGACAAATAATATTAATATAGATTATAATAATAATAATTAATGGACAATTAACACAGCGCCAACTAGTCCCACGGTAAGCAGAGCTTGTGTTATGGATACTAGACAAGTGATGTCAATACTCAGAATACATACATAGGGATACATAGAACACCTAGACCGATACAAACGACCATACCGATGAATACGAATGTTTGCACCGTGCGTGGAATCGAACCCACGACTATCGGATGTGAAGCGGTGTGCTAAACCGGTAGACCAAACTATAATTATATATTTATTTTAACTTGTGAATTGTATATGGCTTGTTTAGATTTAGGAACATGATAATTTTATATTTATACCTCTGACTGTTTGTCGTTGTCCGATGATCCCATTTGATATATTTTCTTTGCGATAAAATTTTGCATTGCTTGCAATTCAGTCGCGTCCGATATAATTTTATCAGTTCTATCCATAAACTCTGAGGTGCCAGTTAAATTGAAATTAGAACTGGATGGTACTTTGGACTGGTCTGCTAGCGTGTTGTAGTGATTGGACTCCTTAATCATATTCCGTTTTCTGTTTTTAGTTCGTACTCTAGAGCCGGCCGCGACTGGGCTGCTGCACGGCATGGTGATTACACCCTTGTTTTGTATACACTTGGTGTGGTACAATTGTTTGCAGTCAATACAGCGTTGGCCTTGTGTGATGAATGCGTCGATCACCTCATGACAATACACGCAGTTGTCGCCTTTTGCAAATCTCGAGCCTTTACGAAATCTGAGCCAAATAAAGTGTTATGTAGAGTCGTTTTTGTGTTGAAGAAAGAGAGATACTTGAAAAAGATTTCAGTAAATACAAAATATTTTAATTAATTAATATTTATGAGGAGTATATTAATTAACTTTTATGAAGAAATAAATTTACTGTTATAATAAATAATATATTGACTAAATCACACGCTTACTCGTGGGCAGTACACATCGCTACATACAGAAGTTGGCTTGTTTGAGTATTTTAAATGGAGTAATATATCAATTCCAATGGTAGTTATTAGAATAATTGCTTTGCTTTCATAGTTAAATTAATTGAAAAAAAAGAATAAATAATAGTACAATATATCTAATACCACTAATTTTGTCATTATTAGCTGTTTTAGACGACATTTTCTTACATGCGCGATTAGGAAGCGCGTGTGAGAAAGCCACCGTTACAAATCGTGAGTAATCGGATTTTACTATTTTTTGTTTTCACGCTTTATTATTGTTTATGTAACATACACATGTCTTTTAATATTTTTTTATACCACACATTTTATTTTCCAAAGACACGTTTAAGATTAATGCATAACAGCTCTATAATTATGTCTTCGTTTTTACACCGGACGATATTCCTATCGTGAAGCGATTGCAGATAGCACTCCAAACTCTCACTCGACCGATACGGTTTTAGTCTAAGGATACCGGCGAGGGTTCAAACCTCGGCTCGGGCCGTCGTAATTTCTATCCCCGTTCAATTTGGACGGGAAAAAAAGCGTGTTCGTGTAGCGTCAGCGGCGGCAGGTGTCACCTGTGTCCGGCGATGCGGAAGAGTCCGTTGCCGGTCTGTCCGATGTAGTCGGTGGAGCGCGGGTCGGGCGCGCGCGGCTCGCCGGGGGCGGGGTCCGAGTTGCGGCGCCGCAGCGGGCCCGGCGCCGCCTCCGCCGCCCCCGCCCCCGCCCCCGCCTGGCTGCACGCGCGACCAGGCGACACAGGGTTCAGCAGCTCCGACGCCGTTCTGATAATATTACTTCTTTATTGCACACATAACAAAAGTACATACTTTTGTAAAAAGTATGGTATTGACAAAAAAGTATTTACGTAGAGAAAAAAAGCCCCTCCTTTTCTCTCTCGGAGGCGCATAGTATCCAGTATACTATATTTATTACATGATTATTTATATATGCTCGTTTTAAATATATAAAATAAGTATAAATAATACAAAATAAATAAATTTACACATGTATACTTATTGTATGAGAACAGGAGCAAATTTAGATATAATTAAATTGCATTGATATTGTTTCAATATATTAACAGCATGCTCCTTTTTTTCCTGTAAATTTTATTCTAAAGGCTTTCCACTAATATTATAAAAAAGGGCGAAAGCTCACGGATTTCTGAACACTGTGTCTACCTTTACATGCACAGACTGTCCCGTGTGAAAGCCAATTCATGTGTGAAAATGACGTGAAGGTAGAAACAAAAAAACCAACAACATACAAATTTACCTTCCCTACCGTATTTATATGTCAGAGCTGCTATCTAAAATAATACAAATAGTGAAACCTTTTGATATCGAGTAGGTCCGGCAGCGGTTGCGAGGCGTCGACGGCGTCCGGGGGCGGAGCCCGCGGGCTGCGGCGCGCGGCGCGGGCGGGCGGCGCGGGGGCGGCGGCGGCGGGGAGGGCGGCGGCGGCGGCGGGGGAGGGGGCGGGGGGCGCGGGAGTCACCGCGGCCGTGGCTTCGCCTGATTTCGCCGCACTCGTAGACGTGCAATCGGCCGCCACTGAGCACACTGAAAACAATTCTTATATTAAAAAACAATAATCCAATATAACCTAATCTATATTATAAAATGAGTTTGAAATTAATTATGTAAAACGCAATTAATGTCATGTTACAAAAAACAAATTTTAGAAAATCTTTCTTGATTAAAGCGTAAGATATCTTATCCTATCTATATCGATAATATATATATATCGTATGGTAATGGTATTAAACATAGATCCAAGTCCAAAGAAAAACAAGTGATCTGCATGAATAGCAAGTAATTGTAGAATTAGAACAAAATATCCTTGCTCCTTTTAGTACACTATTTCTTTTATATTAGTCTATATACAGACCTGGGTTAATTCTTACTTATACAAATGTATATAAAATAATAATAATAATATTCCAGGACAATAACACAGAGTTATTTAGTCCCAAGCTATGCAGAGCTAGTGTAATGGGTACTAGGCATAAGATATAAATACTTAAATAGATATTTTTTATTTATCCAATAAAAAACAATTGTGCGAAGAATCGAACCCGCAAATTTCAGTAAAGGAAGGTAGTGTGCTAAACCACTAGATCACTGAGGCCGTAATTTTGTTTATTTTTTATTTTGGAACATATTTAAAATACTTCCGTTACATACCAATATTTTGCCATCACTCTGCAATAGCAATTTAAAATTTACCGAAAATTTTAACAATTATATCTAAATTATATTTACTTACCATAATAATAAAACAGAATTTTAACACACACATTGACATATCCCATCATAATCAAGAATAGCCACGCACACACAAAGTAAGCCCAATAATTATGACGTTGCAGAGGCATCTTGGTGCATGCACCGAACTGTTTTACGCATATACTACACATGTTAATTTTTCGGCTGCTATACGATATATGAATACAAAACCATAAAAATTGAATGTACTAATCTAATTTGTTTACAAAAAATAATTACGCTACCTACCACTAAATATTATTAATGACCCGTATTATAATAGTAACGAGGTGATTTAGAAAACAATATGTAGAACATAAATAAACATGTTAGTTAAAGATCTGTTAATTTTGTAATGAGTTCATATAGAAATAAGAACAATACACTCAGTGTCATCTAATAGACAAGAGTAAATTAAGTACTAAAAATACTTATTTTTTGTAAATGCATACATAATATACATAGAAAACAACCAGAGTAACACAAAGAACCATACTTAAGAATACATATGTTGACATTGTGCGAGTAATGGAACTTGCAAACATAGGAAGTAAAACATACGTTTTACTAAACCGCTAAATAACCGAGGCCGTTTTTCGAATTAACCGTCGCGTTGCGCCAGTCAATAGGCAGTGGGCGGATATAAAACAGTAAAACAGCGGGAAAGTAGTGTGATACAGCTGGAAACAGTTTTATGGTTGAGTTTATTTAAAATCAAGTGTTTTGAAAAACGTCATGCGATATACGTGCCTATTTAACACACTCGGTTCTATGCTCTTTTACGCCTCGTGTGTTATAACCATCATAATCTACTTATATCGATGTGTACTAGTAATATATTTATATTTTATTTAATAGCTTGTAAACATAGGAATGAAATCTTATATATAAAATTCTCGTGTCATCATGTTAGTTACCATACTCCTCCGAAACAGCTTGACTGATATTTATGAAATTTTTTATGCATATTCAGTAGGTCTGAGGGAATCGGCTGCTATCTATTTTTCATACCCCTAAGTGATAAGGATTGCCTACTCCTAACATTTTTTTTATTATGTGGGATTAAAAAATACCGGCACATGTTGCTTATTTTGCAATATAAATTTAAGTAATAATAACGCTTTTATAAAATAAGGGTCGAAGTAAAAATTTAGTGTTGTATACAAAATTTTTACTTCGACCATCAACCCATGCTGCCAGCAACATGTGCCGGGATAGCTAGTTATTAATAAATAATGATAGTCACTGGCGGAGACGCTGGCGGCGGCGGTCAGCGGCGGGTGGTGGCGATGGTGGCGGTGGTCGCGGTGGTCGCGGTGGTCGCGACTGTCGCGCGGGTCTCTCCGCACGGGCGGCAAACTGTGCAGGGCCAGTGACGTTGGCAACTCCAGCTTCGTGCTCGACATACTTCGTTGATACACTTGTGGCGAGCTACGTCTAAAATCAAACATCACTTACATATTATTGGTGAATTAACAATAGATACGTATCAGAATCTTATTATATTCTTAAAAAGGCGTAATAGTTTATGAGTGTAGAAGAATGGATGTTTGTTACTCTTTCACGCAAAAACTACTACACGCTATATAGATTTTAATGAAACTTTACTATGATATAGCTAATACATCACAATAACACATCGGCTATAAATTTCACACGGGTGAAATCGCGGGCACAGCTATTATAATATATATCTGCAGCACCTGTTTTTTAGAATCATTAAATTTGAGAGAAAATCACAGTCATAACTATGAGCAATGTAATGATGTATTCATGGCGCTTAAAAATTAAACAGATTATATAAACATAAAACAAAACATTCATACACCCTATAAACTAAATAATATAACTGCAAATCATCTACACCATTCTGCATTATCAAAGTACACTTTCGAAGATTGTTTAAACACACTTCACTTCATTACTTTGAAGGTCTCGAATTTAGTAGGTACAAACAGAGTTTTCTATCTAAATGTTGATAATAATATTATTATTATTTCTACTTCTAAAAAATTTCTTTGCAATCCAAAAGGTTTCTACGTAGTAGTGTATACAGTCACTAAAACTGGAATAAACCAGTTTGCGCTAGCATCGTACTTTCTTCTCGGTAGCATGTAAGTAGCGTTGGAAACGTAACGCCATTTTGATTTTTTATTATTTAGGTTAATAAATTAATCATCGTTTGTTGTTTTTATTAATGCATCAGTCATATTTTACAAATACTGTACTGTAAATGTGAATGAGAATTTTTGTCACAACTTGTTAATTTAATAAAAATTTTACAAGCAGAAAAATTTAGTCAAATCTGTTCTCAAAATATAATAATTAATATTTATAAGCGCTTATGCGTGTAAAATTTCCATAGTGATACCGTAAACGCTCGATATTAGTTAGTAACCAAATACAATAAAAATAGACTAATTAACGATAAACTATGCGTTGTATTAACAATTTTCACCTTGAACTGCTGCTTTTAGTCGGCTCGTTGTTTTCTGTAACGTTGCAGTTGTCGTTATTTCGATCCACACGTAACTCTTCTATATTTGAGTCTGGCGCCTGTAATAAAGTGAACTGATGTCAGAATATATAGACACAACTAAAAACATGGCTGTTTAAAAAAATCATTACTATTTGCAATAAAATATTATCATTGGTTCAGTGGCTACTACCGTGACTATTATTATTAGACTTTCAATTTTATCAAAATAGTATATGTGCAATTTTGAATTATTAATGCTTTTAGAAACTGGTTTGCTTAATCTCTAAGACCGATTTACTCTTATTTAGTTACTCAACTAGTTCATTGTGTTCAATATTGTGTCTGTAATGAATTAGTGCTAGTTGGTAGTTTGTATTCACACATTTAAAAGAGCAACATGCAAGTTCTTTGCTCGTTCTTTTTGTGATGACGCAGCTTTACGAATTAGCGGTAGATTTTAACAATAAGTATGACTATCTAAAATAGCTTACGTTTAAGTTTGTATAAATATTTTTCTGTTTTATGAATGTTGATCAAACCTTTATCTTGTTAGCTATAATGTAGTTCTGGTCTATCCTGAGCCACACCAATTCGTCGGCGAGATCTTCAGCGGTAATCATGTTCGGCACGGCCACGCCCGCTTTAGCGTTCCACGTCTTCCTTTCCAGCGGGGCTTTGGTGTCTTGTTCCGTTATACTAATGGATTACATTAAAGTATAATTTAAATTTTTACAATAAATTGTATATTTATCAAACTGCAAGAATGGGCAATGTTAATTTGTTTCGTTAAAATTGAACTGATTCTGACAATTTCGTAGCAATGAATAGGGTCTTAAGGTAGTCCATATACTATGCAATTGTAATACAAATAGGGAAATTAAACAAGTATATTGTTATTTGAATCATATTTTTAATCATTATAACTTCACAACTATTCATATTTAGCTTTTTCACAATCTTTGTGAAATCTTTGTGTTGTGGCCAATAAATTGTCTATTATATGTAATAGCAGCTAGCTAGCAGTACTCGCGATTTCATCCGCGTTAAATTTCAATACAAAATATAGCCTATGTGTTATTCCGATGCATAAGCCATATTACTATAAAGTTTCATCAAAATCCGTTCGGTATTTTTTGCGTATTTGTTGCGTGAAAGAGTAACAAACATCCATATCCAAACTCACAAACTTACGCGTTTATAATACGTTATTAAGATTAAGATTAATTCCCATACCTGTGGTAATTTGTTATAAAGATATAGACAGAGAGATTAATACGTACATTTCATTCGGATGATGCTGCTGCACGATAGATCTTATTGGCGAGAGTGTGTCATTCTTGGACTCATATGGAGCAGTACCGGAGTTTGTATACACGTCTCGCTTTTTCTCCAAACTATGGAACAGATATATAAAATGTCAATTTTCTTTCATATATATATATATATACATATACATATATATATACATATATAAAATGTAAAATTTCAAATTTCTATAACTGTGTCTTGGTGTTGGAAGAGAGGAAGGGCTTTCCCTTCCCCTAAGTGCGTCGTGTCGTTTCAAGTGCCCCAACATATTATTTAGTACTTATTTCATTTCTTATTTTCGTGTATTGTATAATAATAACAATCATTTATTCAGCATCATAGTACAGAGTAAAAAAGAAAACTTAAAAACTAATATTTCGCTATGAGCTGAAAGGGCCTTCACTCAGCTGGTGCCGCAGCGTATCACTACAGCGCTGATATTCAGTGGAGCCACTTATAGACATGTATATAATTAATAAGCTTAAAAATATATACAGTAGCATGACATTTGTTTGAATTTATATTTTACGTGTTTGTATTCGTACCTTGCTATCGGAAGGGATTGCGTAGCGCGTAGTTGTCTCATATTTTCCGCCCGGCGGTGTAGCAGCATATCCCTAAAATACAATGTGATTTTAATATTATAGCTTTTTAATCAAATAATAATAATAATTCAGGACAGTTCAGACAGCGCGATTTAGTCCCAAGCTAAATAGAACTTGTACTATAGATAATGAACAACTGATATGAATACTTCAATATATATTTTTTATATAAATACAGAGCGTATAGCTCTGTAATCATAATCATGAATATAAATATTAGTATAGTGCAAGAAATTATCTCGCAGTTAAAATAAGTTGTTTAATGCAAAACTCTTCATTAATGTTCTTGCAGTTTTCTCTCAGTTTAAAAGGTAAGTGTTGAAATGTTTTGAAATGTTTGTATGTATGAATACATAACATATATACATTATATACTAATTTGAAATATAATACAATAAGGATCCATAGCTTTAACATTTGTAAAAGAGACTAAATTGCACTACCAATTTATATTAAGGTAGCAATTCTATAATGAAACTGATCTATCCATTTCCAGCATCCCTATTATAGAATTACAATACTCAAGGACTGATCAATGAGTATAAATGTTAACAAACTTCATTTTATACATTAATCAAATAATGCTGTAACAGAAAGTACACAAAACAAAACCGTTACTTACAGCTGTATGTCAATAATATTCTTGATCTCTTCAAGACTGGGCGGTCGGCTCTTAAAATAGTCATCTTCCACATCTTCAACAACTGTCTTACTGTCATGCTGTCAACACAAACACGAACCACAACGTTGTATAATTATATTTACATGTGTGTTCAGCAACACTTTGTAATATTCATTATTACTTGAAAGCTATTTAGTAACGGCATACAACAATAATGGGACCATCCATAAATTTTGTCACACTAATTAGTCATATATTTTAGCCCACCCCCCTCCCCACGCCCTCTCTCGTCACATCAGGTCCCATTATAAGTAAAAATTCCGTATTTTAACACTAAAATTGAAAAGCAATGTCGCAAAATGCCTCTTAACTGTTTGTCATATATATTTTTTCTCTCTCTTTACTTTATTGCACAAAAATGTATAAAAAAAAAACGTATTTTTACAATAGACATTGAGTGTCGAAAATTTTTACATAATTATATTGTGAACTTAGTGGACAACAAGTTTTAAAAGAATGCGATATACTTTAAAAAATATATTGTCACATTTTGTCGACTTATTTGTGACGTAATATTTGGATGGCCCCAATGGAGATGTTATTCATTCACAACAGTAAAGACGTGTTTTATTATACTACATTCTAAGTTATTTGTTTGTATATATTGACATATAATCTGTCGGCATATTAACTGTCAATACAGCATTCCATTTTCATATAGAACTGTTCTACATCAAACACAACTCTAAAGTTAGTCTTATAAATGTTGGCACATACCTCTGTTTTGGTGGGGGGCAAGGCGAGCGGTGTTCTTAGTCTGGGCAAGGATTTCCTGAGTAAATAGCCGCGAGCGGCCGCTTGGAATGCTACGATCGCTTTTCTTATCCTCAAGTACCATAATCGTACTCGCATGCCTTTGAACCAAGCTTGGACCTTTGTTGCAGCTTCATTTCGAGCCAATAGCCATTGCCTTATAGTGGTTAAAGAAAAAAAAAACATAAGTTTCCACACCTATTTTTTTACACACATTTATTGATTTAATCTTTTGGACCTTAGACAAAAATAGATACGGTGATAATTCTTGATCACTCGGTGGTCTAGCGGTTTTACTCACCACCTAACTCCCAATGGTCGAGGGTGTGATTCCTCGAACGGTACAAACATTTTATAATTAGGTGTAGATTTGATGATTGATAGATAAATAAAGATGATAGAGTACCTGTAGTATCCCTGTATGAGGAGCGAGGCGCGGCGGAGGGCGAGGAAGCGTCGTCGCTCGAGCACGGCGCGGAACCAACGCTGGATGGCGATAATGGACGCCATGATCTGCTGGTGAAGCCGGTACTCCAGCTTCGTTTGCTCGCTCTCGCGCATGAAGATTTTCGTAGCGCCTACGCATTTGTAATTCATTGTACAAAATATACCGAGAGCTTGAGAGTAGGGACCCAAATAAATATATATATATATCTTACATATATATAAAATTCTCGTGTCACAGTTTTCGTTCCCATACTCCTTCGAAAGGGCTTGACCGATTCTCATGAAATTTTGTGAGCGTATTGAGTAGGTCCGAGAATCGGTCAACATCTATTTTTCATCCCCCTAAATGTTAGGGGTAGTCCACCCCTAATTTTCTTTTTTATTTTATGGCAAAACAACGTTTGCCGGGACGGCTAGTATATATCCAAACTAAAACTATTTTATCTAAACTAAAACCGTAAACTAAATTGTACAAATACGTGGTAGAGTTATGGTCCGAGACATTTGGGTCCCTACTGTATAATTAAGAAACAAGCATTATAAAGTATTATTATAATTTTAACGTGTTGTAATGATTTAGTGATGTGATGATTATTAGCTTGTTCTTCCTTTTATTGAAAACTACTGATTGATTTTATTATAACAAAAACAACTTACCTAGCTGATAATTATCCCTGTCCAAGTTAAGCGTTGCAAGAAAGTGTCTGACATCCGATTGTGAGCTGAGCAGACCCTTCGGCAGTAATATCCTGTAAAGCTGTATGAACTCCTCATATGTAAGCCGTACATTGTAGCCAGCCTGCCTTATCCGGACCGTTTCTAACATGCCGGTGTACCGTAGTTGGCGCTGGACGGTTTCCTCGTCGAAAACATTCGGAACTTTGTCGCTATTAGATTTTATACATCTGTAAATTTATTTTAACACTGTTAATGTATAAATACACAGTACGTGAAGAAACAAAGTAATTTGATTTATATTTTTACTTCTCAAATTTGAGTAAAATAATTATGACGATCATACACAACTAAATGTATGTAGGTTTACATAATGGTAGCAGATTCTAACCTAAAATATAACGAACATTTATGCTCCAATTATATTAATCTGAGTATTGTCTGTGTACATTATGTGTAGGCACGTGTGTGCTTACATAAGGCTGTATTAATACATATAATAAGATTTGTCTCTGATCAAGTGGTTACCTTATGAAGAACGGATTCGCTTGATTCAGCGTTTCCATAAGCGCAGCAAGCGAATGCTGAAACTGTGCGGCGACGGTAAGCGGTTGTTTTCGTTTTCCAGTAGGCGCAGCCGTCCTCCCGGCGAGGGTTTTCACGCTCTGTAAGTTCTTCAGTCCCTTCTTAGCTCGCTCGCGAGGCCTGAATGACTTGTTCTTCCTATGAAAAGCCATAGAATCTTTGTCCATTTCGATCTTTCAAGGTAACATTCTTAGTCCGAACTTGAATTTCGTACGCTGTCTTACTAAATCTATTTGCTACTATAGAATCTAGACTTTTGGAAATAGTGGATAAATAATTAGAAACTATTATATTACCTTTATTTAAAATTGATATATGTGTATAATTTGAGGTTACGGTTTTTATGTGGTACACTGGCAGAAAATAAAAAAACAAAAACTTTGAATTATGAATACATTTGAAATTCCAGTTCAGACTAAGATTATAATAAACCGACACCAAAATTGTTAAATGATATGTTTTTATATTCGTATGTGTTTAGAACATGCTGAATTACTGAACATGTGCCGTTAACATATTTATATTTTTTAAATACACGAAAAATATAAAACAAGCTGGTGTATGTTATAATATTCCAATAACTTAATGATAAAGTGTTCGTGAATGTGTGGTAGTTTCAAATAACACATACATATAGATACTTAATTTTAGATATAAAAATAAAGCTATGTTTAAAAATATTCTAATTACCCATAACACTTAAAAGCAGCTAGCAAAATATTACACCAGAAAACATATATCCTCACGATTTATTATACCAAAATATATATTATAAATAATTAAATAGACACAATATTCAACATAAGACCAACGAATGAATAATTAGAACCCATAGCCATCACCGTGAAATAGAAGAGTCCCAAATCAAAAACGCACATTCATCAAACAAAATTATGATAGAGTGAGATTTAAATGGGAGTCCTAGATCGTTTCATATTGTTATCCTGTAGTAACACGAGGAGGGGTGCGGGATTTGAAAGTGTCATATCCGCGCCCGTTGACAAGACGTGCAGTACTGAGAACGGTCACACGTCATTACAATTGTAAGATTACGACGAAACTATCTATAATCGATGTTAACTGGGATCTAAAAGTCTGGGACATTAATAATATTCAACTCAAGATGCACAGTCAGAGACTAACAACTGACAGTAAAATTGTGCATATAAAAAAATTTTTTTTCATTTCGAACCGGTTAGTAACATTTGTTTTTCAACATATAAAATATATGTAAAAATCTATACTTTCAAGTTTAAGATTTTCTTCTGAAGTTTAGTGTAATAACATATTTATATAAGTTTTTATTATGAAATTTATTCATAAACATATTAAATCTGTTTCATATAATTGGTGATCATTTCAAGTATCACATTCGTACCGGGTATTTAGTTTTATATACAACGTCGGTGGCAGGGGTCAGAGTTATTCAGTGGATCGACTTTGTTTGATGAAGAGAGCGGTGCGAGTGCGGGAGAGAGAGAGAGAGAGGGCAGGCGAGCACGCGAGCAGGCGCGGCACGTACATGACGATCTGGCTGGCGCGCTGCATGACGTCGGAATCGTCGAAGGGGCGCTCGTCGCGCTCACGGTCGCGCTCCGTGCGGCGGACGCGGGACTCCGCGCTCCTGTAATGCTTAGCGGGCCGCGCCTCGGGGCGGCGGGGGGCTCGGCTACGGGCACCACCACATCACTCACTTACCTCGCCGTCAGACATCGCTTCCACCCGTTCAATACACGTATGAACGTCTTCCATTACTGGTTTCTACACTTAATAGCTGCCTTTACACGACACGTTCGTTCACGCACGATTTAGCGAAGGAAGGAAAGAGCGCATCGCGCTGAGTGAGTAATCGTGAGGGATTGCAATTGACTATTACATTTGTTCACTCCTTCGTTATATAATTACGCGTGTGGATTAATCAATAACTTATAATTATGTTTTTGTTCCATATTCAAATGTCAGCTATTTTGCAATAAAGAATTAATTATTTAAAAAAAAGCACACATGATTAAACGCGGTAATATGCAAGCTGAAGGAGCACGCAGTCTTTCTCGTTCTCTTTGTTTATATTTCATGTATATTCAATGAAGATATAATAAGTAAATGGAGAACGTTTGTTGCGTGGTAGCCTATTCTCGCATGAAAGAGTGCACTTGTAAAGGTGGCTATTATCGCAAATAAAACTATATTAAACACAATTTAATATATTTTAATATAGTTTTATATAAAACCGTGTAATCATACTGGATTGCAAATTCTTATGTCATAAATTACTAATTTGTAGGCGTTGTGTATTTAAAGCTATGTCTGACGTCGGTTAACAAAAAATAAAACTCAAAGTAAATATGTAAGTGGAATATTTGTAGACATGCAGGAGCTGAGGTGCCCGACAGATGTGTGGTAAAACTACAATTAGAAGTGACACGGTTATAGGTCACGGTGATATAAGTATAGCAGCGAAATCATATAGACTGGCTCCGGGTAGGTTGTGTTTAGTTCGTGATAACAGTTCGCATATCGACTGTCACTATTATTATACATTTAAATGTAATAACTATAATGTCATCTAAACACAACCATGAAGTGACACGGTTTGATGAAAGTAAAACATCGACATCCATGCTTTTAGGTGCACATAGAATGAATAAGCATGCCATATAGACGGTAACTTACGCAATGCGGTTGATTGCGAGATTGATTGACGATACCGTCACCAGTTGGCTGAGCAACAAGACAATTCATTACGTCACATATAACTATAGTCGCAAAAGCTTCATTTGATACATCATTTGGGAATTGTCCCACACAAAGCTATAGAAATTCATAGAAATTATAATAATAAAAATGCCACAGTGCACGCTGACTGCATGCAAAGGGTTTCTAATTTATAGCGGCAATTTAATGTCATATAATTACATTATAATATAACATTTTATATAATTAACAATTCCTGATAAGTATGTTGTATAGTATAGAGTACTGCATGCCTTTGTATAGTTAATACAATGCAAGTACTTGCGGGAAGTTAGTTGTACATTTATAATTTTCTTTTAGTACATTTTTATCATGAAGCATTTAATTTTATGCATATTGGAGACAACAACTTTGCATCTAATGTATTATTGTAACAAACTGACCTGATGATGCTGTCGTTGGGGGCATGTATGGAAGCGCGCGGAAGTCTCGAAGCACCGTCTACTCTGTGCACTCGATGTTTTCTACCAGCTTCCAAAAACGCAAAGTAGCCCCTATGAAATAAAAAAAACATGTATACAGTGTGATTCTATATAGTCATCCTATTGTCTATCTCACTCGTATGCTAACACAGTTGTGGTTACATGATTTTTAATTGATAGATAGCGTGTGATAGTGAAATAAATAGTTATAGAGCAAAAATTGACTACAAAATTAAGTGACCTCAAAACTTGACACAAAAAATTTTATATACCAATTCTATTTTTGCATATCTGTGGTTTTGTGTCCTATGTTATTAAAAGAAGAATGACAACCACATAAGGCGTACATAAGTATATTGTTGATGTCGATCATTGAGATTCATAGTTATTTGTGAATCTCATCTTTATTTCTATATTCTATGACTTCAAAGATATATAAGGCCATTGCGTTACTAATATCTGTAAGAGACAATTATCTTGTTTCATATCCTTGGATAAGGATGTCTTATTATTAATAGTATACTGATTAATATTAAATTATTTTAGATATTTTTTTAATATATATTTTTATTATTACGAGCGCCTATGTTTAAAACAGACATATGTCTAGAGGTACAAGCGCAGTTGCTAATATAATTAGTATTAATTGTATTTAGATAAATCAAGTTTATACTTATAGTATTACCTAAAGAAGGCGCGTACGATGGCCCAGCGGAAAACTGCAACAGGATCCACTCCCACCAGCTCTCGCACGAACGCTAATGACGAGTTCTTGAGTACGCTCACTATGTCCTGCCGCATCAGGTCCAAGTTCTTTTCCCGCATCGCTGTTACCTGTATTAGTGTTTGCATTGTTTTATAATGATTTCCACACTTTGGTAAACTTCTGGATTAAGTATATACCAAAATACTCCAACATGGGGTTAATCTTTAACTGGACGGACGGACGAAACACACGAAATTTTTTATATTGTAAGCATCACGCGGAACCTTCGTCACCACCTATAGTATGTTAACTTTTTAATTTAATAATTAACAATGTAAAGTAATTAAAATTAAGTACTGTTAAATTTTAGTGTACTTTATAAGAAAATAATGGACCTGAATAATGATAGCATGTAAGAGGAAACTTTTAGAAGCCATCTTGGGGGAAAGCCATGTCATTATATTGTACTTGAAGGTACTTGGATAATACCCAGTCTGGTTTTCTGTCAGGTTAGTAAACACTAGTCTTCTCCCAAATTTAGTATCCCTAAATGTGTACACTATCCATAGCACACAATATTGTAATAATGAAAGTAAATGATAATGAATTTTTAAACAGATGAGAACAGTATGTTTTATATAGATCAGTCTACGAAGTATGACCATGTAATGTTACCTTATGTTCACAGATTAAGAACTATTCCATTAATTTGCCTCACAATAATTGCACATTACAGAAGTGCGTTAACTAATTTGTTCATGTACTATTATTTTGTAATATTTTGTGACTGTGGACAACCTTGTTCTTGTTACCTGATATTTAACTCTGCCCGCGTAGTGTTTGACTACAAAAGCTGGCTCTCGTCGCTGTGGCTTCTCGTAAAATGGATTATCTTCGTGTACTGAGTTGAATTTCTGCAGTAAAGTTTCATTTGTCGCCCATGGGAAACTATAAAAAAAAAGTATATTATATATATACATGGTATTATATATAGGTTAGACAATACTGAGATTGTAACTGAAGTACAATCAAGAACATTCAGATCAGAACCAAATTAGAAAATATTGTTTGCAATATACAGAAATGAATCAATGTAATCTAGTATGTGAATTGTTTCAATAATGCATATCAATACAGCAAATTTATAACACTGAATATATAGTAAAGTAATCACTCATTTTACTACCACTCCTGGACAGTTTTCAAACCATAACTTAAACTCATTTAAAAAAAAAATATATACTGTATAATTTGTTAACACTTTTATCATGTATCTGACATGATAAAAGTGTTAACAAAAATAATAAACACAAATAGTTTTTGTTTATTATTTTTGCAGAATCGTTAGGACACTATATCTGGTAATCACATAATCAAAGATAGATACATAACTATATCTGTTATCTAGATATATTACATTATGTATTGTTATAGACATTTTTTTGTTGTATTCATGTACTATCTAAACCTAATTACATTTATCAGTACAACAACAAATGTCATAATAATAGAGATATCACACAGTTCCTTAATTCAAGGTCCAGATATAGAATTGTATATAATCCCCTGTTGATAAATTCCACATACTTCAAACAAATAATAATTTTATATAAATATTTATTAAGTACTACTGTAATGTTCGCTGTTTAATTATAATCTGAATAGGTAATTTCTCCTAATGTTAGAATGATAAATGGAATAAGTACAACAGATCAAGATGGTGTAGGAATAGCAATTGATACATATCATTTAAAACTACAATTCACGAATTGATCATAAAGTTCAATGATCAATTCAGTTATGGGTAATAAAGAAAGTCCTAGCTGAGTGTAAGCCTGAGATTAATTTTGAATAATGAGAAGCAAATTGGTTCTTCTTGCCATTGTAGCAAGACATTTGACATAAAGAGAGATATCAAGAACACAGTTACTTCAATGTAATATATGCAATTAATTAAGGCTGGTAAGATAAAATAAATATTATTTACTGCACAAACCATCTTATCCATCCTTACATTTTACTATTGTTTTTTAATATATAACATCAATTTAATGTACCATTGTCACATGAATTTCATCAGTAACATACATTGTCTCAAACGACAATATTCTATTATAATCGCGCAATAGTTCTCCTTGCGTTTCTAGCAATACATCTATACTAATATTATAATGATGTAATGTTTGTATGTTTGCTTTTTCAGGGTAATCTCTGATTCTGCTGATCTGATTTTAACAATTCTTTCACTGTTAGAGAAGTACATCATACCCGAATGCTGTAGACTATATAACATCACACAAGAGACAACTTACTTGCACTGATCATCTAAAAGGCAGAGGAGCCCGCTAGGTTTGCCCTCGATGAGCTGTAAGCACTGTGTATTATCAGAGAAGCCTATATCCGTCCACCGGATTCCCTCTCGCCGATACTCCTCTTGTTCATATTTGAATACGTGCTGGTTAAAATAATACTGTAAATGTTCGTTCGCGTAGTTGATACACAATTGTTCGAAGCTGTTGTTAGGCCCAAAATCCTCGAAACCGAATATGTCGAGCACACCTGTAATTTAGGCAAAGATGGAGTTAAACTAAACACTAAAGAAATGTCTAGAGTGTGCAAATGCATAACACTAAGAACACGCAAACTGATTTTAAGAATCAATATGATTGATGGACATTTGTTGATCTTTTAGATTTTAATTTACATTAACTACACACTTTTGACATTAACAACATTATAGCTTATGTTTATTGAATCATGAAGAATCATTCAGTTGGTCTAATTTCACCTGAATATATTGATACTATATTATTTGATGGAAAATAGATAATGCCATTTGGTATTAAGTCCGGTATATTATTATGATGATAAAGTATAAACAACCTTTGTGTATTGTGCATTAAAGATAAATATTATTTGCATATGTAACACTAAATATGAATTATGTTTAAATAAATACTAATCAAATGGAAATATGGTCATATTTTGCCGTGGGGAGTTTAGATAAATATAATAATAATTAACACGATTGGAATACCTGATTGGTTAGTTAGAGGCATGTGCAAAACGCAATTATTAACGTGACCACATTTAGCTACGAATATTTGAATGTAAAACGTGCATGGTATTAAACAGTTACTCTTTCAGATTATTTGATTATGTGAATTTGCAAAACATTCATTTGCATGCAAATATATTTGTATCTCCGTTGATACACAAATAACAAACTAAATAAACCGAAAGTGGTACTCCTGTTACCTTAAATACACGATTGGGGACTGTAATGGATAGAAACGGAGTACCATAGCAAAATTTGTAATTTGACTAAAATCAACCGTTTATATAAAATGTGTTTTCGATTTATGTTTGATGTGTATATTTAAGTGTATGTTATACTAGCTATGTCTGAGGTTTCACTCGCTTGAAATTTATAGCCTCTGTGTTATTCTGATGTTTAAGTTTTATTATTGTAAAGTTTAATTAAAATCCAACCAGTAGTTTTTCCGTGAAAGAGTAACTGACATCCACACACACAAAATTCCGCGTTTATATTATCATTAAATCTTTGATAGACAAAAAGGTAGTCGAACGTTCCTTTGTCTTAGTAAGCGGTTACTCTGGTCATTTATTATAATAAGACTTCTTAAAAACAACATTCTTATCTTGTCAACTACTAGAGAATTGAGAGCTTTAGATTATGAATATCATTATCTTATAATGACGCTACCAGTTGCCAATTATATATTTTTTACTTCTTACTATCAGAGTCCTCGACTTGTACACACCCGTGGTTTTAGAACAATTTTTATGACTTTCTTGTTTGTAGTCTGGTTGGAATAAAACGAAACTTTAATTTTAATTATGGCTTCCAATAATAGATTCGTAAAACCGCACTCAAATGGTTGTTATTTCTGAGATTACTTCGCCCAAACGCACAGAACTAGCCCTAACAGATAAATATTCCAACAATCATCATTTTGAGTTCTATTACGTTGCTAGTCCTCTATTTACTGTTGTTTATCCCATATGTTCCATGTATAGACAGCGATTAATTACATTTTTATTACATGTATAAATTACCAGTACAAACTTACCTATACTGTGGCCCTGATGTTCTCTCAATGTGTCTTTCTTGGACAGCAATGCATGATTCACTTGCATCACAATCCAATCAAACAGAGCACCATAAAGACATTTGGCCATAGCGTCCCGAGTTGCTATCGCCTCCGGCATTCTAGAAATACGATGTAACAAACAATATATAAACGTACTAATTACTATAATCTCTTGAAGTTCTTTTGATAAGACATCTGATGCAAATATAAAACATTTAATACATTGTTGTACGTAAAATGTGGACGTGGTCGTGCTGAAGGGAGATGAAAGTTGTTTGGACGACATGTTGATGCGGAACGATAACCTTAAGATCTCCCTTTATTTATATTTTTTATTATTTTTATTCTTGTATTGTTTAATTAATAATTTACATACATTATATCTTCAATTATTATATTAATTAATAATATAAAACTAATATAATGACGCATGGTTCTATTTTTATATTTATAAAACAAAGTAACTGCAATACAACTGAAATTCCAATACAATTGTCATAAGGAAATCTAACATGTAACAAAACCACATATCATTATGGAAAATAAATGGATATTTACGCTCTTATTGGTCACTGGCTATGGTTGCTTCCCTATAAGAGAATATTAGCTTATATAGATGCTGATCAGATGCATTGTTATGTGCATTTACCTGTTTTGAATACACTTAAAACTTTTAAGTGAAATACAAAACTTTAAGTACTATGAATTAAAGTAGCTTCCGCTATCTGTTCGCTATCCTTATGCGTCTATGCAACGGATTTTAATGCAGTTTTTAGGAGTGGATTCAGTGATTCAAGGTTTATATGTATAATGTACACTCGTGCCGAAGCGGGTAGCTCGTATTAATATAAAACTTTGTCTTATACTGATTTTACCCAGGCAAAAAAAAAACATATTAACCTGTAATTGATGACGAGGGTTTCCCCCGAAGCCCTGGCGCGTTTGGATGTCAGAGCGGCCAGTAATGTCTCTTGTTTGACATGTAACAGCGATGATATCAGTGAGACCACCTCTGGATTTCTAACACCAACCGCCTCATCATGGTGATATGATTTTCTCTGTGGTTGGAACTCCACATTGCCTGTTGTTAAACAAGTTATGATTTAATTAATACATAGAATGGAAATAAGCTAATGGCTCTTTTACAATTGTGAACAGTTTGTTAATTTTATCAATTTCAGAATCAATTTGGAGGGGAAACTGACCAGTTTGAAATTCTGTAACCGTTTGAAATACACGTCGTTTGTAAATAGGTTAACGTCGTGTCGCCTATAAACAAACCACCAAAAATGTTATGTAAAGTAGAAAATACTGTTAAAGCAGTTATTCCTAAAGATTAAGTTTCACTTCAGTTTACATTCTGTAACATTTGTTTTCTACTGAAAGTAACAAGGAGAATATTTCTTTTCTAGCCATTGATTAAGTTTTTTATAAACCTGTGAGCAGTTCACGATAAAATTCATAATTTATTATTTATTTTATTAGCATGCAAACAGTCTATATGTATTTTTTATAATATGTAGAATAATTATCACTATTTGGTGCTGTTATCAGTTTGCTGACCTAAAATTAAAATGTTACCTACTCACTGCGATTTTATAGAACTTCATAAGTGACCTGGATTATTAGTAAAACCGCAATAGATCGTTACAATATTAAAAATTCACTTATACATAGTCCACTGCTTCAGGTCCTAATAATGTAATATATAGTAAATAGTAAAATTGAATGACAAAACTTACCTAACAGCAGGACCGCTGATAATACTGCAAACAATCGTCGCCGTTTGTCCATAGTGAAGCCCACCATATCCATAGATTGCTTTAACCTTGAAAACTCGTACTGTTCGTCAACACCGGGGACCAGACTACAGCCAGTCCTCGACAAGTAATTATATTTATCCACACTAAGTAAATGTAACTGCTCCTTTTCTTGTTCAGACGCACCCGCCAACAAATAGTAAAATACGTGATAATTCCTTTCATTGCGACCTTGACTACATATTCTGGATTTCTCCAGAAGATATTTCTGCACCACAGCACCATGGACCATGCCATTTTCTTTGTAATTCACTTGTATGAACTTACCAAACCTACTGGAATTGTTATTATGAGCAGTCTTTGCGTTACCAAATGCTTCTAGGACGGGTCCTGCACTTAATATAGTCTGTTCTACACCACTTCCATGTGATCCCTTCTGGCTGAGTGCCGTTAAATGATGCAGAAGGAAATTCGTGCTTTCTGTTTTACCTGAACCACTTTCTCCACTGATCACTATACATTGATTGGTTCGCTCTCGGAGCATGCAGTGGTACGCGGCGTCGGCCACAGCAAATATGTGAGGTGGAAGACTCGAGCCTATCCTTTTGTTCTGATATAACTTCACATACTTCGGATTGTAAATTGGGTAGAACTTGAATGGGTTTAGAGCTATGAGAATCGATCCAACATATGTATAGATATATCCGGCTGCGAATCTCGCCCTTAAATTGTCCAAAAGCGTCTGTTCGTTGAGCTCCGGCAGCTGACATAAGTCGGGATATTCTCGATCTTTGGGCTGGTACAGAAACCTCTGGAAGTAGTCCTTTATCAGCTGAGGGTCTACAGAGAAATTCTCCATCCATGGTTCGTCTGGTATTTTTTCTCGCAAGTAGAACCTAGTAACAAAATATTCACTTGATTATACGTTACTAAAGATAAACAAGGTAGAATCTAAAAATAAAATTACTTTTGAGTCATGTTTAGATATTTGAATCTAAATATTTGCATGAAGCTACAATTTTAGAGTCCATGTTTGATGCGAGTTGTAATGTTTTTAGTTTAATAGGCAGGATGGAGACGGCGTTATCAAGTGGTTACGCAGGAAGAGTGACTCACGAACAACATTGGAACATTATCCCCAATCACTATTCTAACCTTAATGAAGGAACTACAACAGTCATGTTAGTATTATAATGTCATTCAATGATGTTTGGTGTGGGCGCTAAATTAGTGTAGTTTTGACTACTGCATCAAAAATACGTTCGTGAGCAGTAGTTATATAATATCTATAAACTGGACTTTTGAAAAGACGAAATGAGCGTGCACTAAGAATAGATTCTGTTTTGGTTTGATGTGATTCATTCTTATGAGTTGAGAATGTAATAAGTTGCTATTGGCTGGTAGTCCAGGGTTAAGATAGTAAGAAATAATTTTACTGAACCAGTATATGTCACGTTGACCAAAACAAGTATCATAGTTTGGTTTACAAAAATCGCCATATCATTTAGGTGTGCCTCAATGTTTTCACGCTAATGTGTAACAATACCTTAATATAATTTAATTAATTACTAAGTAGGATGACCCTATAAGTGTTTATTTTTATGACGGTTGCATTATTCAATACCAGAATTTCTTACTAGTAGTGGACGCGATTTCGAATGCCTGGGACAGCTCACACAGTGCCATCTAGTCTCAAGTTAAGCAGAGCTTGTGTTATGGGTACTAAACAACTGGTATAAATGCATACGTTTTTTTTAAATATTTACATAATATCCATAGAAACACTTACACATACAAACAATCATACTGAAGAATACAATGTATAACAGTGACTCGATTATTTCTTTTAATGTATGATAATGGAATGGCGGATCCGCTAACAGTTTACACTGGCGGGCCTCCAGTGTAGATGATGAGATGAGCAGGAAGGTTTCGAGGCAGGATCGCATGGAGGTCGACCTGACATGGAATATTGTTAGCAGTGGGACCACCATTCCTCATTACTAACTATAGCTCTCCCCCAGACTGGATGTTAATTTGCACTTTTCAATGTTTTTAAATAGTCAAGATAAAAACGTAATAAAATATATTATAAGTAATACGAAATTCGTAGGGTCATCTAAATATTATAATATTTATTAATTACATTTACTCAGATGCCATACGAAGTAAACGGAGAACCGTTTGCCATTGACTTCTATTCTTACACACACCTCTTTCTTCAATGATACTTCTAGCTCGTCTCATACTTATACAAATATATTATTTTTATAAATTACAATTTATGAAGCGGCAATAAATTCAATTCCAGATGTTTCCCGGCACTTTACTAGAGGTGGCCCGATTTAGTTCCTGTTCGCGTGGGATTTGATGGAAAATTCTTTATTAATCTTCGCTTACGTTATATGCAAATACTGTACTTTTGTACAGTTCAAGTTTTTTGTCCTTAGGTGTGTGTTGATTTATCAGACTTTAAACATTCAATTAACACAGACTCAACTTAATCCTACGCAACTTAATAAAATGAAGGGGTCAATACGAGAATGTATAGCTTATCTGATTCATAATTTGAGAAAACAATAAAAAAAACTTTCATACTTTGCCTCCGTATAGCGACCCAACTAATCAGCGCTGGAAACCATGTTTCCAGCATTATGCTGAGTTGTGGTCCATATTGACTATCTTTTGTAATGTGTATAAATTATTGTTTATTTTTTTATAACATTATAATCGTAATAAAAGTATAAAAAATTAAAATTTCGTCGACTTCATAGCAATTTTCTAAGTTTATGATAGTACTAGCTGAGTCCGCGACTTTATACCCGTATAAAGTTTTTGTTTGTAAATTACTAGTGAAAAGCGGAGCGGCCTAAGTCAAAGTTAATAAGTTTCTGTAATTAGTCCGCACAAATGCATAGACAAAAATTCTAATAATTATTTTGGGCATCAGTGGGATAAAGTTATATAATGATAACTTTCTCAAATATATTTTTATACCTATAAAGTCAGCGATCAATTAAATTTATATTGTATGTAGGTATATAAGATAATTTACTAATGTAACGCACACTTTAACAAATAATTTTCAAACGGTCAGAGAAACGTTCTAACAATATTTGTTTTGAATTCTATGTAGTTGTCCCCCAAAGATATATTTTTCTCAAATATCTTTCATGTACAGTGAGCGATCAGTCATTACCGATAACGCACACTTTAATGAATAACTTAGTGTTTGTTGTATTTATATATATTTGTGTAAGTTATTTATATATAGGACTATGTGTTAATATTCGTTTGTAGACTACTGACAAACTAATATTTTCGACAAGTTAGTACACAAAATAACACGACGGATATCAGGTTTCAAGTGGTAAATTTAATTATACTGAATTATATTTTTTATTGCATAGTAAAAAGTCTAGTTCACAATAAGATTGAGTCATCACCATAAAACAAAAACTGATTCATTTCCTTACACAGGTTGTGGTTTAGTTAAACAGACAGATATCTGTTTATATGTCATATATTTTTAGAATCACAAATGAATATATAAAATACAATTTATCGAAAATATTACAGACCAATAGTAAATCGGAACGATACAACCTGATCTTGAATAATTATATATACGTGTTCGGGGTACGCACTCGTAAGATACTAGGGTCATACAAAGCAGTTATAACTTAGTTGTATAAGAATGTATAACCTGTAGAGGAATGTATATATTTTAGAACTTCTAGTAGATTCTCTCAATAGTTTGACCTTAAAATCTTCCCTACATACACAGTAATAACAAAATGACGTTGAAATACCATAATTAAATTAATTTTATATGGGAATTATCAAGGTATTACAAACTAGTGATTAGTCAACTTAACAATAGTATTACAGTGACAGGTCGGTTCGCGTCCGGCCGATTAATATGCAGGTGTTTATGCAAGGTTATACCTATCGCTACTTGTAATAATTGCTAGATAATTACAAACTGAGTGACCGTAACATGCATGTACAGTCAGCTCTATAAATATGATGTTTTGTAGTAGAGTGTCAATATTTTAAATTATATTATCAGGACAGGACAATTCACACAGCGCCATTGGGTTTAGCCCAAGTTAAGCTAGCTAAAGCTATAAAGCTATAAATATATAAGCTATAGCTTGTGTTATGGGTACTAGACAACTGATACAAATACATCGATATTTTTTTCGTAAATACATACATATTATACATAGAAAACACGCAGACCGATACAAAGAATCGTACTGATGAATAAAAATGCGAGGAATCGAACCCGCGACCATCGGAAGGCGGTGCGATAAAGCGCTAAACCACCGAGGCCGTCAAAATCTTAGACTGCCTATAAAAATTTTATAACTATAAGTGGTAAGATTTTAACCATTTATAGTTGTAAAATTATAGGCAACTAAGAACTCGTACACCACTTCTCCTCCAAGTTAGAAATTTTCTAATAATAATATAAATAAATTTGTAATTGTCAGAACAAGGTATGTATAAAAAATAAACGTTTGAAAGCTGAAACGGTATAGCAAAATAAAAATAGGTTAAAAAAATATCCATTTTAAAAAACATGGATCAACTTAATACTAACTGTTAATAGTTCGTATTGTTTAGTTTCTTAGTCTTATTTACTTGACTTACTATATCCGTGCGAAGCCGGGACGAGATGCTAGTATATATAAAAAAAAGTTATACATCTACTTCAATTTTATATAAGGCACTAGAAATAAATTATAATCTTAATTGATTCGGTAGATAACTAATTATTGACCACTTTAGATGCCAAAAATAAATATTATTATCGTTATTCCAGTAATAGTTTATAATATTGACTATTTTTGGAGTTATTGTTTATATGAAGCCGAGTGTACAGTACAGTAAAATGCTGTTACAGTAACATAAATAAGTCGATTGTAAACATTATATTTAAGAATGTACACATCCTACATTTATTATTTGTTTATTTTGTTATACAAATCAGTTTAAATAATGTAAGCCAATAAATATAATATTTATACTGTATTATAATAGTACCATTTCTTTCAGAATAAAATTTAAATACCATAATTATGAGAAACCATTATATATAAATATGAGACAGTATTAAAAATTTGGGTCCCACTTATTAATATATTTTATAATAAATTAAAAAGTGGGACCACCAAATAAAGTGAAAAAAAATATCCAAAAATTAACCAGCATATTTAATACCACATCAAGGAAGAAGAAACACTTTCTCAATAAAAATATTATCCTTTTTTAACATGATGTTACAATATTGATAGACTATAATTGTTCAATAATCTATAAATATAAACCTGTTAATACAATATAATAAATGAATACCTGTAATATTGTTCAGAGTTGTTGGGCCATAGCATCATGACAGCAACTGGAGACTCATTGGGGCCAAGTCGCCTCTCCTTGCACACCCCACCACTATTAACATCTTCCACAATCTGCATCAAATGAAAATTAAATTATAATTATGTTCAATAGTTGTCGTGAGGTGAAAGGTTGGTTAGAACTGTACATAACCTATTGCTAAAAATATACCATGTCAGATTGACCTCCACACAGTTCCCCTGGAAACACTCATGATAAAATCCTAGTGAATTTGTCATGATGAGCTATGATATAATAATGCTTTTGTTTCTTATCTATAAATCAAATTAGTTAACTCAAGTAATTAGTTAATATTTTAAACATTTTTTATTTACATAACATAACATTTATATATTTATATCACTCATTTTATATATTTTTTGTTTACATAAGAATACAATGAAACATTTGTAGATATGAACCTTAAACATTCAAATTCTACTGAATGCAACTTCAAGGAAAGGAAGTATGAGTAGCATCCAATTTATGCGAGTCATTTAAGAAATATAAGCAAAAAATATAATAGATGACAAACATAAATGACTAATATTCCAAGATATTATGATTACTGATATATTTAGCTATCTGTATATCATCACATTACCTCATTTAGGAGGTAGACAGAGTGAAATGGGTACTTTGGCTTTTATCCTTAAACACAGCCCCAATTTGTTTTATTAATTTAAGGCAAACATGTTAATTAACCTTCATAATGAGACAAATTAGGAAAGTGCTGTACAAAATAGACATGTACAACAAGATCAACTTATGAATAAAAGCAAATAATGTTGATGTGTCGGGTATGCATTGACAAGCATGATTTACAATATTTTGTACATATAAAGACTTATGTACCACATAGTAGTGAAGTGTCTACAGTCTGTCTATATGTATTGTTATATTAATTTATATTTTCTGTTATAGTAAATATTTAAAAAGTAAACATACATAAGGTATATGTGAATACTATCTTATCTTATCCAGTGAGAAACTATAAACTATTGAATGTCTTGATAAGTATAAGCACTATAATTGCCATTTTAAAACATTTATTGAGGATTTATGTGTAAAGTGCACATACTATTGATAACCTCTGAGTTCTAGCAGTTTAACACACCAACTTAGTTATGATGGTTGCGGGTTCAATTTCTCACATAAAAAATATCTATATATTATATCAATTGACTAGAACCGATGACACTTAGCTTGGGACTAGATGGCGTTAAGTTCATTGTCCTGAGATATTATTATTACTATATGGTGGTAGATGGCCATAATGTATGTACAAATATTGTAGTCTTATAATCATCAACCTATAGATTTTCTTATTGAATATTAGAAAGAGAGAAATATCAGACAAAAATAGCATAAAATAATTAATGACGTACCACAACATGTACATTTAACAAATAATGAAATATATATACCTCAGCCAATTCATATGGTCCTCCAGATCCATCGCTGAGATTTAATTTGTCAGCTATACATGACACTATTTCTTCTGAACTAGTTTGTTTGGAGGCTTCCACAGATAATGCCTCATAGTGAGCAGACAGTGCACCAACAAACACCTGTTATTGATAATAATATTTCACAAATAAATGTATAAGTTAATTTATAAAGGGACCACCAATAAGGACTTGACAACTTTTTTTTAAAATAAATTGAATACCATTTGAGATATTTCGAAACCTTTATTATCCGGTTGAAGCACATTCAAAGCATTTATGAATAGAGCTCGATTTCACTCATATGGCCACAAACTAAATTCAAAATTGTTAAGTTCCTATTGGAAAACCCTTTATAATATTTTTTTCATACTGAACTATATGGTAGGGAAAAAATTATAATATAAAAAAATTACTTTCATGAGCTAAAATGTCATACATGAATAAATTATTTGTGAGTTTTAATTATATATACTATAATGAAAATAAATAGCACTAGGGTACAAGCAGACATAAAATGATCTTATTGATGCCACATTGCTTTGCCTATTACCTTCAAATAATGGTATATTTATTCCATTCTGAATGTTTAAAGTCAAGTCAACATTTCACATTCAACTATAGTACCGCAATTAAAAACCAAATTAATGAGAAAAAGGTATTTCAGATTTATCATATTTTCATTTTACAGGCAACAAAGACTTCATTTAAATTAAAAGTTTGTTAAATTCTAAAACTACTGGTACCACAAAAAAATATTAATTATTAATGAAATATTACACTGCTTGAATGGTTGTGTGACATGTAGACATTGTTTTGTCATATTTAAAAAGAAATGAATAATAATTGTGTTACCTAGTGAATAATAACATTCTGTCATTAAGGATAACTTTAAATATTTTATAACTAAATAGGTCTAGTTATGTGACATAATAAATATATCAATTATAATAGCCTGTTATTATAATTATAATATCACATGAAATTATATTAGAAAATGTATAAAAATACCCAATAGCATACTTTAATTACTGCATAAGAAATTTGTAGGTGTACATATTATACCTACTTGTATAGATATCAACAACAAAACAGTTTCTGATAACAGCTGCTTATAAACTAGATACTGACCTGCACAATAAACCTATCAGTACTAGTCATCCTGTGTCATTGTTCTGCTCTTAATTGAAAATGCTCCAATCAGTCTCCAGATACCTTTACCACATCATATTCTTTGACCAATTTCCTCACATGTCTATGCCTCTTGAAATGCATATTAATTTTATTTATACAAAATAACTTGTTATCCTAAAACATTTTAAGTCATATCAACCACGAACTATTGTAATAATCAGTAATTATCGCTAATGGTCTTGGGAATAAGTAATTATTCTGTAATAGCACCAGACCCCCAGTACAGACAGGTTGAATTCAACCGTGACAATTTGTGACAAAATAATATGTTAAACATATAATGTTGCCTCAATTCATACATTGGGACATTGCTTATATGGTTATTATATTTCCAGGACTCTAGGAGTAACTTTTACCGTGTAACACAAAGAAGAGAAATCACAAATTTGGGTCACATGCTGATTGAATAAATTCACCGAACTTACTCCTAGATGCTCTAGTGAATTTCTGTTCTTTATTGCATTTTAAAACTCTAAATATATTCAACTAATAAGCACTGGGCAATTGGTACTTAATTTCTACTTGTTAAGAGTAAAAAAACAACACTTTAAACACAAAACTAAAGCGAAATCGGTATCTTCAACAACCTGTTATTTGTCAAAGTTATCTCTCTGCACCACACCATTTATTCACTATAAATAATTATTTACAATAGTAAAAATAATGATAACGTTTTTTACTGTGTAACGTATAGCAAAATAAGTGTGAAAATTATTTTAGTTAAACTTAATTCAGACAAATTTATTATAGTTATTGAACCACCATTTTTATTTGTGTAGAATTGAAATCGTGTATCTTGTAGATCGTGTATCTATTATAAACCCACTTCAAAGTACTTAAAATCACATAGAAACCTTTAACATTGTAGGACTTCTAAAATTACAGGCGTAGTATCATAGACAATAGAACGTTATTCGTAGAGAGTATAGATAATCTATAATATTTATGGTTTTGTGTTTAGAAATTAGTAAAATTCGTATGAATTTGAATGTCTATGCTCAGACAAAAGACAATTTATTTCATTAGGGGGCGCTATTGTACCATAATGTAATTTTACTTGATGGGTAGAATGTAAATTATTGTTGAGAATTGGTAAAATACAAATTGTTGAATAATATCATCTTCATAGAAGTTTATTATTTGACACAATTATTTCATTTACAGAGGTTTGTTTCTCAACAACCTGTGAGCAATAACCTATAAAAAATGCCATTCATAAAAAGGATAAGAAGAAAAAAGATAAGCTCTGTAGGTAGGTTAGTGTAGTTAGGTTTTGTTAGACTAGACCTACTAAATTCATGTAATACTATATTTATAATATTTAATGCTGTATTTACATATACATGTTTATATTATCCTTAGACTAGTAACTAAAATTCATTTGTTTTTTAGGAGTAATTAAATGTGATGAATTTAATTAATGTTTATAATTGTATTTATAGTTCGTTCGTATCAAGTTTTTTAAAGTCAATTTAGTCAATAGACTGCTAGGTCTCTGTGTATCAGATATTTTACGTTAAACATAGTGGCGCCACCTTTTGTGGACTTTCCGTAGAACTCCTTTAAATTGGATATTGGGCTAATCTCATACGTAAATTATTTATTAATTTTGCGAAAATACTTACAATTTACTATTGCGGTTTATGATCAACATAATAATAACTCCATTTGAGATACTTTAGCATCACTGTTTAGTTTATAATACGAAATCTGTAAAATATATTTTTAGTTAACTAGCGAATTCTCATAAGTAGGTTGGTATTACACAATTGTTTTATTATAGGTATATTTTTTATTGTTCTCTCCAAATAATTACATTATACAAATACAAACAGTGTTTAAGATACATCTGAAGAACATATTAATAATAGATTTGTTCAGTAAATGACGTCAAACTTGTTAGATCATTCTTGTGCTCTAGACATCTCAAATCAAGACCTTCAGGATGGCCTAGGGCCTAGGGTACCTAGTTTTTTGTAGATGATAATATTAGCAATCGTTTACAGTAATTACGGTAGGGTATGATGGCGTGGTACCAGTGTATGAGGGTGCGATGATGTGGTCAGGTCGGTTAACACGGCGCGGCGAACTCAATACATAGATGGTTTCTTGTGCTACTAGTTCTAGTTATTTTTAAACTTTCGTGTTTAATATAGCTAGCTCTAGTTTTCGATAATATGTTTCCCTCGCTTTGTGCGACCCTAGTGATGGGCCACTGGTGGAAGCGATTTCTTTTGGGCACCACAACATATACTTTATCTACAGAACAATTCCCGGCTAATGAAATTTGACAATTAGTTGAATTCAAATCTGGGAATATCTCCGGACTTCGAAACTACATGTATACTACTAGGTATATACTATAACTATATATTTATGTTCCTTGTGTAATCGCAATCAGTAAATATAATTGGATTGATTGGTAACGACGACTTTTTATTTAAATGCTGCTTCCGTCGTTATGTTAAGGTATCAAGAACTGGAGTACACTGGAGGACACACACTATAGTTTACTACTACATGTAGTATGTATGTAAGTAAATGTAAGTACCTATATAAAATTCCACCAAGCTTAAGTTAGGGAAATTACTCACGTATCAGTTTCAAAATATATTTCTCGTGGAGCCAAATCTTATATTCCGTATATTAAAATAGAAAGTAGGTAGACCATGGAAGGCCATGCTCCTTGTAAAGCCTGTTTATAAACAACTAGTTGACCTGTGCTTCACATTTTTACTTTTGCAGCATTTTTCAATGCAGCTTCGCTTCTATTGGTGGTGGCGTGATGTTATTGTATGTAACCTTCCTAGATAAAGGGGTTATACAAAACTAAAATAATATTCAAATCTGTTCAGTTGATCTAAAGATAACTCCCTATAACCTTCACAAACTTTACCTCTTCATAACATTAGTATAGATTAAGCTTTTACAATTATTAAATTAAGAACAACCTAAATGAAATATACAAACAACATATTCTAGTACTGACAGCCCGGAGATCAGGGTTTAATTTGTTCTTGGATTTGAATATTGCGAACTCAATATTTATTCCTTTTCTTACCATATCATCTTTTACACAGTCCATCCATTTCTTTTCAGCCTTCCTCTGCCCTTAAAACCATCCACATTCATATGTACATACACCTATGAGCCCTATGTTACTAATATGTATTCATAAGCATTTGACGCCCTCGGTGGTCTAGCAGTTTAGCACACCGCTTTATTTGGTGGTCGCAGGTTCGATTCCTAGCACGATGTAAACATTTATATTTATGAGTATATTGTTTGTATTCTGGGTGTTTTCTATGTAAGTACATTATGTATATATTTACAAAAATAAAAATATCTAAGTATTTTATATAAGTTGTCTAGATCATTAGACAAGTTCTGCTTACCATAGGAGGTTAATTGTCCAGGATATTTATTATTTAGGATATTTTAGTAGCGGTTAAAGGTTCACTGTCATCATCACGGAATCCTAAACACAGTGACACGATAAGTAGGTAGAGACGGTGACCCAAGCGATCGCCTTGAGGAATTATCCTATTAAATTGAGCCCATAGTTGACAGATGTGATTTCCGGTTTATGTTGTTTGGTTGATAATACAAAAATGGAAGATTTCAACTAGTGAGAATTATATAATATATTGAACAATGCACTTATTTTATTGTATGAGAGATATTTTAAACTTTTATTAATTCTATTTAAGTAGTTATTGATAAGGGTCTGTACGTCCCAATAAATGTTTTTTGTTTTCTAATATAAGCAGACGTTGAGACTAGTGGAGATGATATCTATTTTTAATTATACATGAATTCTTTTTGCAATGTTATGCCTTGTATGTATTAGGTACGCCTCTTAAGTAGAGTAAATTAAACCCTGTTTCTATTCTCAGTTGCGTTAATATTATAGAGAACTATTTATTAAAAGACTATATTACAATTAATATAAAAACTAATACAAAACGTAAGAATAAAAAGCAAAGCAAAACACAAGGTGCGTTTGTATGAGTATAACGTTTACAAGTGATTAATCATTATGTTTTTACATTACTTTTCTCCTCTATTTTATTGAACGTTCTTAATAAATGTTCTATGACTGATTTATTATCTAATTTTATTTCATATTGTTAAGTTTGTATTATTCATAATTGTTGAAAAATAATTCATCTAACATTACCTGTATTACGAAGTAGCTGTAGAATCGTCAAAAATATTATAGGTAAAAGTGCTTAGAATTAAAATTATTTTCTATTCAAATCTTATTTAAACATCACATTTTAGCTGTATTCACATGTATTAGATGGCGTGGAGATATAGATATAGATAGATAGTTTAATATTGTATAATTTATTTCTTAAACTGTATTATTTCACAAATTAGTAATTTTGGGTGAGTAATAAAAAAAAACGCTGGTCTGTTCTGTACATACACATAATGCATCACGTCCAATAAAATTCAAAATTTATTCCTTACACGTACCTAATATTTAAATTCATCTGAATATTAGAGTCACTTTACTCAAAAGTCTTAATTATATATACTATAATTATGTATGTAACATTAATTATTTTCTCAATAAATATACATAATATCCCACCATTTATACACCGTTAAAATTAAATCCATTAGCCTCAACTGTGCACTAATAAAATCACAAGAGTCGTCTAGTCCGTTGCACGTTGACTCGGCGGCCAGCAGCGGCCGAGGCTGCAGCGGCAGCGGCTCGGCGAGCGTGCACTCGGCCGTGCTTGGCGAGGTGGTCCGATCGGGCGAAACGCTTGCCACACTCCGCGCACCTGTAAGGCTTATCCCCAGAATGGCTGCGGCGATGGCGCGCCAATTCGTCGGACCTCGCGAACCGCCACACGCATCCTCCCCACGTGCACTGGTATGGCTTCTCGCCGCTGTGCCGCCGCAAATGCGCCCTCACGTGCGACGCCTTAGCGTACAATTTTCCACAATCTTCCACTGGGCAACGGAACGCTCCGAGCTCTGAACAAAACTTTGGCTCACCCCATGACTGCACTTTTATGTTTAGACCTTCGTCCACAGTACTTTCCTTCTTCTCCCAATCTGAATGCACCGCGACGTAGTCATGGGTAGCTAATACGCATAATGATTCGCTACTACCCGACCCTGTTATAGATTGAGATGTGTCATTTGAAAGGTCACTGCTCAGAGCCTCCAGTAGATATTCATCCAGTAAACTCTTATCCAAATCTTCGAAATCGAAAACAGGTGATGAGCTGTCAAAAAAATTGAAATCATCCTTGCTCACATCACTAGCACAGTTTACGAAAGTATCACAACGAAAATCCAAGTTATTGATTTGCCAGTCGTTAACGTCCGAATCAACTGACGGTAGTTCAAAATTGATGAGACTCTCCACCGGAGAGTACTCGAACAGAAGTTGATCGTTCACGAGTGCATCTTGAAAGATGCCGGTGCTGCTATCACAATACATACTGGATCTGGAAACAATAAAACGGCAAATGTAAAAGAAATTTTGAAATTGATTGGAGCATAAAAAAGAGCGTAATGGTTAAGTTAGGAAATACGCACCAGTATCTGCAGCGTAATCGTATAAAGCCAGTTTACTGGTTGTTGTTGAATGGCAGTCGGAACTGCGATAAACAGTGAGGATGTTATTGTGATCGGGATGAGTAAGCAGCCGGCTGCGGCGCGTCCCGGGGTTGGAGTGAGTCTGGCGTGGCCGCCGCTACCGCCGCTCAAGCGCTCCGGACACCACGGCGGACGCGATAACGACGATCGACGATTATCGACGGATCCACGCACGCACATGTGTGATGTGTGCACTCACAGACTCCATCGATCCCTGTAAAATATTAAACTGACCAACCAAATTAAACTCATTTGGAAATTAATATATATTGCCCACGTATGTGATTATACTGAACTTAACATCAGTTTATCGGGTGTTCTATTTTTATTTAGTATATATTTTAAACAATAACGCAGCTATATATATAAACAGTAGAAATGTCAATTAACAAAGCTGTTTATTGAATATGATTATGGTAATATGGATCGTTCACTTTCTCTACTCTTATCGCACTTGTTTTCTTGACTTATCCGACAGTTCTTTTACCTAAGCAAACAATTTATAATCAACTTATAATTATAAATAAGTAGCTATTTGTTTACATTCTATTTGTTTTTTTACTCATGATAAATTGTTTTTTTTATTATTGTGTACTACAGTCATATGCTAAATGAATAATGTAAAATGCAGTATATAAAAATATATAGAAAGTACATTACCCTACATATCCTTCAATTAAGTTATCACGGTTAGGAGAATGTTCTCCAAAAAAATAACAATGTGAATGTAACTTAATATTCCGAATTCTCGGGATTACAATTAGTTTAGTCATCTTCGTGAATCGTTCTAATCGGAAATTCTACAATAACAAAGTACTGTCCGGAACTACGTTTGTAGATAAGTAAAATATTTGCCAGGCTGACAATCACTTGATAAACAATGAATAGGCCCCACATTGGCGATAGTTATGCTTTCAATTTTTCCAGTCAAGTTAAATTTAACGTAAAAACGCCACTTGTGTTGCACAATTAATTACATTTGCAATAAAATTGATTTGTCAGATTTCTTATTGTTTATAAAAAGTACCTATAGATCTATTTAATGAGAAAAAACAGTTCCTATTTATATACATAACAATAAATGATCTTGGTCAACCAAGGCGTAATAATGGTCTTAAAACCTATTTTAATATTTTATTATCATTTTATATATATGTTAGTGTATAAGGTATTTGTAATATGGGCCTTGCAACCTGAATGAAATAAATAAATCATTAGGTACATAGTATAAAACAAAGTCGATGGGGCTGTCTGTCCGTCCCTATGTATGCTTAAATCTTTAAAACTACGCAACGTATTTTGAAGCGGGATTTTTAATATATAGAGTGATTCAAAAGGAAGGTTTATATAAAGGTATAATACATGTACACCCGTGTGAAACCGGGGCGAGTAGTAGTAAAAAATATATGTTATAAGAATACAAATAACAAAATACCTATATAGCTCAGCACTAATATATTATGTATAATAACTATGGTATACAGATTCAATTTAGAAGAACTGGCAAGAAACTCAACTGAATTTCTTTTTTTTGAAGCCATTAAATTTACATTGTGTACTTATGTAGTCTAACATTAAGTGAAAATCCCGTGCATGAACTGCTATTGCCATGGTCGTTTGTCCTTCCAGTCATCGTTTAGTGTGTTGGTTTTGCTGAATAAATATAATTTAACAGATGTTTTGAATTTGTTTATTTTATTAAACAACAAAGAGGATTATTATAAAATTTGGACTAATTTTACACATTGTATTGTATTTACCTATCATAAAAAACTACTGTTCTAATGTAAGTTTTGCAACTATTCCGCATAGTTATTATCTAAATACATTGTAATACAATTAATGCAATTGCTAAAAATAGGTCGTGAGTACAAATCTAGTCGACGCCAAAAACTCTCAATTGAATTTTCTGACTGACTGGTAACGAAGCAAACACCGATAATAAAACCAAAAAAATGTTCCGAGCGAGAGCTGTAGGCTTGCTACGTTGCAATCAAAAATATTGGTCTTCTCAGCTAAATGTCAAGTGTTGCATTCACAATGATGTAGATAAATAATTCTACTAATGTTATAAACATGAAAGTTTGTGAGTATGGATGGACAGATGGCTACGGAACGGATTTTGATGAAACTTTGAACTTATATATCAGAATAACAAATAGGCTATAAATTATAGGCAGGTGCCTACTGCGGGCACAACTAGTTAACAATACTGCTGACTACACTTCCCGAAATTACAGTCGTAATGGTATATTATTGTTTTCTTAAAACAATAAAATGATACAGATAAAATATTTTAATGAAAAAAATAACATAATTTAGTTTTGATATTCGACATTTTAGTGTAAACGTCATTTACATAATTTTAACGCACACAATACAAAAGTATTGGTATTATTACCATGTAACATTTTCTAACAGTCAACCACAGGTGTTTCAGGCGTCCATAGGCAGTAACCATTTACCATCAGATGGCCTGTTTGCTTGTTTATCACCATTGTAGTATAAAAAAAAAAACCATAGCTAGTGTAGATCATTATTATAATAATATTGATTGACATGGATAAAAAATAGTATACACGTTCTTCTTACGATTACTTACTACTTACGTTTCTATAAGTACCGATGTAACTACAGAAGTGTTTCCCAGCCTTTAGACCTCTGCCCCATCTTAGCCTTTCTCAAATTCTTATGCACCCCTAGGAAATTTACTTACTGTAAAAAAAGTAAATTTTCAAAACTTGTAATAAAAAATTGAACAAACATTCCATATAATCCTACTAAAGATTCATTTTCTGGTTGCGTCACATTACGAATCACGCGTGCGGAGTGCGTTTGCCGGCGACAACGGAGTACGTCGCCAGCGGCGGCGGCGCGTCGCGCGCTCTCGGTGGCTGGCGGTGCCAACATCTGGTGCTGCGTACTATCTGATCATGTTTCAGGCCTCCTTGTATTTCCAATACAACCTACATACATTATAGGTCTTAACACCCATTTAGAGTAGAGTTCCCAACCGTCCTGTTTTCCCAGAATATATACCATACAGGTACAGTTTTTGTAGTGTTCTGAGACGTCCTGAATAGTTTTTAAGAATTTCAATATCAAAAATAAATAACATTTTATTCAAATACTTTTTGAATACACATTTTTATATAATATTTGGTGTAACTTGATTTTGTTATACTATACATATCTATAAATGCTGAGTGGGAGTCACTTTTAGTACACGTAGGTTTTAAATTTGAAGCTAAATATATAATAGTACAAACATTTACTGTAAACCCTAATCTAATGACGTGATTATTACTATAGCGACTGCATACACCTTCGTGTGTTCTTTTATATTAAACAGTTTTTTTAATTATACATTGCAGTTACTGTATGTTTGAAAGCGTCGTCACCTATTGGTTTGGCCTGCTTCACCTTTTGGTCTACTACCACGAATTTAAACGGTCGTGAGTTTAACAGACTTCCTGACTAACTCTCCGGTGAGGAGAGAAGGGATTGTTAGTAAGTGGCTGAAACACTGATAACAAACCTAATATCAATCGGACAGACCGCCGCTCGTCCTGCCATGTTAGATGTGTCAAGCCAAATGTGGGCATGTCAACTTTTGTGTTCTTCACAATGACAATTCGTCTGACTATGTAATATTATCTTATCTGTGCTCTGACTATCTCATCTGTTGTGTTATTATAGTATTGTTATATATTGTGTTATTATTTATAAATTCAAGTTTTTTATTACATTCTTTATATAAGCGACAGTTTTTCAACGAGAGCATTTATTGTAGAGCTCTCTATTTCTTTTTACAATTTTTATTAAAAATGCAGCACATGTTGTTTTATTAAAAATTTGATACTGTTTTTTAAAGGCTATTCTTTTAATATCGATTTTTATATAATAAGATTATAACGAGTTTATACATTAGATACAAAGTAAAAATCAAAATATGTTGTTAGTGGTGTCTAAGAATTCCAGAGATTTCGATTCAGTAATAAATTACTGTTTACAAAAGTACGTTACTCGTGTACTTTTCTCTGTATGGATTACGCTTTTGTTAACAATTTGCTGGAGTTATGTGTTATTCGTACAATAAGCATGGGTGATAAGTGATAACGGATGGAGACTGGTACGGCCAGCGTCTGCGCTGCCATCGCGATCCGGTTACAACGTTACCAGTGCCAGTATACTGGTATTTTATACTAGCTGACCCACGCAACTTCGTCTGCATCTCACTTACTTGACATTTATCATTATATTTAGCCCAATTTACGTAATATCTTTTTAAATTATAAATATGTATATATATTTGACGGCCTCGGTGGCCTAGCAGTTTAGCACACCGCTTTATTTCCGATGGTCGCGGGTTCGATTCCTCGCGCGGTGCAAACATTTGTATTCATAAGAATGATTGTTTGTATCGGTTTGGGTATTTTCTATGTAGGTATGTTATCTAAGTATTTATTTCAGTTATCTAGTACATCTAGCACATATAACACAAACTCTGCTTATCGTGGGACTAGATGGCGCTGTTAATTGTCCTAGGTTATTAATTATTTATTTTTTATATATATATACATATATATCCTATGTGTATGTTATTCTGATAAATATAAGCTATATTACTGTAAAATTTCATAAACATCCGTTCAGTAGTTTTTGCGTGACAGAGTAACAAACATCCATAACACAAACTTTCGCGTTTATAATATTAGCACGTATTAGTAAGATTTGTGTATGTTCGGACAGTTCGGATTAGTTATTTATAATAGGGATTTGATGGCTGATTGCATATGGAACCGATGCATTTGTTTTATTATTTATATAAGTATATATATAAAGGTCATAAGATGAAAATAACAAGTAATGACACGATACACATTGTAATACCTATAATCTAATATAACGGACATTATTATGTAAATAAGTAAATACATATTATCAATAAATTGTTCTACAGTAAATACTTATTACTAGCTATGCCCATGGTTTCAACCGCATGAAATTAATAGCCTATTTTATTCTATTATTATACAGTGTTATATTAGTGTTATTATTATGTACATATAAGCTACATTTAGGTAAAGTTTCATCTAAATCCGTTCAGTAGTTTTTGCGTAAAAGATTAACGATATGGATGGATATCCAACCAATCCAACTCGCAAACTTTCGCGTTTACAATGTTACTAACATATCTGAAATTATTATTATGTTATATTGTATTTTGTTTATATATATATAAAAACATTTTTTTAATAAGTCCAAAACAAAAACATACCACCACGACTGCAATGCCGGATGGGGTGTTCAGAGGGTATATTTGAACACAACATTCGTTTTTACTTTTGTTATCTGGTGTTTCTTTTATCGCAGAGTTAGTCAAAAATGTAAATTGCCACATAGTGTTTTTTTTTGTTACGTATATTTGATCTCATGACCTTTTAAGTGTACGAGTAAGTCAGTGTATTGGCAGGCCACAACACTCTATAATATAGTAATATCCATATTGGTAGGTAAACAGGTCGCTTGGAATAAAAAGTTTTTAAATATTATTTTATTTTAGTATTATGACGAATTTTTTTAATTACTTGTCCAGTTTTACCCTAATAAAAATTCTAGAGACATATGTCTTTACATATTAGTCATATTTAATGACTGCATTTATCATATTAAATTGTTACCATCTATTTAATTAAATATACATGGATTGTTAAAATCATATATATTTCTATATATTCGAAAAGCAATCACATTCATTTATCTCAATAACCGTAGCGAAATAGAAATATTCGTTTTGCAAAGTTATTTAATTAGAACTAATATGTAATATTATGTTATCTATGGTACTAATAAAAGGTAGTTTTAATTTTATATAATGTTAAAACAAATAACACTCGCTAACACTATATATTATGTACATATTCATAGTTTGTAATTTTTTCATGTAAGATAAATAATTTTAAACTGTAAAAAAAGAAAAACACTGGAAAAGGGCCAATTAAGAAAATCCTGCTTTTTAAAGTTGGTTAACAACAATATATATCGTTATTAGCTATTTTTTGTACTCGTAAAGATATGGCATGGTATGGTTTTCACGTGTCCAAAATAAATAGCAAACCCATTGATAAAGAGTCTCCAATTTCAGTCATTGAAAACCAATTTAGCTATGTTGTCGAGTGATACGGAAATAAAATATGCTGTGATAATGTCATAAGTAACCATAGATTGTATGGCGAGTCACTGTTGGCAATAAATTAGGCACGCTTATAGTCGTTTTAGTAGATAAGGGTATGTCATTAATAGCCACTCTATTGGATCCAAATAACACCATGTGTATGACCAAAGATTAATTAAAATATAACGTTTATACTTTATGGAATATAGCATGGTCCAAGTGACAACTGAAGTTTAAGATTTTTGTACTTTAAAATGTTTCTATTGACATTTTTGGAGCTAGAGTCCATAAACAGGTACTTACTATTTTTTTTTATACCACAGGGGTGGCAAACTAGCATACGGCCCATCTGATAAACGGTCACCGTAGTCTACCTGTACATCTGAAACACCAGGGTTGTCACGTGCGCGTTATCGACCATCAAGAAACCTTAATATACCTGTCTTGAAATATCTAGTAGTAGTTTCTCGAGAAACCTCGGCAGGTAGTTCATTCCACAATCTAAATGTACGCGGGAGGAAGCTCATCCGAAACCTATTATAATTTTGTTGAAGACAATGTAACTTCATAATTGGCTTAAGTTTTAATTTTAATAGTGAGACGTATGTTGTATGTTGTAGTATGCTTATTTTAAACACGAATGTGGCGTTAGGTAACATAAAAACAAATAAGTTATTTTTTATATTCATTTTGCATTTTTCCTACTTTGAGTAATAGGTAAATATCTGAAACATTATTTATAGTTATATTTGCTGCAAATGGTTTGTATCTCTAATGTCATCTGTACTATATTATAATGTGTTGAGTATAGTTAAACTATAGTACCTACGTAGGAGGGTGTGTATTTCAGTATGTATGTTACTCGATGTAGTTGTGAATGTTGAAGATTCTTTTTAGTGTTATGATACTAATTTGTTAACTTAAAAAGTATACTAGTTAGTAGAATATATTATTAGTTTTTTTTAATTGTAATGTCATTAAAGAAGCAGAAGAAATAAGAATGTAATGTTAATATAACACTAAAGTTGAACTATTTTCTTCTATAGCAGCAGTATGAAGAAATGATGAATCCAATAAGTATCTATATTATTAGGGTATTTTCAGATTATGGATATGACTTGTACTTAAGAAATATAATTACAATAGCAGTCTAGAAACGGATTTGGCCGCTAATCTTGTTATCTTTAACGATTAAGTCTAAGTATTAAGCAACGGTTTTGCCGCGTGACGAAGGAGTTTGACATTGACTATTCTTAAAGAACTTTTGAAGGAAAGTCGATAAATTAAAATAATGACTGTAATCTCTCTTATTAAGCGTGCAGTCACGGGATCAATTTAGAAATACCTTAAAACATAATTTCCAAATATTTCAGTAGCCAGACACAACTGCAAATTTTCACATTCCTAGTGAAATAAAATGTCTTATCTTAACTTATAGAATAATGATAAACAGAGAGTGGATTTCGTTCTGTAGGATCAGTTTGTGGAGTAAATAAAAATAAATTTGAGAAAGAATAAACGTGTTTCAATGTTGTAACGGTCCACAGCGTATTACATTGTGTAACTCGTTCCAAAAATGATGAAATATCTCATTTTAATTTTAGTATTAATATACGAAATATTAAGTATTAAAATGCAACCAGCGGTAACGGGTTGACTGAAATTTGTGTAACGTAACTTAGGACTGCGTTGAACTTGGAGGATAATTCTGGGCAGAGCTTAACTTAAACTTTCTCTCTCTTTTCGGTTTTCTTTTCAAAACGGTAAGAACCAGTAATCCATTATATAAATAGCTTAAAAAATGTTAAAGTCACACATCTTTTTTGAAGATGTCTCCTAAGTCAGGTGTTTAAAGATCTCAGGCATTTCTGTATTTTGGTGTATTTGGTACAACTATGTAATATTATATTATCTGTGGTACAACTAACTAGTATATACCAATAATCAAAAAATAAACCAACGAAGGAACGAGTCGTAAATAAAATTTAGATTGACTGTATAGAATGTATGTGTAGGTACTATGATAAATAGTATAGCGTTAAGTAAGGTCAATAATTAAAACATACAAAATAGTTTGCGCATATCTTTTCTTTAATACGAGCATTTTACAACAATATTGAAACGAAATCGTCATTTTGAGATCTGCTGCCAACATACACTACGGGCGCTCAACAAATAAACATAAAACCGCGCACACTAATCTATATAAACAAGTCGCATAAGTACATACAGGCTTCCCAATATAATATTATCTATACATACACTAAAACTATATCACCACTTGCCACTCTACGTTCGCGGAACGTCACTCACTAGAACAGAGTCACTTGATCTATTTTGTTCGTTTGTTTGTTAGTCTGTTTGTTTTCACTAGTAGATCACTTCGTAGACTGTGGCTTTCTTGTCGCCGGAGCCTGTCACTATGTATTTGTCGTCCGATGAAATGTCGCAGCTGAGTACTGATGATGATTCTTTTGACTGTAAAGGAATAATGTCATAATTAATAATTATGTATCATAAAACAAATACACACATGATTTTAATATTTAAAATTAAAACACAGCATTACTACAATTAGAATACAATATTCTTAAACTCAGTCAGTGTCACAAATTAAACAACCAAATCACAATTTATTAGAAAAATGACGTCAAATTTATTTTTCACTTTTCGGGTATATAATTCGGTTCACGATTTTATGACTTTACATAAAATACCATTTGAGCTAAAAGCATGAAGTATTATGTCAAAAATTCTACAATAACAGTAATTTCATTATTTTTGTATTTGTGACACTATCTGAGCGGAGCTACGGATTCGTGAATGAACCAAGATGTTTTTTTGCAGTTAAAACGTTTTTACTTAGAAGAATAAAAAAGGAGACAACAGATTTTTGGAGACTTTGAAACGGGTACATCTCCCAATGTTCCCCATTTATATTAATACTTTTTTTATACACATTGGTATTGGTAAAAAATAATTAAATTAAGTAAAAAATATAGGAACTTTGTTAAATATGTATCTGGGAGTTGTTATCGAAAATATTATGACTAGAATTTTATATTTAGAAAGTGTTTTGTCTTCTATAGCTGATTTCATTTTTTATTTGTTTGTTCTGTCGCCGCAAAATTAGGAGAGCCTAATGTCCAACATAAAGTCAGTGCTAAGAGAAAAAAGATTACTTTCGCTTATGACCTTACCTGGAATATACTAGCGCCGTACGGCGTACGCCATGCGTTGAGCAGATTGTCCTTCCCCGTGGAAACGAACCACTTGCCACACGAGGCGAATCGGAGTGAGAGCACACACGACTCGTGTAAGTGCAACTGGTACTTATCAGGCTTCACCGCGTGCAACACTTCTACGTTGCTGTTCTCCATGCCCACTGCTAGCCACTCACCTGCAAAACGCGTTTATTAGTTTTTATTTGGGTTACACAGGGTAAAAGAAAAAACGCAGATATTGAATACAGTAGAAAATAGACGAGGAAAAATATTAGGACACTTGATACGGCACGGTGCTTTTATGAAAATTATTATTGAAGGAAAAATAGAAGCAAAGAGGGGGAGAGGAAGACCAAGGCACAGCATCTTAAACAAAATGGGAGTGGTGTCGTATCAACGTTTAAAGAGCATGATGGAAGATCGTGGAAAGTGGCAAGAGCTCCACATGACAAGAGCGTCGCTTTTAAATTATGAATGTATGAATGAGAGAATTACTACAAAAACTAAGTTTTCAGTACAGTCTTATTATTGTGATTCGTGTACAAAATTATTTCAACTTGTATGCATTATTCAAAGTTCTGACGATGTAGAGGTGAGGTATATAAATAAGTATTTATGTTTCAAAATTAGTAAGCCAGTCTGAAGTTAGTATAGTTTATTTTTATATCGATTTTATATGACTCGGTAAACATTGTTTTGGTATATAAAATATAAATTTTATTAATTTATAAAATTAATATCGCTATTAAGAACAGTGTTTCTTGATGTCAGAAGTAACTTTCACTACTTTGAGGGCACTACAAGAAGATTAATAAAATAAAAACAACGTATCTGCGATTTATGATAGAAAAAAAATATGAACTCACCAGTAGGACAGTAGCCCAGCGAGAATATTTGAGAACTGAAGTCGTGTTGCTGTAATTGTCTGCCTTCTCTTAAATCCCATGATCTGTAAATTTAAAATATTACAATTTATTTAGGCATTGAATGACATAATTATGTTTTTATATGTGTTGTTTTGCAACAGTTACACCATTTCCGGGCCTATACAATATTCGATTTTTTATTGTTGCGTTTTGCAAATAACTGTCAAATATTTTATATAGAAATCATAATGATAAACGAAAGACAGACTCTATTCAATAAGCAATTAACCAGAAAGAACACTGATTGGAAAGTTTTCACCCTATATCACATGTACTGTAATGCTGTTCACATTTTTATTTACGGAACTATTTTCAGATCTCGGCCGCTGGTTTTGACAATGGGTGACTTCAGAGCGCATTCGAAACCCACCAACCCAACACCACGGTTCAATGCACCGCTAGAGGTCTGTAACTTGACTCAGGATTTCTTAATTTCGTTTCCTATCGCAATTACCCATATTTGATCAACGGAGGTGTGTATATATATCTCATCCCGACTCAGCATGTAAGCGACGATTGGTCCCATAAGTTTTTGTAATTGAAATTTTGAATAAATTGCAAATGATTGAAGTAGTAACTCACCTCACAGTGTTGTCAAGGCCGCCCGTCCACAACTTGGTTCCGTCAGCAGAGATATCGATGCAGGAGGCGCCGTCGGTGTGTCCTTGGAACTGCCGCACCAGCGTCTGATTGTGAAGGTCCCAAACGGCTATGTTTCCGTCTGAACAACAACTAAAGCACACCTGCGGATACGTACGATTTGTTAGAACTTTTGTTTATAAAGTTTAATTCATTGAACTATTTAAGTCTTACAACTATAAACATGCAGGTTTTTTACTATAATTTAATCAGTTGGTATAAATGGAGTGAGTAATAAACAATGTTATTTATATTTTCCATAGTTCCAGTTTTCATAGATTTTTCATAGTATGTACATTTTTTTAGAACGAAAGCTGTAATAGACTATAATAAATGTTGTAATAGGCACGTAAATAATTATATATAAAATTAATGGTTGCCCAGTGGTCGAAATTCTACCATAATAAAAAATACTAGCATTCTGCACTCCGTCTCTATATAAATTATAAGTATGCGAAATTTCGTACTCCTCCGTCTAATATATAGATTTTAATTATTTATTTATTTAATTAACACAATATAAACTTACAGCTAATTGCCAACACGTTTATATTTTAAAACTATTTATACTACTTAAAATTATATGATGATAAATATATTCTTATTTTTGTAATTATGGAAGGCAAGGCTTCTGTATAAACGTCAGCATCTTGGACCTGATTATAGATATACTATAGATATATTAATTATATATTGATGAAGATTCAAGACATTATGTACCTTAGAGTCTGGACTAATGGCCAACGCGTAACAAGCTGGCGCGGATGATGTCAACTCTGCTTTGATGCGTGGCGTCGGGGACGCCAGGTCCCATATTGATAGATTTGACGCCTCCCCGCCCACGATCAGTGTACGACCATCGGGCAACAACTTTACGGACCTAATGTAATTGTCCCTTTGCTGCAATTAAAACACAATAATTCCTTTAAAAAAGTAATAGGTTACTCTATAAACAGCTAATTTTAATTATACAGATGAGACTACACAAACTACTGTAACTTGTAAATTTGGGAATGGCAAAAAGTTATTATCAGGACATTATGCTATTGATATTAAGGTCTAAATCTTAAAAATATCTTAAAGAGATAGTAAAATTCGTTAAGTTAGAAAATTTCTGTATAGAATAACCCAATAAAAACATCTGTTATTAGATTTTAGTGTGCGGCCTTGATTACTTTTATAAAACCGTTGTTGTCTAGCATAGGGAATGTTTTTAAATCTTTACATGGTGACAACGGTTGGGGGTAAACGATGTAAGCAAGCCTTTAGTTTGTCTATTCTGTACTAATATATTTATTACCAAATTAATTATAAAAAGATAACTAAATTTATAATTCGAATAAACCGGAGACAGTTACCCACTCACCAAACAATCCAATTGGCTAACTGGCGCTTTGCTGGGTTGGCTGATGTCCCACACCTTCACGCAGCCCTTGCCGCCGGTGTAGACGTACTTAGTGGGTGAGGAGACAGTGACCGCGCAGACCACCTCGCCGTGTGCCAAGGCGGAGACTTGCCGCGCGTGCCGGGGGATGCCGGGACCCATCAGCGCATCCGGAGGGAACGGCACCGGTTGCATCTGACCCTCGGCCGATACGTGGAATGAGTATGCTCTGGAATAATTCACGAATGGTCAGTCTCGCAGGCTATAGGTAAGGAACTTGTGAAGACTTTTGTATACTACTTGAATGGTAAAATAGGCGGCCCACTAGTTGGAAAAGGTTAATATTTGTCTATAAATATGAACAGCACTAGACTTTAAAAACTGCGATATCCGCCTTCCTCTCTGTGTAGACATTTCTCAAAACTGACGGTGAGCCGTCTATCTGTATTTTCACTATCATAAATCACTCTCTTCAAATCAGAACACTTAATATAAATCAAGCTGTTCTTCAGCAGAAAGCAGTGAAAAAAATTCGCAACTTTTGACAAAGTAAACATGAAAAACGAGGAGTTATTTAACAAAGTTCTCAGGAACAGCAAAGCACGAGGGGTGGTTCTACATTCAAGTGAATTTATAAAAAGGGGCGTTTTTATGCTGTTTAAATTTATAGCAGTAAAATATAAGTAAATACAAGATACGCAATAGAATATGTGCGTACAAACGTTTTATACTTTAATAATCTTAATTAAACACCTACGTATATAATTTTATGAGTCTTGCGTTGTATGTATGGTTTTAGCATATGTTATAGACGGTGTGAAGTAATAAGTATGTTATCACCAAGTAGATAGTAAATGTAGAAATTACTGCACTGCAATGAGACTAATAAGAAATATTTCTTTTGTTATGAATACCTTAAAGTTACTCGAGTAGCCGCTGTAGCTGTAGTTTTTTTATTGAAATTCTTTAAACTCTATATCATCACAATATAAATATAGGTAATATCTATACGTACATAAGTTATCCAAAATTATTTACAGTAATAAATTATTTTGATTTCGACTATTTAATTTCATAACGATATCTGTGCACGACGCACCTTTTTACGTATATTGTGTGTTTTATTGTCTTTTATTTTACATAGAATAATATTATATTTTCACTATTCTTCTATTGTGTGCTTTACTTTCGATACATACAATTATACTATTTCTACCTAATAACCGTCTTTCCATGATGACTTTTACCAGAATAAATACAGTCCCTTCACTAACAATATTTATAATCTAAATATCTTCATATAAATTGAAAATAGAATATTTAGGAAAACGGAACTTACGGTTTACCGCCAGGTATAGGCGCCAGCGCCGCTGGCCCGATAGGTGGCCGTAAGGGTTCATACGCGAGTGCTGCCCGCGCCGAGTACCCGGCCAGGCCATATGCGTCATGTGCTCCATTGCCTAAATACGGGTATTGTAGCGATGGGGGCTTCACTGCCGCCTTCAAGGGCGCCCCCGCCGCACCAGCCCCGCTCGCCCCCGACGTCGGCGTGACCGGTTTTGAGATTGGCGTACTCGGTTTCTCGTCCAATTTCTTCGCTGACGGCGTTGACGCATTGCTAGAGGTACCCGACCTGAAGTAACATTAATAGTCTTTGAACATACTATTTCTGTAACTGCTAAGTACTGTTTGAATTAAGCATTAAAATAACTTAGTACCTACTGAATTTAAATTATTCATGAGATTTATAAATGAAGTGTATATTTAAACCACAGAAAAGTCACCTTGACTAAATTATACGTAGCCAGGAGTAAACTCTATCACATTCCTGCTCCTATCATTATATATATTCCATCTCTACCACTGTATCGTAATATTTGGGGTCACCGTAATATTTTTCTCTTACATTGCATCAATATTACTTTGGGTTTCAGCTTAGTTTTATGACCGGACTGCGTATAAAACTACAGCATGCAAAAAGTTAAAACCCATTTTGTCTTGGCGCAGATATCGCATAACCTATTACACAAAAAAATACAGTCGCCTACATAATGTTTCTTATTTTGAAGCCGATTAATAAATAATAAAAATAAATGGGTTAAAATAAAAGCATATGCACGCAATTTGTCGTTGTTAATAGATTATCAACGGGTATCTACGGAGGCGTGTCTAATCTTATTGTCTTTAATAGGACTACATTGAATCTCGGCGGCTCTGAACACTGTAATTGATTTAGTGTGGGGGCGGATTAACTTTCTGCACGTCTCGTGTCGTACGCTGACCTTCAAAGTAATGTGTTATATACGTGTACTCCTTTAATATTTATCTATGACTTCAATTAAGATGATACAGCTATTGTAATGATACGGTTTCGCAATTGATAGTTTAAAGTTGCCGTCAAGTTTGAAAATGGCTTCTACCTACTTAATAATAAAATACTTATTACGTTGTGTTATATTTGTACAAGGGTGAACCATGTAAGAATTTATTGATTTATTATATTATACATACATAATTATATACGACGCAAGGTCATAAAGTTTTATTAGTTGAAGTTGTTCAAATAAAGGTAATTGCCGCGATATTATTGTTTTAAGAATTTTAAATAAATAGCTTGTGTTGTTCAAACAGATTAAAAATTGTGGCGTTGTTATAATGGTTAGTAAGAACTTGTCATTATTACTATCTTTTTATTTTGACTACTCTAGTGCTGTTGGCCGTAGCTGGACTTTATAGCTTCACCAGACGATAGGGGGCGAGTGCAGATGGCACCTCGAAGATGGCACCGTGGAAGGACTTATGAATCGGCTGAACGCCAACTCTCGCCTGAACGATACGATATTACTGCCGTCTTATTCTGTATTGATGTATCGATGAATACAGTTCATCCTCATAAGCGATCTTCCACTTCATTCTCTAGTAAAGAATAGCAAAATATTTTTAATGTAATTGGAACAACCTGACCAGGTGGGCCGGACCTAGTAGTAAGCGGCGTATGTTGATTATAAGGAGGTTGTTACCTTGGGCTGTGTGGCGGATGTTCCTTTTTAGGTTGCAGTTTATCGAGTCCATTCTCTCTAGGTGAAGGAGCCCCGTTGTGCGGTGACGTAGGTTCTTCACTCGCATCGTCTACCACCAACTCCTGAAATGTGTTCAAATGCCGATTAAGAACTTAATACGTAATGAATGCACAGGGAGAGTATTTCTGGGAATAATAATATAGGATAAAGGACTAGCTGTTAAAAGATAACAAACATACAGATAAACAGGCGCTCTTTCGAATTTATAATATTGACATAATCCAAATTTAATAATTGATTAGTAAAAAGTAGAAAACTTAAATGACTGATACATTTTTCTATATAACTAAGTATATATTATACATATTATTATACCCGAAAAGGGACAGAAACACCCCGGCCACATGCACACTCTGTCTTGGTGATCATCCTGCAAACTATAAGGGTTGCCAAGTATACAAGGAGATTCGTGCACGAAAATACAACCAAGTCAATAATAGGAAGTTATTACCTAGGAACAAGCCGGTATCTAACCCTTCAAATCGAATACAACCAGTATTTCAAATGGAGGATTTTCCACCACTATGCGCACAAAGTTATGCAAGAAAAACCGAAAATAACTATGAGGCACCAAACATGCCAAGAAGTAACACTAACCCCAAACCTAAAACCAGAAATACTGGAGAATGGGTAAACCAAACAGAGAGTGCAATACCTCAGTCAACAAATTTGTTAGAACAAATCATAATTAAACAATCACAAAAAATTGATGTGCTCATACAGCAAATGGGGACCCTAATGGGGCTCCTCACGACACTAATAGCCCAGAAAAACAAAAAATACTGCTCAGGAGTATTTTTGGATGTACAACAGGCATTCGACCGCGTGTGGCACAAAGGCTTGTTCTATAAATTAAAAACCTCATTACCGAACACCATTTATATGCTCTTAAAGTCCTATATACAACATAGGATATTTCATGTTAAGTATGAAGATCACCTATCAGATTATTTTGAAATAAAAGCCGGAGTGCCACAGGGTTCTGTCCTTGGCCCAGTATTGTACACAATACATACTGCTGACCTTCCCACTACTAATGGTATAGTTACAGCAACATATGCAGACGACACAGCAGTGCTGTCATGTAATAAAGACCCACATATTGCATCTACAGAGCTTCAGAAACATCTGAATGGAATTAAAGAATGGTTGAATAAGTGGAGAATTCAAGTGAGCACCACAAAGTCGGTCCATATCACATTCTCACTGAAAAGAGGAAATTGCACACCAGTATCCTTAGATGGAACTATTTTGCCACAACAAACGGTGGTAAAATATCTCGGAATGCATCTGGACAGAAGACTTACCTGGAAAGACCACATAAAAGCAAAAAAAACCAAGCTGATAGAAAACTTAAAGACATGTACTGGCTGATAGGTAGACAGTCTAAATTAAGTCTGGAAAACAAACTCCTCATCTATAAGAGCATCATAAAACCAGTGTGGACATATGCAATGGAACTATGGGGATCAGCTTCACACTCTAACATAGAAATTCTTCAGCGCTTCCAAAACAAGGCATTAAAAACCATAGCCAGAGCTCCTTGGTTCATAAAAAACATTGAAGTACATACACATCTAGAAATTCCAACTGTAAAAGAAGAGATACAGAAAGCCTGTGGAAGATATAAACACAGACTAGCCGGCCATAAGAACCAGTTAGCTTCAAAACTACTGGATATAAATAACTGTCCATCTAGATTAAAAAGAGCTCGCCTTGCCAACATCTAAAGAAAGTAAATGAGATGGCACCTTACTGGAGGGGCCTCATCTCAAAAAGCCAATAACTTCAAAAAATCTGATTATAGCCGGAAGGGCTGATCGCAGATAGAGAGAGAGAAAAAAAAAAAAAAAAATACATATTATTATAAAATTGACAATGTCTAAAGGAATTGCCCTAATAAGCCCCAGTTTAGGCTGCAAAAAAGATCGCGGCATTGGCAATGAATGAATAACTTTATATTCAGATGTTACAACAAAGGTTTTACACAGTAATTAGTATTCGAATTTAACTTACATGGCCCATATCCTTTTCTTCTTTCTTGAGTTTCTTATGGTCTGGTTCTGCTGGACTTCGCGTCCTATACTTTTCTCTCTCTCCCGGAGATATGGAATTCCTCTGCAACAACAACGCAAAATTAATTTATAACATACCGTCCGCACTGGTCTTGTTGATTCAGTAAATACGAGTTAGTAAACATAATCAAAACATTTACGACCGCGCTTACGTACCTATAGCAATCAATCGATCATTGGTCGCAAATAAATCGGCACGCAGCGAGGCGAGTGCTACAGTCAATATCAATATCAAAACACGCTGAGGCAGAACAAACTGACCGCATGATTAGCTTCGGGAGTGGTCATCGCCCCCTCGCAACTGTATGGGTCGGACTGGGGAGAGCGGGTAGGAACCGCAACATTTGGACGAGCGCGCAAATACGGACTAATGAAATAATCATATACGTGGCGAACGATCACCACGCTCACTGATTTAGTTCATGTGACGTTTCTATACATAATGTAGGATTCGAGTGCTCGGATTATCAATATTCGGTCGAACGGTTGCGGCGAGTTGTGTAGACAGATGCCATTTCAAGTGTACGCACGCAACCGTGAGTGTGGCCATCCGAGCGGAAAGGCTTTCGCTTCCCGAACGATTCAATATGGGTATATTGCGTAGACTTTTTATATCTCGGATATCACATTCTAGATGCTATAAAATCTACAGGACCGTACATCGATATTTCTGATTCCTATCAAGTTCTTCAATATAATTTTACGTGTTTCCTTAAAAACATAATTGTTGTTAAATGAGAAGCGGCTGGATTCTATTTCTCCTCGGGGATCGTAGTAGGTAAGGCTCGCTGCTTGTGGGTGTAACGGGGCCTAATTTTACGAGGTACTAAGTTAGGAGCGAGTGGCAAGCGGCTGTTAATTTGCTCTCCACTCCGCCGACCTGTCGCCGCCCGCTGTGACTTACTGCCCGCCCGCTTCGGACCAAGACAATAACATTATAGATTCAAATTCACATCTATTTATTGCTGCCCGAGATATAATACGCCTAACGTCGTGTAGATTAAGTTTTATTTAATGATCCAAGTGAGTGTGAACGTTCTATTGTCACGCACAAAGGCTTTTATTTTTACGACGAAGAAATTAGATAATAAAATTGGTACGAGTGTACAGTCTGTAAGATAAACTGGACGACGCAGCTTATTGCGGCGGTGTTATTGGATATTTGATAGGCGAGATGTAACCAATAAAGTTTTATTATTGGCGCAAGTCGCGTGGAAGGGAACATAAAGTGGTGTCCACACAGCCGGGCGTATATGTATAACATGTATAGGTTGGTAAGTGCTAGTGGGGGTCGATTGTGTATTCGAAGGCCTAATTTTACGATCACTCGATCTCCGCCGAGTTGAATATCGAATTTCAAGTGCTATTTCGAGAGACCCACAGTGCCATACGTAATGTGTCGTGCCGGATTCGATTGGATGGATTTTATGATACCTATACGAGTCATTCGCTCGGGAGTGTAGTATTTGTGGTTAATCGTTAATTTAATGGATTCAAAATTTGGTCAGCTGCTGATAATGATGAGTTGGTGTAGGTACGTTTATACGCTTGGTGTAATAAAAGCTATTCTAGTACTTTGCAATACACGGTCAGATCTGTCAATCTGGACATTTAAGATAACGTTATTTTGATGACTGAGTCTGTATTGAATAACCGAAGTAAAAACATAAAACTATAATAAAACAAAAATAAAATAGTTATCTAGATACTTAACAATACTCCTTGTTCCGTACCTTTAACCCTTTTATTTATTTATTCCGTCCATATTATAGCACAATGTTCGTATACATAAACATAAGAGGATTACCTCTCAAATACCCATCCAGTTATATGTATCCGAATAGAAATACACTATATTGAGCAGTCGCAACCTTTTCCATTTTCAACAGAAAAGCGAACAGAGCTAATCTTTACTTTATCCCATTACGCGGGTCGACCTCAAGAAAAAGGCAATTGAGTCGGGGAAAGGTCGGTCGGGCGGGGAGTATTGGGTACTCGGTCGCTAAACAAGTACGAGTCAGCTACAAGCTCCGACAACACGACTTATCGGCTACCGTGCTCCGTGCGCCTCGGCTCGCCTCGCGGAGGTCGCCGCACACGACATGTGTCGCGGCGGGCGGGAAGGGAGGCAAGGATGTGAGGGGGGGAGGGGCTTTAGCCTGCTGCTGTGACGTAACATATAAAGTGGCAACACACAGGCGCGCTGTTAACGCCGCCCGGGCTTATTGTCTGCGGTCACGCGACGAGCCGTTTAGCCGCGCGCGCCGTGCCGCCTGCCGGTTAACCGGAAGGGGGCGGTTAACCGGACGCTCGGGGGCGGAAGCGGGGGAAATAGATAAATAGACCGCCCGCCGCTCGGAAATGTACGGATTGAGTTCGGACTATATTTCAGGCATAATAGTTTTGAAAAGTTACGTGATTTACACGCGACATTTTCGTCTTTTATCGAAACTACCTGCTCCAGACGATTTCGTTTTATGATACTATCATCGAAAAGTTTTATTGCGGACCATTTATTTTTAAGTCCCATTACGTTGTCAATTTATAACTTTGTACGTTTGATGATGCGATAAAATTGATCCACGCTGAAACTCATTCCATGCAAAGAAGTTACGCGTTGTGTAACTTATCGCTACCTGAATATCCGTCCCTAAATAAAAAAGATAAAGATTCGGAAACAAGAATCCGCGTTCGTCGGAAGCACGGCCCACAAAAGCGATACAAAAAATTAATCGCCAACGAGCGCGTAAACCGCGGGGCGCTGTGCGACTTTAAAATTAACTTTACCGGTTCATTCGTATACATAAATAATGGAGGAATTTCTGAATACACATTAAACTCCTATAAAGAATACATTAGCATAAATTTATGGTAGCGAGTCGACGTTTCGAGCGCGTTTTTACGTGACTCGTAAAGTTTATAGTCGCGAGTGGAGGATTGCGTTTACTGCGTTCGCTATCGGTTTATGGCCGACCCCAAATAGCCAAATTGCCTGGTGCTCGTTGTCAAGCTGACGTGCTGTCCCGCAGTGTCGCCGACTGCCTCTCTCACCCCGCGCACTCTCAGTACTATATCGACAATCCGGTCTTGTCTCAAGTAGTGCCAGAAGGCATCGCTATTATCCCATTTTGCGTTATGAGGACTCTTTGCGAACTTAACCGAACACTAAAGAAAACATTTGGAAGCTTGCCCAATATGATTGCTCACAAGTTCAATATCAGTTACATAATGTTAGGGGTTAATAGCAACTTTATAAAATATATGATCACTGCTAAATAAGTTAGCCATCTTTTGAACAAACTTATGTTTTATTATAATAAAAGATATTATCTTAAAATACGATATCACAAATACATCAACCTTATTGTCCATTGAATATTTGATTTAACACTGATTGTAATTATATTAAAATTAAATATATGAAACAATATTATATTTTTAAGACGTGTATGTTAATAACTCAATTGTACTAAGCTGTATATTTACATCAAATTAACAGTGAACTCGGGCAGATGTATCACACAAAGTAAATTCCGTGGAAGCCGTCGATAAGCAATCTCACCCCGCCCCTTGCTCTATTACAGGAGTAATTAGCACAATTAACAGGAGCAGGCGCGAAGGGTGACGGCGCGACGTGCGGGGGGAGCGGCGGAGGGGAACGGGGCACGATCGCTTTCACGCACGCAAACAAATGTCACGTGGCACGGCGCCTTAATTAAAACGATAATTGAGTTGACTTGCGAAACTCATCCGCCATTTCGACATTCCGAGAGAAATTTCACGGAAACTCCCCTCGAAACTACGAAGCCCTTAAGTGTCGACGACTTTAATTTTGTGTTAGCGTCTACTTTGCGGTCTCGAGGCAAATTTTAATACGGTGTACGAAGCCACGCTTTTGTAAAATTACTTAAATAAATTACCCCGAATCGAGTTTCGTCGCCGTACTGAGAGGTAACTCGTTTGGAAAATTGGCACCGAACGTAATATAAGTTACTGTGATAACGAGAGACTTTCATCGGAGAATTAATTCTAGAAACATAGATTAGGTGTTCGGCATCAATTTGCATTCAATCGTAGCTGTATTACATTATTGTGGTAATAAAATATCTCGGCACATGACGCATAGTCACTCATGTTGACAAAGCTGGCCCCTTTAATTGTGATCCCTTCGCTTAAATCAGAGAGGGTGAGATGTTCGGAGGGACGCGATCCCGCACAGGGATTCCTTCGTCTGCAATATGTGCGTCGACACTCCCGCCACGACTTAATACCGGGGATAAACCATTCGTTCCGCTTTAACGAACGATTCATTTTAACGATAGCCCTAAAATAATTTAGAACGGTCGCTTGGTTAGCCCTTAAATTTGTCTCTACATTACAAATATCAAGATCCTATTGCAGCTTTATATAATAAATAGACCATATATAGTTAAAAACGTATATGAAAACTAAAATAAGAATATATCTTTTATTATATTTTACGTATGTCTTCAAAACAATGAAACTATATAAAAAATATAAAGAAGTTAAACAAATTAAGATTATTCGATAATGACGAGGAAATTATACAAATAATACTTAAAACATTATTTAGGTTTCCATGTAAAAAAAATATGAGCTATATTCCCTAGAGAATGTCTTTTAATGAGTTTGTTTACAGCGGTTCGGGCGGACAAGTTAGTCTATTGTGGTAGGTACTAGTACTGGTGGGAACAATGGTGCTCCGATACGTCGCATTTTTACTACCATGTTATCATTATGATATGACATGTAACATTAGACACGAAATATAAGTCGCGAATCTCTCGCTTCCCGAGTACCGTGTTACGCACGAAAGGGGTCGCAGCCGGCACGGTTATTTAAATGAGAGCTCCCTCACCACCCGTCAATAAAACATTAAACACGTAACAAGTTTATGCGCAGCGACAACCCTAGCGGATTCCGCCACTTCGTTAATCCGGGGCGGGGGCAGCCCTAAATTAGGGTCGAGACAAGCCGTAATCCCCCACTCGGCGCGACGGGGGATTTATATTGTTATTGCTC